GCGAGTGTCACTGTGGCGGTGGCCGTGCCAGTTCCCAGAGTGACAGCTGTGTCTTGGCAGATCTCAGACATCCAGGTGACGGGGCAGTCGGAGGACATGACAGCCAAGGAGAAGCTGCTGCTGTGGTCACAGCGGATGGTGGAGGATTACCAGGGTCTCCGCTGTGACAACTTCACCACCAGCTGGCGGGACGGGCGCCTCTTCAACGCCATCATCCACCGGCACAGGTGGGTGCCGTGGTGGTGCCGTGTGATCCATGGGCAGGCGTGTGCTCACCAGGGTGGCCATGCCAATCCCGTGTTCATGGGGCAGCTGTGCCTGTGCTCATGGGGCAGCTGTGCTGACCCTGTGCCCATGGGGCAGCTGATCCTGTGCCCATGGGGCAGCTGTGCTGATCCCGTGCCCATGGGGCAGCTGACCCTGTGCCCATGGGGCAGCTGATCCTGTGCCCATGGGGCAGCCGTGATGATCCCGTGCCCATGGGGCAGCTGTGCTGATCCTGTGCCCATGGGGCAGCAGTGCTAATCCTGTGCCCATGGGGCAGCTGTGCTGATTCTGTGCCCATGGGGCAGCAGTGCTGATCCCGTGCCCATGGTGCAGCTGACCCTGTGCCCATGGTGCAGCTGTGCTGATCCCGTGCCCATGGGGCAGCTGATCCTGTGCCCATGGGGCAGCTGATCCTGTGCCCATGGGGCAGCAGTGCTGATCCTGTGCCCATGGGGCAGCTGATCCTGTGCCCGTGGGGCAGCTGATCCTGTGCCCGTGGGGCAGCCGTGTGATCCTGCTCGGGGTGATGTGAGCACGTGCTCCTGACGAGTCCCGGCCCATCGGCCTGTGCCGGCAGTGCCGTGCCCGCTGTTGGCGTGCCGGGGCGGTGGCAGGCAGGTCCCCACGGGTCCTGCTGGGACCGCCGCGTGCTTTTGGGGAGAGCAAATATGTGCAGGCGTGTGCCAGATGGGGGGAGGCATCTGCACTGTGCCGTGTCACAGCTGTGCCGTGCTCTGCACCATGGCACTGCCACACTGAGCTTGGCCCCACCATGGAGCCCCAAGGGGGGCTCGAGGTGTCAGCCCCACGTGGGACTGGGGTGTCAGCCCCACGTGGGACTGGGGTGTCAGCCCCACGTGGGATTGGGGTGTCAGCCCCACATGGGATTGGGGTGTCAGCCCCACGTGGGATTGGGGTGTCAGCCCCACGTGGGACTGGGGTGTCAGCCTCACAGAGGATTGGGGTGTCAGCCCCACATGGGATTGGGGTGTCAGCCTCACGTGGGATTGGGGTGTCAGCCCCACGTGGGACTGGGGTGTCAGCCCCACGTGGGATTGGGGTGTCAGCCTCACAGAGGATTGAGGTGTCAGCCCCACATGGGATTGGGGTGTCAGCCTCACGTGGGATTGGGGTGTCAGCCCCACGTGGGACTGGGGTGTCAGCCCCACGTGGGATTGGGGTGTCAGCCTCACAGAGGATTGAGGTGTCAGCCCCACATGGGATTGGGGTGTCAGCCCCACGTGGGACTGGGGTGTCAGCCCCACATGGGACTGGGGTGTCAGCCCCACGTGGGATTGGGGTGTCAGCCTCACAGAGGATTGGGGTGCCAGCCCCACATGGGACTGGGGTGTCAGCCCCACATGGGACTGGGGTGCCAGCCCCACGTGGGGTTGGGGTGGCCAATGCACAGGACATGGGGGTTCTGACTGTGTCGGGGTTCCCACTGGGGACTGTGTGTATCCCCAGCCCCTCCTGTCCCTGTGCTGGCTGTGGGGGTCTCCCCTGCCACCAGTGCCCCTGGTGTGGGGTGTGGGATGGTTGGACAGGCAGAGGAGGCCCTAGAAAGGGGGGACCTGCCCTCCTCAGGGATTTTGGGGTCCCCACAGCCCCACTGACCCCTGCTGCCCCCCACCCACAGGCCAATGCTGATCGACATGGGCCGGGTGTACCGCCAGAGCAACCTGGAGAACCTGGACCAGGCCTTCACGGTGGCCGAGCGGGAGCTGGGGGTGACGCGGCTGCTGGACCCCGAAGGTACGGCTTGGGGTGAACTGGGGGGGGGTCCCTCTGCAGAACCCCGTCCCTCCCCACCACGGGGTCCCCCACCTGACCGCCTCCCCCCCCCGCAGACGTGGACGTGGCGCAGCCAGATGAGAAGTCCATCATCACCTACGTGTCCTCGCTGTACGACGCCATGCCGCGCGTGCCCGAGGTGCAGGACGGCGTCAAGGCCAACGTGAGTTGGGCTGCTGGGGGTCACCGCTGCTCAGGGGTCCTGGGGGTGTGGGGTGGGTCCCGAGGGGATGATGGTCCCAGGGTGCCGGGGGTCCCGCGGCAGTGCCCGGCACGCCCCTTCGGGCAGTGTGTGACATTCGGGGTGTGCAGGGCGCGGTGCAGTCGGGACAGCTGAAGGTGCCCCCCGGGTACCACCCGCTGGACGTGGAGAAGGAGTGGGGGCGGCTGCACGTCGCTGTGCTGGAGCGGGAGAAGCTGCTGCGGGCAGAGTTCGAGAGGCGAGTGCCGGGGGGGGAGCCGGGGGGGCCGGGCAGGGCCGCGCTGGCATCCACACCCCCCTCCCGCTGCCAAACCACGGGGCCGGGCCGGGGTGGGGTGTCCCGGCCCCCCCCGAGGGGGAACCACAGGGCTGTGAGTCACCGCTCCTGCTGGGAAACCTCTGCGGCTGCCGGCACGGCACGGCACGGCACGGCACGGCAGGAGAGGGATGGGAGCAGGACGGGGGGCGGTGGGATGGGATTGGGAATGGGATGGAATGGGGGGCAGGACGGGGGTTGAAATGGAATGGGGCGTGGGGGATCGGGGTTGAGGTTGGGCGTGGGATGGGAGTGGGAAAAGGAAGATGGGGACAGGGGGAGCAGGACAGGGAGCGGGATGCAGCACGGGACAGGACCCATGCCGTGCAAGGCCAGGACAGCTGCCCCTGGGCAGGACCTGGTCTGTGCTGACCGTGTCCCTCTGTGTCCCCGCAGGCTGGAGCGGCTGCAGCGTGTGGTCACCAAGCTGCAGATGGAGTCAGGGCTCTGTGAGGAGCAGCTGAACCAGGCGGATGCTCTGCTGCAGGCCGTGAGTGCCGCTGGCACCGGGGCGGGGGGACCAGCCCTGGCCATGCCCCTGCCCTTACTGTCCCTGTCCCACCCCCCCCCAGCCCCACACGTGTCCCCCTCCCCAGGAGCTGCAGCTGCGCTGGCAGGAGTACTACGAGGTGGTGACGGGGCTGCTGCAGTGGAGCCGGCAGCACTCGGCGCTCTTCGAGGAGCGTCGCCTCCCTGCCAGCTACGAGGAGATCGAGGTGAGGCCGCCGGCACAGGCGTGGCGGTGGGGACAGGAGCAGTGCTGCTGGCCTGGCATGGCCACGGGGATGGGCACAAAGACAGACACAGGGACGGTGCTGTCACAGGGGTGACGGACCCCCGGAGCCGCTGGTAGCTGGGGCGGTGTGTGGCAGAATCCTGGCTGGCCTGTGGCCCCGCCGTGGGTGGTTCATGTCCACGGCTGAGCTGCTGGCCTGTGGCCCCGCTGTGGGTGGCTCATGCCCAGTGAGGGGTGCCAGCCGGCCGGCAGCCCCATCGTGGGTGGTTCATGTCCACGGCTGAGCCGTGCTGTGCTGGGTCACCGTGAGACCTGGGTGTGGCTGTGGCACGGAGCCCCCTCCGGTGCCAGTCTGGGGGTCTGCAGGGTTTGGGGACTCAGAGCCGGGTGCCCCGTGAGGGGGGGGCTCCTCTGACTCACCCTCCCCGGCTCTGCCGTGAGTCACCGCTGGCAAAGCCCAGCGCGGCCACTTCCTTCCCGCCGGCTCTGCACACATGGAAAATTGCAGGCTGGGGAGGGCGGATGCTTGGGGAGGGGGCAGCAGCGGCTGGGGGTCCCCGCTCAGCTGTGCCCCCTCTTAACCCCCGGCAGATCCTCTGGCGCCAGTTCCTCAAGTTCAAGGAGACGGAGCTGCCGGCTCGGGAAGCCGACAAGAACCGCTCCAAAGCCATCTTCCAGGCGCTGGAGGTACCGGCCAAGGGCTGGGGCGGGGCTTGGAGGTGGCGTCCTGTGACGGTCCTGGGTGCTTGGGGTCCAAAAGGGTGGGGGGCCTCAGGGGCAGACCCTGGGGATATCGGATCCTGAGGGGTGGGGGTCCCAGTAGCCAGGGGTCTCGAGAAAGTGGGGATGTGTCCCAAGGGGATGATGGTCCTGTAGGGTTGGGGAGCTTTGGGTGGGTCCCAAGGGGATGATGGTCCCAGGGCCTGTGGGTCCCAGGGTGTCAGGGGTCCTGGGAGGGTGGGGTGGGTCCCAAGGGGTTGATGGTCCTGTAGGGTTGGGGAGCTTTGGGTGGGTCCCAAGGGGATGATGGTCCCAGGGCCTGTGGGTTCTAGGGTGTCAGGGGTCCTGGGGGTGTGGGGTGGGTCCCGAGGGGATGATGGTCCCAGAGGCTGTGGGTCCCGGGGTGTCAGGGGTCCTGGGGGTGTGGGGTGGGTCCCGAGGGGATGATGGTCCCAGGGTGCCGGGGGTCCCGCGGCAGTGCCCGGCACGCCCCTTCGGGCAGTGTGTGACATTCGGGGTGTGCAGGGCGCGGTGCAGTCGGGACAGCTGAAGGTGCCCCCCGGGTACCACCCGCTGGACGTGGAGAAGGAGTGGGGGCGGCTGCACGTCGCTGTGCTGGAGCGGGAGAAGCTGCTGCGGGCAGAGTTCGAGAGGCGAGTGCCGGGGGGGGAGCCGGGGGGGCCGGGCAGGGCCGCGCTGGCATCCACACCCCCCTCCCGCTGCCAAACCACGGGGCCGGGCCGGGGTGGGGTGTCCCGGCCCCCCCCGAGGGGGAACCACAGGGCTGTGAGTCACCGCTCCTGCTGGGAAACCTCTGCGGCTGCCGGCACGGCACGGCACGGCACGGCACGGCACCTGCCCTTACTGTCCCTGTCCCTGCCCTTACTGTCCCTGTCCCTGCCCTTACTGTCCCTGTCCCTGCCCTTACTGTCCCTGTCCCTGCCCTTACTGTCCCTGTCCCTGCCCTTACTGTCCCTGTCCCTGCCCTTACTGTCCCTGTCCCTGCCCTTACTGTCCCTGTCCCTGCCCTTACTGTCCCTGTCCCTGCCCTTACTGTCCCTGTCCCTGCCCTTACTGTCCCTGTCCCTGCCCTTACTGTCCCTGTCCCTGCCCTTACTGTCCCTGTCCCTGCCCTTACTGTCCCTGTCCCTGCCCTTACTGTCCCTGTCCCTGCCCTTACTGTCCCTGTCCCTGCCCTTACTGTCCCTGTCCCTGCCCTTACTGTCCCTGTCCCTGCCCTTACTGTCCCTGTCCCTGCCCTTACTGTCCCTGTCCCTGCCCTTACTGTCCCTGTCCCTGCCCTTACTGTCCCTGTCCCTGCCCTTACTGTCCCTGTCCCTGCCCTTACTGTCCCTGTCCCTGCCCTTACTGTCCCTGTCCCTGCCCTTACTGTCCCTGTCCCTGCCCTTACTGTCCCTGTCCCTGCCCTTACTGTCCCTGTCCCTGCCCTTACTGTCCCTGTCCCTGCCCTTACTGTCCCTGTCCCTGCCCTTACTGTCCCTGTCCCTGCCCTTACTGTCCCTGTCCCTGCCCTTACTGTCCCTGTCCCTGCCCTTACTGTCCCTGTCCCTGCCCTTACTGTCCCTGTCCCTGCCCTTACTGTCCCTGTCCCTGCCCTTACTGTCCCTGTCCCTGCCCTTACTGTCCCTGTCCCTGCCCTTACTGTCCCTGTCCCTGCCCTTACTGTCCCTGTCCCTGCCCTTACTGTCCCTGTCCCTGCCCTTACTGTCCCTGTCCCTGCCCTTACTGTCCCTGTCCCTGCCCTTACTGTCCCTGTCCCTGCCCTTACTGTCCCTGTCCCTGCCCTTACTGTCCCTGTCCCTGCCCTTACTGTCCCTGTCCCTGCCCTTACTGTCCCTGTCCCTGCCCTTACTGTCCCTGTCCCTGCCCTTACTGTCCCTGTCCCTGCCCTTACTGTCCCTGTCCCTGCCCTTACTGTCCCTGTCCCTGCCCTTACTGTCCCTGTCCCTGCCCTTACTGTCCCTGTCCCTGCCCTTACTGTCCCTGTCCCTGCCCTTACTGTCCCTTCCCCTCCCTTACTGTCCCTTCCCCTCCCTTACTGTCCCTCCCCCGCAGGACGTGCGGCTGCTGGCGGCCGGGAAGGCACCACAGAAGGCGGCAGAGGTGGAGAGGGACCTGGACAAGGCGGATGCCATGATCCGGCTGCTCTTCAACGACGTGCAGACCCTCAAGGACGGGCGGCACCCCCAGGGCGAGCAGATGTACCGTCGGTACGGGCACTGCGGGGGTCCCCACGGCTTTGTCCCCGTGGCCCTGTGCCCCCAGAGCCCTCCACGTCCTCCTCGTCCTTCCAGCCCCCCAAAGCCCTTCATGTCTCCCGTGTCCCCCATGCTGCTCATGCCCACCATGTTCCTCATGCTCCCTGCACCGCCAGCCACCCCTCTGCCCCCCAAAACCCTGCAAAGCCTCCTGTGACCCCCACGTCCCCTGTATCCCGCAAAGCCCCCCTTACTCTCTGCAGCCCTTGCAGCCCCAAAAGCCCCCTGGTGACCCCTGTGCACCCCAAACCTTCTCGTGCCCCCAAACTCCCCATGTTCCCTGTACCCCCTTACAACCCCTGTGCACCCCAAACCTTCTCGTGCCCCCAAACTCCCCATGTTTGCTGTACCCCCTTACAACGCCTGTGCACCCCAAACCTTCTCGTGTCCCCAAACTCCCCATGTTTGCTGTACCCCCTTACAACGCCTGTGCACCCCAAACCTTCTCGTGCCCCCAACCCCTTACAACCCCTGTGCACCCCAAACCTTCTCATGCCCCCAAAGCCTCTCGTGTCCCCAAACTCCCCATGTTCCCTGTACCCCCTTACAACCCCTGTGCACCCCAAACCTTCTCATGCCCCCAAAGCCTCTCGTGTCCCCAAACTCCCCATGTTCCCTGTACCCCCTTACAACCCCTGTGCACCCCAAACCTTCTCATGCCCCCAAAGCCTCTCGTGTCCCCAAACTCCCCATGTTCCCTGTACCCCCTTACAACCCCTGTGCACCCCAAACCTTCTCATGCCCCCAAAGCCTCTCGTGTCCCCAAACTCCCCATGTTCCCTGTACCCCCTTACAACCCCTGTGCACCCCAAACCTTCTCATGCCCCCAAAGCCTCTCGTGTCCCCAAACTCCCCATGTTCCCTGTACCCCCTTACAACCCCTGTGCACCCCAAACCTTCTCATGCCCCCAAAGCCTCTCGTGTCCCCAAACTCCCCATGTTCCCTGTACCCCCTTACAACCCCTGTGCACCCCAAACCTTCTCATGCCCCCAAAGCCTCTCGTGTCCCCAAACTCCCCATGTTCCCTGTACCCCCTTACAACCCCTGTGCACCCCAAACCTTCTCATGCCCCCAAAGCCTCTCGTGTCCCCAAACTCCCCATGTTCCCTGTACCCCCTTACAACCCCTGTGCACCCCAAACCTTCTCATGCCCCCAAAGCCTCTCGTGTCCCCAAACTCCCCATGTTCCCTGTACCCCCTTACAACCCCTGTGCACCCCAAACCTTCTCATGCCCCCAAAGCCTCTCGTGTCCCCAAACTCCCCATGTTCCCTGTACCCCCTTACAACCCCTGTGCACCCCAAACCTTCTCATGCCCCCAAAGCCTCTCGTGTCCCCAAACTCCCCATGTTCCCTGTACCCCCTTACAACCCCTGTGCACCCCAAACCTTCTCATGCCCCCAAAGCCTCTCGTGTCCCCAAACTCCCCATGTTCCCTGTACCCCCTTACAACCCCTGTGCACCCCAAACCTTCTCATGCCCCCAAAGCCTCTCGTGTCCCCAAACTCCCCATGTTCCCTGTACCCCCTTACAACCCCTGTGCACCCCAAACCTTCTCATGCCCCCAAAGCCTCTCGTGTCCCCAAACTCCCCATGTTCCCTGTACCCCCTTACAACCCCTGTGCACCCCAAACCTTCTCATGCCCCCAAAGCCTCTCGTGTCCCCAAACTCCCCATGTTCCCTGTACCCCCTTACAACCCCTGTGCACCCCAAACCTTCTCATGCCCCCAAAGCCTCTCGTGTCCCCAAACTCCCCATGTTCCCTGTACCCCCTTACAACCCCTGTGCACCCCAAACCTTCTCATGCCCCCAAAGCCTCTCGTGTCCCCAAACTCCCCATGTTCCCTGTACCCCCTTACAACCCCTGTGCACCCCAAACCTTCTCATGCCCCCAAAGCCTCTCGTGTCCCCAAACTCCCCATGTTCCCTGTACCCCCTTACAACCCCTGTGCACCCCAAACCTTCTCATGCCCCCAAAGCCTCTCGTGTCCCCAAACTCCCCATGTTCCCTGTACCCCCTTACAACCCCTGTGCACCCCAAACCTTCTCATGCCCCCAAAGCCTCTCGTGTCCCCAAACTCCCCATGTTCCCTGTACCCCCTTACAACCCCTGTGCACCCCAAACCTTCTCATGCCCCCAAAGCCTCTCGTGTCCCCAAACTCCCCATGTTCCCTGTACCCCCTTACAACCCCTGTGCACCCCAAACCTTCTCATGCCCCCAAAGCCTCTCGTGTCCCCAAACTCCCCATGTTCCCTGTACCCCCTTACAACCCCTGTGCACCCCAAACCTTCTCATGCCCCCAAAGCCTCTCGTGTCCCCAAACTCCCCATGTTCCCTGTACCCCCTTACAACCCCTGTGCACCCCAAACCTTCTCATGCCCCCAAAGCCTCTCGTGTCCCCAAACTCCCCATGTTCCCTGTACCCCCTTACAACCCCTGTGCACCCCAAACCTTCTCATGCCCCCAAAGCCTCTCGTGTCCCCAAACTCCCCATGTTCCCTGTACCCCCTTACAACCCCTGTGCACCCCAAACCTTCTCATGCCCCCAAAGCCTCTCGTGTCCCCAAACTCCCCATGTTTGCTGTACCCCCTTACAACCCCTGTGCACCCCAAAGCCCCCCGTGCCCCCAGGGCTCCCCACGGCCCTCGTCCCCCGCTGACACCCCCCTCCCCGCAGCGTGTACCGCCTGCACGAGCGCCTGGTGTCCATCCGCACCGAGTACAACCTGCGGCTGAAGTCGGGGGCGCCGGTGACCGCGGTGACGGCCGTGCCGGTGACATCGGCGCAGCGGCGGCCGGAGCCGGACGAGGCCCCGCTGCGCTACCTGCAGGAGCTGCTGGCCTGGGTGGAGGAGAACCAGCGGCGTGTGGCCACGGCCGAGTGGGGCGCGGACCTGCCCACCGTGGAGACCCACCTGGGCGCCCACCGCGGGCTGCACCGCGCCATCGAGGAGTTCCGCGCCAAGGTGGAGCGGGCACGGGCTGATGAGGTGAGGCCCCTGGGTGCTAGGGACATCCTGGTTCTGAGGGTGACAGGGTGAGACCCCTGAGTGCCGGGGACATCCTGGTCCTGGGGGTGACAGGGTGAGACCCCTGGGTGCTGGGGACACCCTGGTCCTGGGGGTGACAGGGTGAGACCCCTGGGTGCTGGGGATCCCCTGGTCCTGGGGGTGACAGGGTGGGACCCCTGAGTGCTGGGGACACCCTGGTCCTGGGGGTGACAGGGTGGGACCCCTGAGTGCTGGGGACACCCTGGTCCTGGGGGTGACAGGGTGAGACCCTGCAGGGTGCTGGGGATCCCCACGTCCTGGGGGTGACAGGGTGGGACCTCTGAGTGCTGGGGAAACCCTGGTTATGGGGGTGACAGGGTGAGGCCCCTGGGTGCTGGGGACACCCTGGTTATGGGGGTGACAGGGTGAGGCCCCTGGGTGCTGGGGACACCCTGGTTCTGGGGGTGACAGGGTGGGACCCCTGGGTGCTGGGGACATCCTGGTTCTGGGGGTGACAGGGAGAGACCCTGCAGGGTGCTGGGGACACCCTGGTCCTGGGGGTGACAGGGAGAGACCCTGCAGGGTGCTGGGGATCCCCTGGTTCTGGGGGTGACAGGGTGAGACCCTGCAGGGTGATGGGGATCCCCTGGTCATGGGGGTGACAGGGTGAGACCCTGCAGGGTGATGGGGATCCCCTGGTTATGGGGGTGACAGGGTGAGACCCCTGGGTGCTGGGGACACCCTGGTTCTGGGGGGGACAGGGTGAGACCCTGCAGGGTGATGGGGACCTCCTGGTTCTGGGGGTCCTCTGGGTCTGTCCCCACTCTTCTTCAAGGGGTCCCCCCAGTGCTGTTCCCTCCCTTTCTCCTGAGCATTTCCTGTGGGGCTGCCTTAGCTCTGTGCCTCGGGGTCCCTGAAGCACCATGACCACCCCTCTTTCTGCTCCCCAAAGCCCCCAGGGCTCACCCACCTCTGCTCCTGGGGCTGTGCACTGCCCCGTGGGGGGGTGGTTTGGGGAGAGCAGCCCATCCCGGCCCCCCCAGCCTGTGCCCTTGCTCTGGAGCCCCCTGGGGCCGAGGGAGCCCCAGGAGGGTGGGGGGCACCGTGCCCCGAGGGCATCCCCCGCAGCCCCTGCACCCCTGATGCGCTGCCCTCCCCACGAGTCCCCAGTGTCGCTCCCCTTGGGGGGGTTCTGGGGGGTATCTGGGTCTGGGGTGGGGGTCCTGGAGCTGATGGTGTCTCCTGCAGACCCAGCTGTCCCCCGGCCCCAGCGGCGCCTACCGGGAGTGCCTGGGCAAGCTGGAGCTGCAGTACGCCAAGCTGCTGGTGAGCCCGGAGGGGTGGGCGGGAGTGGGGGCAGATGTGGGGGGACCTGCTGGGGACGTGTGGCCTGGGGGGTTCATAGGGCGTGATGGACATGGGGGGACCTGCTGGGGGGGGGGGGGGGGGGGGGGGGTGAGTGTGGGGGGGATGTGGGGCAGGAAGATGCGGGACATGGGGGGAAGGTGGGGAGGAGGATAAGGGGGGACAGAGGGTGTGGAGGGGACAGCCCTGTGGGGATGAGGCCGTGCAGGGCAAGGACACAGCTGCACACCACACCCCCGTGCCTCCCCAGAACTCCTCCAAGTCGCGGCTGCGGCACCTGGAGAGTCTCCATGGCTTCGTCAGTGCCGCCACCAAAGAGCTGCTGTGGCTGAGCGAGCGCGAGGAGGAGGAGGTGGCCTTCGACTGGAGCCACAACAACCCCGCCATGGCTGCCAAGAAGGAGAGTTACTCGGTACGGGCGCGGCACGGGGATGGACACGGACACGGGGATGGACACGGACATGGGGATGGACACAACGTGGGCATGGACACGGGGATGGACACGGACACGGGGATGGAAGGGGAGACAGCCCAGATTGTATGGATACGGGGATGGACACGGACACGGGGATGGACTCAGGGATGGACACGGACACGGGGATGGACACGGACATGGGGATGGACTCAGGGATGGACGCGGACACGGGGATGGACACGGACACGGGGATGGACACAGGGATGGACACGGACACAGGGATGGACATGGACATGGGGATGGACACGGGGATGGACACGGACATGGGGATGGACACGGACACGGGGATGGACACAGACACAGGGATGGACACGGACACAGGGATGGACACGGGGATGGACACGGACACGGGGATGGACACGGACATGGGGATGGACACGGGGATGGACACGGACACGGGGATGGACATGGGGATGGATGCGGACATGGGGATGGACACAGACGCGGACACGGGCATGGACATGGACATGGGGATAGGCACGGACACAACATGGGTACAGGGGTGGGCATGGACATGTACGTGGGGATGGACATGGACATGGGGGTGGGCATGGACACAGGGATGGACATGGGGATAGGCATGGACATGGGCACAGACACCAGGATGGACACAGACACAGGCATGGGGATGGGCACACACACGGACATAGGCATGGACACAACATGGACATGGACACGGGCATGGACACAGGGACAGACACAGGGATGGGCATGGACATGGTGATGGGCATGGACATGACATAGACATGGGCATGAGGATGGGCATGGACATGGGCATGGGGATCAGCATAGACATGACATGAGTACAGGAATGGGCATGGACACAGACAGGGACACAGGCATGGGCATGGACACAGACATGGACACAGGATGGGCATGGACACAGACATGGACACAGGGATGGGCATGGACATGGGGATGGGCATGGATACAACATGGACATGGCGATGGGCATGGGCATGGACATGGGGATGGGCATGGACATGACATAGACATGGGGATGAGGATGGACATGGGCATGGGGATCAGCATAGACATGACATGAGTACAAGAATGGGCATGGACACGGATGTGGGCACAGGGGGCGGGCATGGACACGGGCAAGGGCACAGGGATGGGCATGGACATGGGGATGGGCATGGACACAACATGGGCATAAGGATGGGCATGGACACGGACACAGGATGGGCATGGACACAGACATGGACACGGGGATGGGCACAGACTCAGGGATGGGCATGGACATGGGCATGGACACTGGGATGGGCATGGACACAAACATGGGCACAGGAATGGGCATGGACATGGACACGGGGACGGGCATGGACACGGGGATGGACACGGACATGGGGATGGACACAGGGATGGACATGGGGGTGGGCATGGACATGGGGATGAACACGGGGGTGGGCATGGGCACAACATGGGTACAGGGGTGGGCATGGACACAGGGATGGGCATGGACACAGGGATGGGCATGGGCACGGGTATGGGCATGGACACGGATACAGACACAGGGATGGGCATGGGCATGGACATGGGCATGGACACTGGGATGGGCATGGACACAAACATGGGCACAGGAATGGGCATGGACATGGACACGGGGACGGGCATGGACATGACATGAGCACAGGGATTTGCACGGATGTGGACACAGGAATGGGCATGGACATTGACATGACATGGACATGGGGATAGGCATGGACACGGGGATGGGCATGAACATGGACACGACATGGGCACAGGGATGGACATGACATGGACACAGAGATGGGTGTGGACAAGGACACAAGAGATGGGCTTGGCCATGACATGGACATGCATGCGGGCAGACACGCATGGAGGACACAGCTGCTCCATGTGGCAGGGATGGGCATGGACACAGGGATGGGCATGGGCACGGGTATGGGCATGGACACGGATACAGACACAGGGATGGGCATGGACACGGACATGGGCACGGGGATGGGCACAGACATAGGCATGGGCATAGACACAACGTGGGCACAGAGATGGGGATGGGCATGGACATGGGCACAGGGATGGGCATGGATGTGACATGGGCACAGGGATGGGCATGGACATGGGCACGGACACGGGGATGAGCATGGACATGACATGGGGATAAGCACGGACATGGGGATGGGCATGGACATGGACACAGGGACAGGCATGGACATGACATGGGGACAGACATGGGGGTGGTCAGGGACATGGACACGGGGACGGGCATGGACACAGGTCTGGACATGGGGATGGGCATGGACACGACATGGGCACAGGCATGGACACGACATGGACACAGAGATGGGTGTGGACAAGGACACAAGAGATGGGCATGGCCATGACATGGACATGCATGCAGGCAGACACGCATGGAGGACACAGCTGCTCCATGTGGACACACCCATGGACACACACACACATCCCCCGGCCCTGCACACGTGTGTGAGCGCTGCCCCCCTGCCCTGCACACGTGTGTGAGCGCTGCCCCCGCCCCAGGCGCTGATGCGGGAGCTGGAGCTGCGGGAGCGGCGGATCCAGGAGCTGCGGACCACGGGCGAGCGGCTGCTGCGAGAGGAGCACCCTGGGGCGCAGACTCTGGAGGTGGGTGTGGGGCTGGGGACAAATTGTGGGGCATGACGGGGGCTGGGGGGGGCTACGGGGGCTGGGGGTTCTGGGGGGTTGTGGGGAATCTGGAGGGGGCCTGGGGGTCTCAGTGACCTTGGGGGAAATGAAGGGGCTGGGAGAATCTGAGGGGCACCTTGGGGCTTTGGTGGGTTGGGGAGGGGGTTCAGGAGGGTCTGGGCATTGGGGGTCACTGGTGTGGGGTGCAGCGGGCACTGGGGGGTCACTGGTGTGGGGTCACTGGTGTGGGGTGCAGCGGGCACTGGGGGTCACTGGTCGCAGTGGGCACTGGGGGTCACTGGTGTGGGGTCGCTGGTGTGGGGTGCAGTGGGCACTGGGGGTCACTGGTGTGGGGTCGCTGGTGTGGGGTGCAGTGGGCACTGGGGGTCACTGGTGTGGGGTACAGTGGTGCAGTGTGGGGGTCACTGCCTGTAGCAGTGTGTGTGCAGGTGTGGGTGTGGGCCAGGTGTGTACAGGTTGGGTGCAGGCCAGGTGAGGGTGCAGGTGTGAGTGCAGGCCAGGTGAGGGTACAGATGTGAGTGCAGGCCAGGTGAGGGTACAGATGTGGGTGCAGGCCAGGTGAGGGTGCAGGTCTGGGTGCAGGCCAGGTGTGGGTGCAGGCTGGGCCAGGTGTGTACAGGTTGGGTGCAGGCCAGGTGAGGGTGCAGGTGTGAGTGCAGGCCAGGTGAGGGTACAGATGTGAGTGCAGGCCAGGTGAGGGTGCAGGTCTGGGTGCAGGCCAAGGGTTGGGGTTGGGCAGGTGTGGGTGGGGGGCAGGTGTGGGTGCAGGCCAGGTGAGGGTGCAGGTGTGAGTTCAGGCCAGGTGTGGGTGCAGGTGTGAGGCAGGCCAGGTGTGGGTGCAGGTGTGAGTGCAGGCCAGGTGTGGGTGCAGGCCAGGTGTGGGTGCAGGCCAGGTGTGGGTGCAGGCCAGGTGTGGGTGCAGGCACCCGTAGCGGTGCAGGTGCCCTCGGTGCCAGCCCCGGCGTCCCCCCCGCTCCCCGCAGGCGTTCCTGGCAGCGCTGCAGACCCAGTGGAGCTGGATGCTCCAGCTCTGCTGCTGCATGGAGCCCCACCTGAAGGAGAACACCAACTACTTCCAGGTACGGGGGGGGTGCCAGGGCGGGGCTGGGAGTGGGGGGGAGGGGGTGACCCCAGCGCTGACCCCTGGCCCCCCCCCAGTTCTTCGCCGAGGTGCGGGAGGCCGAGGAGCTGCTGCGGAAGACGGAGGAGACGATGCGGCGCAAGTTCAGCTGCGACCGCGGCACCACGGCCACGCGCCTTGAGGACCTGCTGCAGGACCTCGCGGTGAGGGCACCCCTGAGACCCCCAGGGAGACCCCCGGACCCCGGGGAGACCCCCACAGTGACCCCCAGGGTGACCCTCCCAAGATCTGCAGGGTGACCCTGCTGCATCACCCTGTAGCGAGGGCAGGTGGGAGCCCAGGTGGATCCCCCCAAGATCCTCATGGTGACACCTCCAGGGTGACCCCAGCCCCTGGCAGCTCTGAGGTGGCAGGCCCCATGGTGAGCCCCAAAATCAGAGTCCCACAGCAGCCCCTGGGGTGTCCCGCTGCAGAGTGCTGGGGTGCCCACCCCACTGCAGCCCCTGGGGTGACCCCCACACCCCATTGCTGCAACAGACCAGGGTGACCCCCCTGCCTCATATTCCTGACCCCTCCCCAAACTCCTGGCACCCGCCCAAAACCCCAAGAGCTCCCAAAACCTTTGGAACCTCCTGATATTTCTGAGCTCTCGCAACAAAAAAACAACTGGTACCTCCCTAAAATTCTGATGCTCCTCAACACCATGGGGCACTCCAAATCCTGAGGTGTCCCAAACCTGCCCCCACAGGAGCAGAAGGAGCAGCTGGCGGAGTTGGGGGCGCAGCTGGGGGGTCTGTCCCGCCGCGCCAGGACCATCGTGCAGCTGAAGCCACGCAGCCCCTCGACACCCCTGCAGGGCCGCCCCCCCATCCAGGCCGTCTGCGACTACAAGCAAATGGAGGTGCGGGGGGACGTGAGGGTTGGTTCCCCTGGGGTGGATGTGGGGAGACATGGTGGGTCCAGCACCCCACTCTGATGCTGCCCCAGCCCCGTGGGGGGGACACAGGAGGACGCCCCCCCCCGGTGTGACACCACCCTGGGGGACAAGGGGACACATGGGGGACCTCCCACCCTTCTCTGATGCTGCTCCAGCCCCATGAGGGGACACAAGGGGGGGACGCAAAGGGGCCCCCCCACCCAGACTGAGACCACACCAGGCCCATAGGGGAACATGGGGGGGACACTGGGGAATGAGGGGGAGGCACAGGTGGACACAAGGGCCCGCACCCCACCCTGACCCCGGCATTGGGGGTCACTGGTCTGGGGTCACTGGTGTGGGGTGCAGTGGGCACTGGGGGGTCACTGGTGTGGGGTGAAGTGGGCATTGGGGGTCACTGGTGTGGGGTCGCTGGTGTGGGGTGCAGTGGGCACTGGGGGTCACTGGTGTGGGGTCGCTGGTGGGGGGTGCAGTGGGCACTGGGGGTCACTGGTGTGGGGTACAGTGGTGCAGTGTGGGGGTCACTGCCTGTAGCAGTGTGTGTGCAGGTGTGGGTGTGGGCCAGGTGTGTACAGGTTGGGTGCAGGCCAGGTGAGGGTGCAGGTGTGAGTGCAGGCCAGGTGAGGGTACAGATGTGAGTGCAGGCCAGGTGAGGGTGCAGGTCTGGGTGCAGGCCAGGTGTGGGTGCAGGCCAGGTGTGGGTGCAGGCCAGGTGTGGGTGCAGGTGTGAGTGCAGGCCAGGTGAGGGTACAGATGTGAGTGCAGGCCAGGTGAGGGTGCAGGTCTGGGTGCAGGCCAGGTGTGGGTGCAGGCAGGTGAGGGTGCAGGCCAGGTGAGGGTGCAGGTGTGAGGCAGGCCAGGTGAGGGTGCAGGTGTGAGTGCAGGCCAGGTGTGGGTGCAGGCCAGGTGTGGGTGTGGGCACCCGTAGCGGTGCAGGTGCCCTCGGTGCCAGCCCCGGCGTCCCCCCCGCTCCCCGCAGGCGTTCCTGGCAGCGCTGCAGACCCAGTGGAGCTGGATGCTCCAGCTCTGCTGCTGCATCGAGACCCACCTGAAGGAGAACACCAACTACTTCCAGGTACGGGGGGGTGCCAGGGCGGGGCTGGGAGTGGGAGGGAGGGCGTGACCCCAGCGCTGACCCCTGGCCCCCCCCCAGTTCTTCGCCGAGGTGCGGGAGGCCGAGGAGCTGCTGCGGAAGACGGAGGAGACGATGCGGCGCAAGTTCAGCTGCGACCGCGGCACCACGGCCACGCGCCTTGAGGACCTGCTGCAGGACCTCGCGGTGAGGGCACCCCTGAGACCCCCAGGGAGACCCCCGGACCCCGGGGAGACCCCCACAGTGACCCCCAGGGTGACCCTCCCAAGATCTGCAGGGTGACCCTGCTGCATCACCCTGTAGCGAGGGCAGGTGGGAGCCCAGGTGGATCCCCCCAGGATCCTCATGGTGACACCTCCAGGGTGACCCCAGCCCCTGGCAGCTCTGAGGTGGCAGGCCCCATGGTGAGCCCCAAAATCAGAGTCCCACAGCAGCCCCTGGGGTGTCCCGCTGCAGAGTGCTGGGGTGCCCACCCCACTGCAGCCCCTGGGGTGACCCCCACACCCCATTGCTGCAACAGACCAGGGTGACCCCCCTGCCTCATATTCCTGACCCCTCCCCAAACTCCGGCACCCGCCCAAAACCCCAAGAGCTCCCAAAACCTTTGGAACCTCCTGATATTTCTGAGCTCTCACAAAAAAAAAACAACTGGTACCTCCCTAAAATTCTGATGCTCCTCAACACCATGGGGCACTCCAAATCCTGAGGTGTCCCAAACCTGCCCCCACAGGAGCAGAAGGAGCAGCTGGCGGAGTTGGGGGCGCAGCTGGGGGGTCTGTCCCGCCGCGCCAGGACCATCGTGCAGCTGAAGCCACGCAGCCCCTCGACACCCCTGCAGGGCCGCCCCCCCATCCAGGCCGTCTGCGACTACAAGCAAATGGAGGTGCGGGGGGACGTGAGGGTTGGTTCCCCTGGGGTGGATGTGGGGAGACATGGTGGGTCCAGCACCCCACTCTGATGCTGCCCCAGCCCCGTGGGGGGGACACAGGAGGACGCCCCCCCCCGGTGTGACACCACCCTGGGGGACAAGGGGACACATGGGGGACCTCCCACCCTTCTCTGATGCTGCTCCAGCCCCATGAGGGGACACAAGGGGGGGACGCAAAGGGGCCCCCCCACCCAGACTGAGACCACACCAGGCCCATAGGGGAACATGGGGGGGACACTGGGGAATGAGGGGGAGGCACAGGTGGACACAAGGGCCCGCACCCCACCCTGACCCCCTGCCCCGCAGGTGACGGTGCACAAGAACGACACCTGCGCCCTGGTGAACCACGCGCAGCCGCAGCAGTGGCGGGTGCTGAGCGCCGCTGGCGGCGAGGCCGTCGTCCCCTCGGTCTGCTTCCTCCTGCCACCCCCCAACAAGGAGGCTCTGGACGCCGTGCACAGGTGGGGACAGCGCCCCTGCACCCCACCCGGGCTCCCCTGTGTCCTCCCCACCTCTAACTCGACGTCCCCACAGGCTGGAGACCGCCCACCAGCAGCTGCTGGGGCTGTGGCAGCGGCTGCACCAGGACCTGCGCAGCCTCCGCGCCTGGCAGTACCTGACCCGGGACATCCAGCAGATCCACTCCTGGACGCACGTCACGGTGAGTTCCTGGGGGACCCGGAGTGGCGCAGGGGTCCCAGGGGTCGCAGCAGGGGCTGACACGGCTGTGACCCCCCCCCCTCCCCTCCCAGTTCCGCACGCTGCCGGCCGAGGAGGTGCGTCAGGTCCTGTCCAGCCTGGAGAGGCACTACCAGGAGTTCCTGAGGGACAGCCAGGACTCCCAGAGCTTCCAGCCCGACGACCGGCTGCAGGTGGAGCGCGACTACAACGCCTGCACTCACAAATACGAGCTGCTGCTGCGTAGCCAGGAGAAAGGTGGGTGTCCCCCTCTCCGTCCCCTCTGAAGGGTGGGGGTCCCCGGGGTTGTCCCCAGGTCCTTGGGGTGACCTGCAGGTCCTTGTGGTGTCCCTGGGGTATCGCCATGGTGATGAGCTGTCCCAGTCTTCCCCCTCCTCACATTGGCTCATGGGGTGTACCCAGGGTGCTGAGCCATCCCTGCATCCCCCCTTCCCATCATGGGTCCCCGTGTTGTCCCCACAGTCTGAGCCATCCCCGTGTCCCCTTTCTCTGCTGTGGGTCCCCAGGGTGTCCCCAGGGTGCTGATCCATCCCCGTGTCCCCTCTCCCTGCTCTGGGTCCCCGTGGTGCTGAGCCATCCCCATATCCCCTCTCCCTGCTGTGGGTCCCCAGGGTGCTGAGCCATCCCTGTGTCCCCTCCCCTTACTGTGGGTCCCCATGGTGCTGAGCCATCCCTGTGTCCCCTCTCCCTGCTGTGGGTCCCCAGGGTGTCCCAAGGGTGCTGATCCATCCCTGTGTCCCCTCTCCCTGCTGTGAGTCCCCAGGGTGTCCCCAGGGTGCTGAGCCATCCCTGTGTCCCTTCTCCTTACTGTGGGTCCCAAGGGTGCTGATCCATCCCCGTGTCCCCTCTCCCTGCTGTGAGTCCCCAGGGTGTCCCCAGGGTGCTGATCCATCCCCGTGTCCCCTCTCCCTGCTGTGAGTCCCCAGGGTGTCCCCAGGGTGCTGAGCCATCCCCGTGTCCCCTCTCCCTGCTGTGGGTCCCATGGGGCTGATCCATCCCCGTGTCCCCTCTCCCTGCTGTGGGTCCCCAGGGTGTCCCAAGGGTGCTGATCCATCCCCGTGTCCCCTCCCCTTACTGTGGGTCCCCATGGTGCTGAGCCATCCCTGTGTCCCCTCTCCCTGCTGTGGGTCCCCAGGGTGTCCCAAGGGTGCTGATCCATCCCTGTGTCCCCTCTCCCTGCTGTGAGTCCCCAGGGTGTCCCCAGGGTGCTGAGCCATCCCTGTGTCCCTTCTCCTTACTGTGGGTCCCAAGGGTGCTGATCCATCCCCGTGTCCCCTCTCCCTGCTGTGAGTCCCCAGGGTGTCCCCAGGGTGCTGAGCCATCCCCGTGTCCCCTCTCCCTGCTGTGAGTCCCCAGGGTATCCCCGTGGTGCCGAGCCGTCGCGGTGTCACCGCGGGTCCCCGCGGCGTCCCCGTGGTGTCCCAGGGCACTGAGCCGCCCCTCTGTCCCCGCAGGAGAGCAGGACGAGTCTCTGTGCAAGAGCTACATCTCGCAGCTGAAGGACATCCGGCTGCAGCTGGAGAGCTGCGAGAGCCGCACCGTGCACCGCCTGCGCCTGCCCCTCAAGGCCGACCCGCTGCGCGAGTGCGCCCAGCGCCAGGCTGAGCAGCAGGTGTGTGACACACGTGAGAGCCCCGGGGAGCTGGCCCAGTGGATCCCCCCCAGGATCCTCAGGGTGACACCTCCAGGGTGACACCTCCAGCCCCATGGCAAGCCCAGGCTGACCCCAGCCCTGTGACACGCGTGTGACACGTGTAGTGCGCACAGGCGGCCAGCTCAGCGCCAGGATGGGCCTGGGGGAATGGTTTGGGTTGGAAAAGCAGTCAAAGCCCATTGAGTCCACCAAGGGCACCCCTGATCATGTCCCCAAGTGATCCACACGGCTGTAAAATCTCCCCAGGGGTGGCACTCCATCCTAGGGCAGCTGTGCCAGGGCTGCACAGCCCTTTACAGGAGAAATTTCCCCAATATCCCACCTAAACCTCTGCTGTCCACCTGCACCGACGGGCTGCAGAGCCTTCCCCTGCTCTGCTCCTCCCGGGCTCCAAGAGAGGGGGAACATTCTGTCGGGGGCTGGCCTGCAGCCAGCAAGGACTGAGGGACTCCTTCCCTGCAGCAAACACACCTGGAGCTGGAGGGCATCCAGAAGAACCTGGCCAAAGTCAGCGAGAAGACGGAGCAGGTGCTGGCGCAGCCGGAGCAGGCGGGCTCGGCGCCTGTCCTGCGCTCCGAGCTGGAGGTCACCCTGCGGAAGATGGAGCAGGTGTACAGCCTCTCCAGCATCTACCTGGAGAAGTGAGTGAGCCCTGGCACCCTCACCCCTGGGCTGGAAAGGAGCCTGGGCAGCTGGGAGGCTGTGGGGAGTCTGGGGAGAGCCAGCATGCCTTTCCCTTTCTTTTCCTTCCCTCTTCTCTTCTTCTTTTTGTTTCTCTTTCCCTTTTTTTTTCCTTTTCCCTTTTCCTTTTTTCCCTTTTCCCCCCCCTTTTTTTTACTTTTTCCTTTTTCCCTTTTTCCCTTTTATTCCTTTCCCTTTTATTCCTTTCCCATTTTTTCTTTTCCCCCTTTTTCCTTTTCCCCTCTTTTCCTTTTTCCCATTTTTCTTTTTTTCCTTTTCCCCTTTTTTCCTTCTCCCTTTTATTCCCTTTTTTCCTCTTTCCCTTTTTACTTTTTTTCCTTTTCCCCTTTTTTCCTTTTCCCCTTTTTTCCCCTTCCCCTTTTCTCCTTTTTTTCCTTTCCCCCTTTTTTTCCCCTTTTTTTTCTTTTCCCCTTTTTTCCTTCTCTCTTTTTTCCCTTTTTTCCTTTTTCCCTTTTTCCTTTTTTCCTTTTCCCCTTTTTTCCTTTTCCCCCTTTTTCCCTTTCCCCTTTTCTCCTTTTTTCCCTTTCCCCCTTTTTTCCCCTTTTATTCCTTTTCCCCTTTTTTCCTTTTCCCCTTTTTTTATTTTTCCTTTTTTTCCCTTTCCTTTTTCCCTTTTTCCCCCCCTTTTCCTTTTTCTCTTTTCCCTTTTCCCCCTTTTCCCCTTTTTTGCCCTTTTTTCCCTTTCCCCTTTTTTCCTTTTCCCCTTTTTCCCCCTTCTTTTCCCTTCCCCGTTTTTCCCCCTTTTATTCCTTTTCCCCATTTTTCCTTTTCCCCATTTTTCCTTTTCCCCTTTTCCCCCCTTCTTTTCCCTTTTATTCCTTTTCCCTTTTTTTCCTTTCCCCCTATTTTCCTTTCCCCTTTTTTTCCTTTTCCCCCATTTTTTCCTTTTCCCCCTTTTTTCCCTTTCCCTTCCCTCTTGGTCCTGCCGTGCTGCTCTTGCTGAGCTGCCCGCTCCCATCCCGCTCCTGCTCCCACCCCGCTCCCGGCTGATCCCGTCCCTGTGCCGCAGGCTGAAGACCATCGGGCTGGTGATCCGGAGCACGCAGGGCGCCGAGGAGCTGCTCCGCAAGTACGAGGAGCAGCTGAAGGACGTGCAGGCGGTGCCCGCTGACCTGGCTGAGCTGGAGGCCAGCAAGGCTGAGCTTAAGGTACCAGGGGCTCTGGGGTGCCAAGGGGGGGGCGGCTGGGGACACCGTGGCCGGCTCTGACCGGTGCCCATCTGCCACAGCGGCTGCGGGCACAGGCCGAGAGCCACCAGCCCTTCTTCAGCACGCTGGAGACCGACCTCGGCAAGGCCAAGGACGTCAACGAGCGGATGGTCCGCGGCCACAGCGAGCGGGACGTGGACCTGGAGCGGTACCGGGAGCGGGTGCAGCAGCTGCTGGAGCGCTGGCAGGCCGTGCTGGGCCAGGCTGACCTGCGCCAGCGCGAGCTGGACCAGCTGGGCCGCCAGCTGGGCTACTACCGGCAGAGCTGCGACGCGCTGCGCCAGTGGATCCGCGATGCGCGGCAGCGCCAGGAGGCCATCCAGGCCGTGCCCATCACCGACAGCCAGGCCGTGCGCGAGCAGCTGCTGCAGGAGAAGGTAGGGCTGGCCGTGGGGCAAGGGGGGGCTCCTGGGCGTCCCCAGCAGGGTGAGGGGTGTGCCAGGCTATCCCCAGTGGGGCAAGGGGGAGCTCCAGGGCATCCCCAGCAGGGTGAGGGGTGTGCCTGGCCATCCCCAGTGGGGCAAGGGGTGATCCTGGGCATTCTCATCAGGGTGAGGGGTGCACCCAGCCATCCCCAATGGGGCAAGGGGTGCTCCTGGGCATCCCCAGCAGGGTGAGGGGTGTGCCTGGCCATCCCCAGTGGGGCAAGGGGTGATCCTGGACATCCCCAGCAAGGTGAGGGGTGCACCCAGCCATCCCCAATGGGGCAAGGGGTGCTCCTGGGCATCCCCAGCAGGGTGAGGGGTGTGCCAGGCTATCCTCAATGGGGCAAGGGGTGCTCCTGGACATCCCCAGCAAGGTGAGGGGTGCACCCAGCCATCCCCAATGGGGCAAGGGGTGCTCCTGGGCATCCCCAGCAGGGTGAGGGGTGTGCCAGGCTATCCTCAATGGGGCAAGGGGTGCTCCTGGGCATTCCACAGCAGGGTGAGGGGTGTCCCAGGCTATCCTCAATGGGGCAAGGGGTGCTCCTGGGCATCCCCAGCAGGGGGAGGGGTGGGCCAGGCTATCCTCAATGGGGCAAGGGGTGCTCCTGGGCATTCCACAGCAGGGTGAGGGGTGTGCCAGGCCATCCCCAATGAGGCAAGGACACAGCAGGACGAGGGGTGATCTCAGCTATCCCTGGCTGTGGCGTGGCAAGGGATTAACCTGGGCATCCCCAGCAGGGTGAGGGGTGTGCCAGGCTATCCCCAGTGGGGCAAGGACACAGCAGGACGAGGGGTAATCTCAGCTATCCCTGGCTGTGGCGTGGCAAGGGATTCACCTGGCCATCCCCAGCAGAGTTCAGATCTGCCCATCTCTGTCTGTGGCAGAGTGAGGGGAGTGCCCAGCTATCTCCAGCCATGGCATGTTGAGTTTTGCTCTTGGGTGGCTGCAGCAGGAGGGGGACCATTCCTGGCCATGGCACATGGTGGGTAGGAGCTCTCAGCCATCCCCAGTGGGATGGGGGGTGCTCCTGACCATTTTTGGCTGCAGCAGGGTGAGGGGTGCTCCCGGCCATTCCCAGCCATGGCAGGGCAAGTGTTGCTCATGGCCATCCCTGGCCATGGTGGGGTGAAGTGTGATCTTGGATGGCCGTGGGGTACCTGGGCTCACCACCACGTCTCCCCAGAAACTGCTGGAGGAGTGTGAGCAGCACGGTGTGATCTTGGGTGGCCGTGGGATACCTGGGCTCACCGCCACATGTCTCCCCAGAAACTGCTGGAGGAGTGTGAGCAGCACAAGGAGAAGGTGGAGGAGTGCCAGCGCTATGCCAAGCAGTACATCGATGCCATCAAGGTGGGTCCACTGCCTGGAGGGCTGGGGAGGCAGCACGGTGTCCTGCAGGGGGTGGGCTCGCAGCACCTTGGCTGGGGGCTCGTCCCACATAGCAGAGCTTTGATCACTCTCTCCTCATCAGGACTACGAGCTGCAGCTGGTGAGCTTCAAGGCACAGGTGGAGCCGGTGGCATCGCCAGCCAAGAAGCCCAAAGTGCAGTCGGCATCTGACAGCATCATCCAGGAGGTGAGGGGGGGCTCTCTCTGCCACTGGGATGTCCTGCAGCTCCTGGGGCCTGGCTGCTCACTGAAGGGGTGGATTTGGGGCTGTGGCACGTGGTCGTGCACCCCCATGATTGCTTGGGTGCCGGCGGGCCGCGGGCAAGCTCCCTTCTCTCGTGCTGACCCACTGTCTCCACAGTACGTGGACCTGCGGACGCAGTACAGTGAGCTGACCACGCTCACCACCCAGTACATCAAGTTCATCACCGAGACACTGCGGCGGCTGGAGGACGAGGAGGTAGGGAGCGGTGCAGGGCGGCACGGCCAGCTGTGTAACCAAAAGGAACGCCGTTCACGGGGTCTCTGGCCCCATCACTAACACCAGCCCACGGCCATGACTCCAGCCCCATCACTGATGGTAGCTCACATCCATGACTCTGGCCTCCCCACTAATGCCAGCCTATGGCCGTGACTCCAGCCCCATCACTAACAGCGGCCCATGGCTGTGACTCCAGCCCTGGCCCCATCACTAACAGCGGCCCATGGCTGTGGCTGCAGACCCATGACTAATACTGGCCCATGGCCATGACTCTGGCCCTATCACTAATACTGGCCCACGGCCTCTAGCTCCTGCTCCGTGCTGGGCTCCTGGGAGCAAGGCTGCTGGCTCTGCGTAGAGTGGGTCTCCGAGCCACGCCGGCTCTGGGCACTGGGGGCTCTGGTGTGACTGGTGGTAGGAGGCACTTCCCAGATACACGTAGTGCAGTCAGCACCTGCCTGCGCATGCTGCTGTGCTGGGCGCTGGCCCGCGGGGTCTGGCGCGGGGTAACCTCTCTAACTCTTGGTTTCTGCCCTTGGAGCCGCTTTGCCAGTGCTTTTTCTTGGGGAATATTTGTGTTGGTGGGGATCTAATGGAGGGTAAAAAACCAGGATGACTCTGGCAGCCGTGCACCAGGTACTCACTCTGCGCATGCCTTCTCCCCGCGGCACCCTCCGCCTCCCCCACGGCTCACCCTCTCCTCCTCGCCCTGCTCTACGTCTGTTCTGCTCCGGGTCCAGGGGTCCGGTGTGGGGTCTGGCTCTCCTGCATGCGCTGCCTGCGCCCAGGCCCTGCGGAGCGTGTGGCTGCCTCGCTCACAGTGCATGTGGTGCGCGTGCTGCGGCACGGCCCCAAGCCCGGTGCCAGCTGCGTTGGCCCTTTGGCAGACCCTGCTCCCAGTTGCCTGGAGAGGGCTGGGAGGGGTTTGAACCAGCTGAACTGCTCTCTCCTGTTGAGACTTTCCCGGCAGGGAAGGCTCTGCTGGCACCGCCCTCGCACGGCTCCCCTCTCTTCTGCTCCCAGGCCGTCTCTCTCCTTTCCCCACGGCAGGGGCTGTCTGTGCCAGCCCCCTCGCAGGGCGAGCCAGGGTGGTGACGTGCACGTTGCTCGCATCGTCTTCATCGCTTGGGCTCCGCTCGCTCTCTGTCCCTTCTCTCTGGAACGTGGCTTCCTGCGCTGCTGTCTGGCTCCTGTTGCCTGTCTGCCTGTGCTGTTGTGTGTCCCCTGTCGCGCCACACATCTTCTGGAAGCTGGCGTCACCGGCTCATGCGGTGGCCCAGGGGCCGAAGCCATTCCACGTGCATCTGCCACCCCTCGGCTGTCTCGGCAGTGTGTGGCTGGGCCAGCATCGATTCCACGGCGCGATCGCATCCCTTGTGATTTGTCTCTCTCTCCCCTCTCTGTCCCCTGCACCCTCTTTCCCCTCCAGAAAGCCGCCGAGAAGCTGAAAGAGGAGGAGAGGAAGCGGCTGGCGGAGGTGGAGGCGCAGCTGGAGAAGCAGCGGCAGCTGGCCGAGGCCCACGCCAAAGCCAAGGCACAGGCGGAGGCGGAGGCGCGGGAGCTGCAGCTCCGCATGCAGGAGGAGGTCACCCGGCGGGAGGTGGTGGCCGTGGATGCCGAGCAGCAGAAGCAGAACATCCAGCAGGAGCTGATGCAGCTGCGGCAGAACTCGGACCACCAGATCAAGTCCAAGGTGAAGATGATCGAGGAGGCTGAATACAACCGCAAGAAAGTGGAGGAGGAGATCCGCCTCATCCGCCTGCAGCTGGAGAGCACCGAGAAGCAGCGGGAGAGCGCAGAGACAGAGCTGCAGGAGCTGCGGGCACGTGCCGAAGATGCTGAGCGGCAGAAGCGGCAGGCACAGGAGGAGGCCGAGCGCCTGCGCCGGCAGGTGAAGGAGGAGAGCCAGAAGAAGCGGGAGGCGGAGGAGGAGCTGAAGCGCAAGGTGCAGGCTGAGCGCGAAGCGGCGCGGGAGAAGCAGAAGGCAGTGGCAGACCTGGAGCAGCTGCGGCTGCAGGCGGAGGAGGCTGAGCGGCGCATGCGGCAGGCAGAGGCTGAGAAGGACCGGCAGATCCAGGTGGCCCAGGAGGTGGCCCAGCGCAGCGCTGAGGCCGAGCTGCAGAGCAAGAGGCTCTCTTTCGCCGAGAAGACAGCGCAGCTGGAGCTGTCACTGCAGCAGGAGCACGATGTGGTGGCCCAGCTGCAGGAGGAGGCTGAACGGCTGAAGAGGCAGCAGCTGGAGGCCGAGCGCTCACGGGAGGAGGCTGAGAAGGAGCTGGAGCGCTGGCGGCAAAAGGCCAACGAGGCGCTGCGCCTGCGGCTGCAGGCCGAAGAGGTGGCGCACAAGAAGTCACTGGCACAGGAGGAGGCCGAGAAGCAGAAGGAGGATGCAGAGCGCGAGGCCCGCAAGCGCGCCAAGGCAGAGGAGGTGGCCGTGCGGCAGAAGGAGCTGGCGGAGGAAGAGCTGGAAAAGCAGCGGGTGCTGGCAGAGGGCACAGCCCAGCAGAAGCTGGCGGCGGAGCAGGAGCTGATCCGGCTGAAGGCGGAGATGGAGAATGGGGAGCAGCAGCGCCTGCTCCTGGAGGAAGAGCTCTCACGGTTGAAGGGCGAGGTAAACGAGGCCATCCAGAGGAGGAAAGAGCTGGAGGAGGAGCTGGCCAAGCTGCGGGCAGAGATGGAGGTCCTGCTGGAGAGCAAGGCCAAGACAGAGGAGGAGTCGCGCTCCAGCAGCGAGAAGTCCAAGCAGCGGCTGGAGGCAGAGGCCAACAAGCTGCGGGAGCTGGCCGAGGAGGCCGCCCGCCTGCGCGCCCTCTCCGAGGAAGCCAAGCGGCAGCGGCAGCTGGCAGAGGACGAGGCCAGCCGGCAACGGGCCGAGGCCGAGCGCATCCTGAAGGAGAAGCTGGCGGCCATCAACGAGGCCTCGCGGCTGAAGGCGGAAGCAGAGATCGCGCTGAAGGAGAAGGAGGCGGAGAACGAGCGGCTGCGGCGGCTGGCGGAGGACGAGGCCTACCAGCGCAAGCTGCTGGAGGAGCAGGCGGCCCAACACAAGCAGGACATTGAGGAGAAGATTGCCCTGCTGAAGCGCTCCTCAGAGAGCGAACTGGAGAGGCAGAAGGGGCTCGTGGAGGATACGCTGCGGCAGCGGCGGCAGGTTGAGGAGGAGATCCGCGCCCTCAAGGCCAGCTTCGAGAGGGCCTCAGCTGGCAAGAGCGAGCTGGAGCGGGAGCTGAACCGCATCCGTGGGGAGGCAGAGGAGGTGCAGCGCAGCCGGGAGCAGGCGGAGCGGGAGGCTGAGCGACAGCGGGCACTGGCGCTGGAGGAGGAGGGCCGCCGGCGTGAGGCCGAAGAGAAGGTGCAGGCCATCCTGGCGGCCGAGGAGGAGGCAGGGCGGCAGCGGCGTCTGGCCCTGGAGGAGGTGGAGCGGCTGCGGGCCATGGTGGAGGAGGCACGGCGGCAGAAGGAACTAGCGGAAAAGGAGTCAGAGCGGCAGATCCAGCTGGCACGGGAGGCGGCGCAGAAGCGGATTGCAGCAGAGGAGAAGGCACACCTGGCTGCTGTGCAGCAGAAGGAGCAGGAGCTGCTGCAGACACGCCAGCAGGAGCAGAGCCTTCTGGACCGGCTGCGTGAGGAGGCTGAGCGGGCCCGGCGGGCGGCTGAGGAGGCCGAGTTTGCCCGTGGCAAGGCCGAGCAGGACGCCAGCTTGTCCCGGCAGCGCGTGGAGGAGGCTGAGCGGCTGAAGCAGCGGGCAGAGGAGGAGGCGCAGGCCAAGGCACAGGCGCAGGCAGATGCAGAGAAGCTGCGGAAGGAGGCCGAGCTGGAGGCAGCAAAACGGGCGCAGGCAGAGCAGGCGGCCCTGCGGCAGAAGCAGCTGGCCGATGCCGAGATGGAGAAGCACAAGAAGTTTGCCGAGCAGACACTGCGGCAGAAGGCGCAGGTGGAGCAGGAGCTGACCAAGGTGAAGTTGCAGCTGGATGAGACAGACCACCAGAAGGGCATCCTGGATGAGGAGCTGCAGCGGCTGAAGGAGGAGGTGACAGACGCCGTCCGGCAGAAGGCCCAAGTGGAGGAGGAACTCTTCAAGGTCCGGGTGCAGATGGAGGAGCTGGCCAAGCTGAAGAGCCGCATCGAGGAGGAGAACAAGGCACTGATCCTCAAGGACAAGGACAACACGCAGAAGTTCTTGGCGGAGGAGGCAGAGAAGATGAAGCAGGTGGCGGAGGAGGTGGCCCGCCTGAGCGTGGAGGCGCAGGAGGCCGCCCGCATGCGGCAGCTGGCTGAGGACGACCTGGCGCAGCAGCGGGCGCTGGCAGAGAAGATGTTGAAGGAGAAGATGCAGGCGGTGCAGGAGGCCACGCGGCTGCGGGCAGAGGCTGAGATGCTGCAGAAGCAGAAGGATCTGGCGCAGGAACATGCCAAGAAGCTGCAGGAGGACAAGGAGCAGATGCAGCAGCGCCTGGCTGAGGAGACCGAGGGCTTCCAGAAGACGCTGGAGGCTGAGCGCCGGCGGCAGCTGGACATCACAGCTGAGGCTGAGCGCCTCAAGCTGCAGGTGGCAGAGATGAGCATGGCCCAGGCCAAGGCTGAGGAGGAAGCCAAGCGGTTCAAAAAGCAGGCGGAGGAGATCAGTGAGAGGCTGCATGAGACTGAGCTGGCCACACAGGAGAAGATGACGATGGTGCACACCCTGGAGATCCAGCGGCACCAGAGCGATGAGGATGCAGAAAAGCTGCGGAAGGCCATCGCTGACCTGGAGAAGGAGAAGGAGAAGCTGAAACAGGAGGCAGCGCTGCTGCAGCAGAAGGCAGAGGAGGTACTGGGCTGTGGGTCCCCTTTAGTGGTGGTGGTACACAGGGAGGCTATCCCTCTTCCCAGCCAGCCCACACCATCTCTGGGCCGGTCCTCGGGACCATCACTGGGGATGGTGGGGCTGGACTCCCTGTGCAGGTCAGGGATGTGCGTAGAGGTGGAGGTGGTGGAGCAAACCCCTCAGGCAGCGTCGGAGCAGGACCCCAAACCCCTGGAGCCATGGAGGTGGGATCCCCACCGCCTGGGCTGGCTCTTCCACCCCGTGGCATGTCCTGCCGTGTTCCTCTCTGTGCCCGGCTCCCAGCCTGAGTGCTGGGGGTTCCCTTGTGTCCTTCCCCTGCTCATCCTGCCCCATGTTGTGTGTGGCTCCCTAACCCTGCCTCTGCTCCTTAGCTCTTAACTGATGCAGAGAGTGTGTGGGTGACTGTGCCTCCGTGCCACCCCTGCCGCCCGTCCCCCTGCCTCAGCCCACCCTCAGTCCCCCACTGCCCTCCTGGGTGTCTGACTGCACTGTTCTCTCTCCCACCCTAGATGCAGGTGGCCCAGCAGGCTCAGCTCCGTCAGGAGACGCAGCTCCTGCAGCAGAGCTTCCTGACGGAGAAAGATGCCCTGCTGCAGAAGGAGAAGTTCATTGAGGAGGAGAAATCGAAGCTGGAGAAGCTCTTTAAGGATGAAGTGAACAAAGCCCAGAACCTGAAGGCAGAGCAGGAGCGGCAGCAGCGGGAGATGGAGCAGGAGAAGCAGCAGTTGAAAGCTATGTTAGAGGAAGCCAAGAAGCATCAGAAGGAAGCTGAGGAAAATGTCCGGCACAAGCAGGAGGAGTTACAGCAGCTGGAGAAGCAGCGACAGCAGCAGGAGAAACTTCTGGAAGAAGAGAACAAGAAGCTGAGGGAGAGGCTCGAGCAGATGCAGGAGGAGTACAAGGCTGCCCTGTCCCAGAGACGGGAGATCATGATCCAGACAGATGACCTGCCTGGGGAGGTGGTTACGACAACGCAGCTGCTGGACATCAAGGCTGTGCCCAATGGCCGGGATGCAATGGACGGCTTAGCCCAGAATGGGGAGCCGGAGTTCGCCTTTGAGGGCATCCGGCAGAAGGTGTCAGCAGAGAAGCTGGCTGATGCAGGCATTCTGAGCAGGGAGAACTTAGACAAGTTGGCAAAGGGTGTTGTGAGTGTGGGCGAGCTCTCTCAGAGGGAGGATGTCAAGAAGTACCTGCAGGGCAAGAGCAGCATTGCCGGTTTGCTGATCAAACCCTCCAACCAGAAGATGAGCATCTACGAAGCCATGAAGAAGAAGCTGCTCAGCCCAGGCACAGCGCTGGTGCTCCTGGAGGCACAGGCTGCTTCTGGCTTCATCATTGACCCTGTGCGGAATGCAAGGCTCTCGGTGAACGAGGCGGTGCGAGAGGGAGTGATCGGGCCAGAGCTGCACAACAAGATGCTGTCGGCCGAGCGGGCTGTCACCGGCTATAAGGATCCATACACAGGTGACAAGATCTCCCTGTTCCAGGCCATGCAGAAGGATCTCATCGTCAGGGACCACGGCATCCGCCTGCTCGAGGCCCAGATCGCCACCGGCGGCATCATCGACCCTGTCAACAGCCACCGCCTGCCCGTGGAAGCTGCCTACAAGCGTGGCTACTTTGATGAGGAGATGAATCAGGTCCTGTCTGACCCCAGTGATGACACCAAGGGTTTCTTCGATCCCAACACTCAGGAGAACCTCACCTACCTGCAGCTCATGGAGCGGTGCGTGACTGACCCGGACACAGGGCTGTGCCTCCTGCCACTCACTGACCAAGCAGCCAAAGCCAGAGAGCTGGTCTACACCGACAAGGAAGCCAAGGATGTCTTCAAGAAGGCCACAGTGACAGCACCTTTTGGCAAGTTCCAAGGGAAGACGATGACCATCTGGGAGCTCATCAACTCTGAATACTTCACTGAGGACCAAAGGCGGGACCTGATCCAGCAGTACAGGACTGGCAAGATCACAGTGGAGAAGATCATCAAGATCGTCATCACGGTTGTGGAGGAAAGTGAGAAGAAGAGCCAGATGTGCTTTGAGGGCCTGCGGGGCCCCGTGCCCGCTGCCGAGCTGCTTGAGAGCAAGATCATCAACAAGGACCTCTACAACCAGCTGCACCAGGGCAAGAAGTCCATAAAGGATGTGGCAGAGATGGAGTCCGTACGGCAGTACCTGAAGGGCACGGATGCCATTGCTGGTGTCCTGGTGGAGTCTACAGGCCAGAAGCTCACCTTCTACGAGGCCCTGAAGAGAAACCTGCTGAAGCCAGAGGTTGCCCTGTCCCTGCTGGAGGCACAAGCTGCCACTGGCTACATCATTGACCCCGTGGCTAACAAGCTCTTCTCCGTGGATGAGGCAGTGAAGGCCGAGGTGGTGGGGCCAGAGTTCCACGAGAAGCTGCTGTCAGCAGAGAAGGCGGTGACTGGCTACAAGGATCCCTACACAGGTCAGACGGTTTCCCTCTACCAAGCACTCCAGAAGGGCCTCATCCCCAGCGACACTGGGCTCCGGCTGCTGGACGTCCAGCTTGCCACTGGTGGCATCATCGACCCCGTCAACAGCCACCGGCTCCCGCTTGAGGTTGCCTACAAGCGCGGCTACTTCGACCCAGAGATAAACAAGGCTCTGACTGAGTTCCAAGATGAAGCCAAGGCTTTCTACTGTCCCAACACCCAGGAACACCTCACCTATGTGCAGCTGCAGAAGAGTTGCCACCGCGACAAGCAGACTGGCCTGCGCCTGCTGCCCCTGTCTGACAAGGCAATCCAGTCACAGCAGGAGGAGATCTACACCGACAGCCAGGCCAAGGAGTGCTTTGACAAAGCAACCATAGAGGTCCCAGTGGGCAGCATGAAGGGCCAGACAATGACCATCTGGGAGCTGATCCACTCTGAATACTTCACAGAGGAGCACAGGCGGGAGCTGCTCCGACAGTACAAGACCGGCAAAGTGACCATCGAGAAGATCATCAAGATTGTGATCACCATCATCGAGGAGGCAGAAACCAAAAAGCAGGAGAAACTGACATTCAGTGGTCTGCGGGCACCAGTGCCAGCCAGCGAGCTGCTGGAGTCCTGCATCATCAGCAAAACCCAGTACGAGCAGCTGAAGGAAGGCAAGAAATCAGTGAAGGACCTCTCTGAGACAGATGCAGTCAGGAGATTCCTGCATGGCAGCGACTGCATTGCCGGTGTCTATGTAGAGGCCACCAAGGAGAAGCTGAACATCTATGAGGCCATGAAGAGGAACCTGCTGAGACCCAGCACAGCCGTGGTCCTCCTGGAGGCCCAGGCAGCCACTGGGTTCTTGATTGACCCTGTGAAGAACCGTAAACTGTACGTCAACGAGGCGGTGAAGGCTGGCATTGTCGGGCCTGAGCTGCACGAGAAGCTGCTGTCGGCTGAGAAGGCTGTCACTGGGTACAAGGATCCCTACTCGGGTGATACCATCTCCCTGTTCCAGGCCATGAAGAAAGGGCTTATTGTCAAGGAGCACGGCATCCGTCTGCTCGAGGCCCAGATCGCCACCGGTGGCATCATTGACCCCGTGCACAGCCACCGCCTGCCCGTGGAGGTGGCCTACAAGCGTGGCTACTTCGACGAGGAGATGAACCGGACCCTCTCCGACCCCACTGATGACACCAAGGGCTTCTTTGACCCCAACACTCAGGAGAACCTCACCTATGTGCAGCTGAAGGAGAGGTGCATCGAGGATCCCGAGACAGGCCTATACCTGCTGCCGCTGCGGGAGCCTGAGAAGCAAAAAGTGGTGGAAACCACTCACATGTACACAGAAGAAGAGACACGGAAGGTGTTTGAGGAGACACAGGTGGACATCCCTGTGGGCAGCCGGGCAGGCTCCTCCATGTCACTGTGGGATGTCATGCACTCAGACCTGCTGCCTGAGGAGCAGCGTAAACACCTCATGGAGGAGTTCCAGTCGGGCCGCGTGTCCAAGGAGCGCATGATCATCATTATCATCGAGATCATCGAGAAGACTGAGATCATCCGGCAGCAGAATCTAACATCCTATGACTATGTCCGGCGCCGCATCACAGCCGAGGACCTCTACGAGGCCAAGATCATCACACAGGACATCTACAACCTGCTGAAACAGGGCTCCAAAACCTTCCGGGAGCTCCTGGATGTGGAGACTGTCTGGAAGTACCTTTATGGGTCAGGCTGTGTGGCTGGCATCTACATCCCCTCCTCCAAGCAGACACTCAGTGTCTACCAGGCGCTGAAGAAGGGCCTGATCAATTCCGAAGTGGCCCGCTCCCTCCTGGAGGCCCAGGCAGCCACCGGCTTCATGATCGACCCCACGAAGAATGAAATGCTGACTGTTGATGAGGCAGTCAGGAAGGGCGTGGTGGGGCCAGAGATCCACGACCGGCTCCTGTCTGCAGAGAGAGCTGTGACCGGCTACAGGGACCCCTACAGTGAACAGAAGATTTCCCTCTTCCAGGCCATGAAGAAGGATCTCATTCCCAGCGAAGAGGCCCTCAAGCTCCTAGACGCCCAGATCGCCACCGGCGGCATAATTGACCCTCACCTGGGCTTCCACCTGCCCCTGGAGGTGGCCCTCCAGCGGGGCTTCATCAACAAGGAAACGTATGACATGCTGTCGGAGCCCAGCGAGGTGCGCAGCTACGTGGACCCCTCCACAGATGAGAAGCTCAGCTACACGCAGCTGCTGAGGCGGTGTCGGAAGGACGAGAACTCCAGGCTCCTCCTGCTCCCGCTCTGCGACACACGGAAGCTCACCTTCCGGGGCCTGCGGAAGCAGATCACTGTGGAGGAGCTGGTCCTCTCACAGGTGATGGACGAAGCCACAGCCCAGCGCCTCCAGGAGGGTCTCACCTCTGTCGAGGAGGTCTCTAAGAACCTGAAGAAGTTCCTGGAGGGCACCAGCTGCATCGCTGGCGTCTTTGTGGACTCCACAAAGGAGCGTCTGTCCATCTACCAGGCCATGAAGAAGGGGATCATCCGGCCTGGCACTGCCTTCGAGCTCTTGGAGGCACAGGCAGCCACGGGCTACGTGATTGATCCCATCAAGGGGCTGAAACTGACAGTGGAGGAAGCTGTGCGCATGGGCATTGTGGGCCCCGAGTTCAAGGACAAGCTGCTCTCTGCCGAGCGGGCCGTCACCGGCTACCGGGACCCCTACACCGGAAAGCTCATCTCCCTCTTCCAGGCGATGAAGAAGGGTCTGATCCTGAAGGACCACGGCATCCGCTTGCTGGAGGCACAGATCGCCACGGGAGGCATCATTGACCCTGAGGAGAGCCACCGCCTGCCTGTGGAGGTGGCCTACAAGAGGGGCCTCTTTGACGAGGAGATGAACGAGATCCTGCTGGACCCTAGTGACGACACCAAGGGCTTCTTCGACCCCAACACAGAGGAGAACCTCACCTACCTGCAGCTCATGGAGCGGTGCATCACAGACCCAGAGACCGGCCTCTGCCTCCTGCCTCTGAAGGAGAAAAAGCGGGAGAGGAAGACCTCCTCCAAGTCCTCCGTCCGCAAGCGCCGCGTGGTGATCGTTGACCCGGAGACCGGCAAGGAGATGTCCGTCTACGAAGCCTATCGCAAGGGCCTCATTGACCACCAGACTTACCTGGAGCTGTCAGAGCAGGAGTGCGAGTGGGAGGAGATCACCACCTCCTCCTCCGATGGCGTGGTGAAGTCAATGATCATCGACAGGCGCTCGGGGCGCCAGTATGACATCGATGATGCCATTGGCAAGGGTCTGATTGACCAGTCAGCCCTGGACCAGTACCGCTCAGGCACCCTCTCCATCACTGAGTTTGCTGACATGCTCTCTGGCAACATGGGTGGCTTCCGGTCGCGGTCATCCTCAGTTGGATCCTCCTCCTCCTACACTGTCAGCCCAGCCCTGTCACGGACTCAGATCTCCATGTGGACTGACCCAACCGAAGAGACTGGGCCAGTGGCAGGCATCCTGGACACGGACACCCTGGAAAAGGTGTCCATCACGGAGGCGATGCGCCGCAACCTGGTGGACAACATCACAGGGCAGCGGCTGCTGGAAGCCCAGGCCTGCACCGGAGGCATCATCGACCCCAACACTGGTGACAAATGCACCGTCGCTGATGCGGTCACCAAGGGCCTGGTTGACAAGATCATGGTGGACCGCATCAACCTGGCACAGAAGGCCTTCTACGGCTTTGAGGACCCGCGGACCAAGACAAAGATGTCGGCGGCGCAGGCCCTGAAGAAGGGCTGGCTGTACTATGAGGCCGGGCAGCGGTTCCTGGAGGTGCAGTACTTGACAGGGGGCCTGATCGAGCCTGATGCCCCAGGCCGTGTCTCCCTGGATGAGGCGCTGCAGAAGGGCACCATCGACGCACGGACTGCCCAGAAGCTGCGGGATGTCAACACCTATTCCAAGTACCTCACCTGCCCCAAGACCAAGCTCAAGATCTCCTACAAGGATGCCATGGACCGGAGCATGATCGAGGATGGGACCGGCCTGCGGCTGCTGGAGGCCTCCTCCCAGTCCAGCAAGGGCTACTACAGTCCCTACAACATCAGCAGCGCCGGCTCCACCTCCGGATCGCGCTCGGGCTCTCGCACCGGCTCCCGCTCAGGCTCCCGGCGCGGCAGTTTCGACGCCACTGGCTCCGGCTTCTCCATGACCTTCTCTTCCTCCTCCTACTCCTCCTCGAGTTTTGGGCGCAGATACACGGGGAGTACCCAGGGCACCATGGAGGAGGCTGCCCTTGCCCTCGCCCTGGCCACATCCAGAAGCTGCGGGTGGGAGGCGAGCAGGGAGTGCCCCGGGGTGTCTGGGCCCCTGCTCCACGTGGCCTAAGACGTGCCAGCCCCCCGAGGCACCGCCTCACCCGCTCCGCATGTGGCAACGCTGCTGGCTAATCACTAGTATTTTTTTTAATTTTGAACCTCCACTTTTCTCCCAAAGCAGTGCCTCAAGTTTAACCAAAAAGACAAGACTAATAAATTAATATATGCGAATGTGCTGACAGTGTTTGTATATTAAGAGACAAGAGAGAATATACACTACCCTCCCCACCCTGTGCCCCAGGAGCCGGACACCGTTCCTGCTCCTGGCTGTGCCAATCCCGCCGCTGCTCGCACACGGCGCGGTCGAGCCAGACACCAAGAAAACAGTTCCCCGTTTGGATCTAACCACTTAGCATTCTTTTGTAATTAACCTGCCGGCTTCAGCCCCTGCACCCCAAAAGAGGAGACTGCCTTGGCCCTGTGGTGCACCCCACTGCAACCGATGTGCCAGAGGAGGACATCACCAGCTCCTCGGCACTGGACAGCTAGACACACCACACCAGCCCTGAAGCTGCTGCCTGGACCCCTTCCACGCGCCCTCAGTGCAGCGAGGAGGGGGCTCTGCACCCCAGCCCCCCGAGCTGCCCCATCTCCCTGCCTTGGCCTCCTGGCACGTCCCCACCACCACGCCGCAGAGCCGGTGCCCTGACCGTAAGTGCCGCGCTGGCGCTGCCCGGTGCTTCCGCGCCATGCGGGGGGACCTGCCTCCGCTCGCCACTTCACCCGCCGAGGGGCTTCGCTGCGTGCCTGCCTCCGCCAGCCCACCCGCTCACCCGTCCTCCGGGACGCGCCTGCCGCGGTCGGCCGGTCTGTCTGTCAGTCTCTCCGTGTATCTGGGAAGTGCTTCTGCTCGAGGTTGATTTCCTCACACTCATGTGGCTCCATGACCCGTTGGCAGGTGTCTGCCAGAGCCCACGCCCCTGCCTGGGTCTGCGCAGCTCCTGCCCCCAGAACCCCCCAGAGCCGTGGGGGTTTTCCTGACCCTCACAAAGGGTATGAGGGCCATGGGACCCCTGCAGCACAGGGTGGGTCGTAGGATGCTGTAGCAGCCTGGCACACACTCTTGTTAGAAATAGGGAGATTTCTGTAAAAACAGCTTCCTTTTCCTTCTTCGCGGTAATTCCACCCCCCTGGCTCCCCGCCATGCCGGCGCTAACGCGCTCTCTCTCTGGCAGACGTCTTTTTCCAGTCCCAACAAAGACCTCCCAGTGCCGCTGGGCGAGCTCCTGAGCTGGGTCTCCGACATCAGCAGGTCGTGGATGGGCTCGAGGGGAGCCCCAGAGGCGGCAGCTGCTCAGCCATGCTCACCTGCACAGGTAACACCGACCTCCCCGGTCTGTCCCGGTCCCACAGCGGGTGCGCGGCACTGACGGCCGGGCTTGGTGGCTTCATTTCATGGATTGTTCTCCCTGTCTCATCCCATCTTTTCTGTTCGCTTTGTTGTAGTGTGGCTGGATGTCCATACCACTTCCCCTCATCGCCGCCATGGAGCCCGTCCCCCGCCCTGAGGCCGGTGGGACCGCACCTGAGGACACAGGGACGTTCTCCCTCACCCTTTGCACTTGCCAGAGTCCCCTGCCAGAGACTGGGGCCACAGTGCCCGAGCAGCCAATGGCCCAAGAAGCACCCACGGGGTCACCTGGCCCCCGCTGGCCCCACACACTCCCTCTTCCCTGGGGATGGCCTCCTGGTGTGGTGTCGGGCTCACTGCGGATCTCCAGAACATCTCCTCCTTCCCCCCCGCTCTCATCTGCCACCTGTAAATCCTGTCATGTTACCCTCCGCCTCTGGTGTCATTATTGCTCTCATGACCCCCTTCGGCTTTGCATGAGGGGCCACTGCGCGCGGCTCCAGGACAGTCCCCACTCCCAGGGCCCCCCACACCCCGACCATCACTCATCGGGACAGTGGGGGTCCATGGATTACCCAAACACATCTCTTTTCGGGGGCAAAACACTAAACTTGGACATACCACGAAGTGTCTGTAAAAGGAGCAGTGCAGACCCAGGGCTCCCCTGCAAGGGCAGTAAAGGAGAATCCTCTGAAACCAGCCAGCAGCTCTGCGTGGTCTGTTCGCCCCTTGGCCTTGCCACCGTGGCTGTGGGCTACCATTGCCTCCTGCAGCTTCATGCCATGAGCTCTGTGGGCTGCCCCAGGTCGTGGTGAAGTGTGTCGGGGTGCCAGGGGTCTGACCTGGGCCTGGGTGTACCCATGGTGCTGCCAGGCACAGAGCAGGGCCAGGGGGTTGTCCCCATGCTGGCAGCACAGCTGGGAGGTCAGTGTGGGTGCAGCATTAGACCCCTGGTCTTGGGGAGTGGGTGCTGCTGGTGCTGTGGAGGCTTCTGAGCATTTCTTGTACAAGGACAGACCTGTCCCTTCATCAGTGGGGCTCTGGACTGGGCAGGAACGCTGTCCTCCATGGTACTGTTCCCATCCATGTGTGCTGCTGCCGGTGCCGTGGCCTCTGCCCGCTGTGGGCTGTGCTGTGGGCACTCTCTTTGGGCAGTGGGTGGATGGCAGCGGTCAGCTGTGAGGCTGAGGGGCTTCAGGGGGTTCAGGATGTGGTGGCCTGGCAACCGCTGGTAGGACAGCAGCATTCAGCCTGGCACACCTGGAGATGTCAGTGCAGCCCCTGGCACAGGTGGCTCAAGGGGTCTGTCCAGCCCAGTGAGGCAGGTGCCACTGTGCAGCCCAGGTTGGGACTCCCTGAGCACAAGAGTCATCCCACAGCAGTGCCAGGAGCCCCAGGCACTGTGCCAGGAGCGCCAGAGCTGTCAGGACCTTGCAGGCCCCCTGTGATGTCCAGGGGCTGGTGGGGTCTCAACTGTGCCAGGACCAGCCAAGCATGTCAGCGGCCCCGGGTGGGGCTGGCCGGGACAGATGGCGGTGGCTGGGTAGGACGTTAATTGCATTGTCCGTCAGCAATTAACCGCTGCGTCCGTCTGTCCCCACCGGCAGTGGGATGAGGCCGTTAGGCACAGACTGGCCAGGGGGACTCAGGGGGGCTGTAGGCTCCTGCAGCCATTGGGGGGCTCAGGAGAGGCCCCAGAACAGCAGGACATTCCACCAGATGACACAAGCTGCTTGGGGCCCTGTCCCACCTCAGTGACCCCCCAGATATTTCCTTGTGTCCCCCAGATGTTCCCTGCTCCCCCCAGATATTCCTTGCTTACCTCCCAATTTCCTGACTCATCCCCCAGGGTGAGTAACATCTCCTAAAGCTCCCGAGACCACCAAGAGCCCTCTGACCCATGGCCCAGTCCCATGTCATGGCCTGGAAGCCCCTCACCACCCCTCCCTCCCTCTGACACTGGTGGGGTCGAGCTCTGTTTCCTGGTCCCCACATCCATGTGCCAGGGGGGACCCTATTCCCCACACCCCTTCGACCCTCCCCTGGCATGGGGACCCTCCCTGGTGTGCCCGAGGCAGTGGGATCTCCTCATGGCGGCTGGCAAAGGGGCACAGGAGGGTGAGGAGGGGGAATGCCCCGAGATCCAGGCTGACTGCTCCTGGGGTGAGCCAGCCTCTTCCCCCACGCAGCACGGCGTCCCCTGTCCACGGACACTCTTCATCACCTTGTGTTGCTCCATGTCACCCCCCTGCCCCACTGATACCCCCTGTCCATCCCACATCTCCTGCAGCACCATGCGCTGGGAGTGAGCGGGCCAAGCTCGTCACCATGGAGAACTCCACCATATTCCCCATTTTAATGCCCTGCATGTCACCCTGCCCTGCTGCTGCGGAGGCTGGAGCTAACCCTCCCCGCCCCCCCCAGAGTTAAACCATCCCTCAGAACTGCGGTGGCACGGGAGGCACCGACTGCCTCCCCGGCCGTGGAGGGGTCCCTCGCCCCCCGCCGGCATTTCCCCACCGCCCTTCGGGGATTGAGTGGCAGCACCGCCCCGTCCTGGCTGCGGTCCGCCGGCCGGGACCCGTGGTCGCTGTCCCGAGCGTGGCCCTGCTGGCACAGAGCAGCTGCCAGCTCCCTGTGCCCACCGCCCCGGGCGCTGCTGGCTCGGCCCCCGCCGCGCCGGGAACGCTCTGTACAGCTTCTCACAAAGCCCGACCGGCCTCTCCCACGCCCCCACCCCTCGCTGGGGCGCTGAACCTCCTCATGGCCAGGGACCCCGGGACCCCCCCCTGGCCGTGCCGCTGAGGCTCGCTGCCGCCTCCGCGCCCCGCCGGCCGGAGCCGGGGCCGCTGCTGGCCGGAGCGGTGAATCCCCCCGGCCACGGAGCGAGCGGGGACGGTGCTGCCGCAGCCGCAGCCCGCAGAGCCCCTAGTCCGACGGGGTGGTGCGGTGTGGGCAGCGCGGTGCGGGATCCGCCTCCCCCAGCGGCACCGAGAGCTGCTGTCAGGCAGCTCCAGAGCTGTTTGTTCCTGCTCACGCTCCCGGTGCTCGGGCAGCCCGCGGTGTCCGGTGCCCGAGCCGGGGCTGGGAGATGCTCTGAAGCGGCCCCCGCAGCGTGCCGGGGCAGGGGGCGGCTGTGGGACCCTCCCAGGCATGAGGGCACCCAGCACCCGTTTGGGGTCTGCTGCTCCTCGCGGTCCCGTGTCTCTGGAGCAGCCGGGGCAGCCGTGCTGGCACCGTGTCTGGGACGGGCTGGCAGCGACCATCGGAGCTCCAGCTCCATCCCCAGCCCCAGCAGCCCAGGCTGAGTTTGGGCTGGAAGAGCTTTTCCCCGTGCCCACCTGCGGGAGCATCCTCCACCTGCCCTGGTTCTCTGTGCCCAGCCTCCGGCACCAGGGCTGGCATTGTCACACTGCAGTCCTGCCTTGGGATGAGGCCACACAGGGTCAGGGACCACCGGCATGGGGCGGGAGGGCTGTGGGACCACCTGTGACTGCACTGGAGCTGCCACGAGCCCACGAGCCACGGTGGCCCCCGCTGTGCCATCCTGCTCTCTCCCTGGACACTGACCTGGCCCTGGGCAGGGGGAAGCAAGGCGCTGCTGGTGGCTTTTCCAGCTGGTGGGTGGCACTGCTGCCAGTGCTGGGGCAGGTGGCCACACTGTGGCTGCGTGGGTTGGTTGGGGCCCTGCTGATGGCATCGTGACAGCAGTGTCTGCTGTGAGCACATGTCCCCAGTGTCCCCGACGGGACTGAGCCCTGCTGGCACTCTGACCACGAGGAACCTGCCTGATGCCTCTTCCCCTCATCCAGGGAATTCACAGCTGCTGCTGGTGGGGTCCCTGAGCAGACCCTGGCTGAGGTTCCTTCTGCAGCAGACATATCCCAGGCCCTCCCAGCCCCCTTGTGCTGCAGCTGTTGCTCAGGTGCCATATGTCACCTTCCCCAGGTCCATCCAAGGCAGCAGTGCCACGTCCCTCCTGCTCCACAGGGGTTTTATCTCCCATTTATCCATCCCACATATCAGGGCTGTTCCCCTGGTACAATATCTTGGAGATGTGGTCGTGTCCTTGCTTAGGTCTTGGGCGCATCATCATTTTGTGGCATTGCTGTGGCTGTGCCCCATTTCCCTCACAGTGGTGTCTCCCCCTCCTTGTGCTCAGCCAGGTGACCTGGCTTAATTAATCAGGGTTAGCAACAGGTTAATTACAGTGGTCCCGGGCTGTGGGAGCAGCATCACCCTCAGCCTTTGGGTGCAGGCTTGGTGTGATCCCTCCTGCCAGTCCCACTCTCCCCTGGGGCACGAAGTAACTGCTGCCTGTCCATGCCCCGTGTCCGTGCCAGGGTTGTAGATCTTGTGTTTGCCTGGCATCTTCTCCCATGTCTTGTGGCAAAGTGGCTGCACTTGCAGCACCTGAGGAGCATCTGCTCTGAGACACCACTGCCCCATGCCAGAGCAGGGGGTTTTCCACGGAGTAGTTGGTAATTTGCTGCTGGGGGTCAGTTTGCCATGGCTTGGTTTGGGCTCAGCCAGGGGCTGGACCAGGCTCTGCAGTGCACAGAGCAGGTGAAGGGACACCGGGCACCAGAGGCAGCAGGGTGACATCTGGGAGTGATCCCAGCTGAAAAAGGTTGGGAAATTGAGGTGTACCACAGGAATGCAGAGGAGCTGGAGCCAAGCCCAAACCTGCAGGTCCTGGTGATGGCCGGAGCACAGGACAGAGGGGGGATCCAGGCCAGGGGAGCTCTGTCCCAGCTGGCGGGGATGGGCTGTCCCTGGGGAGACACAGCAGCACTCCAAACCTCCGCGCTGTGGAGCCGTGTCCCCCCCGCCCCTGTGCCAGGACCTGGTGTGCCGTGCCCACCGTCCCTCTGCTCTCCCTGCAGGTGCGCGGCGCTGCGGGAGACGCCGGGCTCACCGGAGATGGCGTGGAGGGGTCACCATGGGGCAGGGAGGAGATGGAGAGGTACGGGCACCGCTGGGCGCTGCCAGACGGGCCGTATCGGGGGCTGCGGGCGTGCCCGGGTGTCCGCACCGTGCCGGGGGTGCTGCTGAACCCTTGGCGGCAGTCTGGGGTGGGGAGGGCGTGGGCTGGCTGTGCTGGGGCGAGCAGGGTGGGAGTGAGCACAGCCGTGAGCGCAGGTGTGGCTGTGGCACACGCGGTGCAGGTGGGCAGCAAGCCCGGAGTTCGGGGCGGTGCGGGCAGGCGGGGACAGCGGCCGTGTCCCCCACAGCCTGGTGTGTCTCTGCTCTCTCCCCAGAGCCTGTCTGCGGTCCGAGCAGAGGCTGGAGGTGCAGGAGCAGCTGCTTGCCCTGCGGCACTGGCTGGACGCCGTAGAGAAGCGGCTGCTGGCGCTGCCAGAGCCCGGCACGGCCCTGCAGGTAACCTCCGGCCCTGGGTGGTGACTGGGCCGTGCAGAGCCGGGCAGGACCAGCCCACGTCTGCACCGAGGCTGGTGAGGTCTTGGTCCTTGCAAGGGAGGAAGGCATCTGGCCACAGCTGGCTGGGACACCCTTCAGCACAGCCCTGCAGGGGTCAGGTCTCCTGTGCCCGGCTCCCTCTCCCCAATCCAGGGGTGCTGCTGGCTTGGAGCCCCATGGCCCTGGCGGTACTCAGGGTACCACTGCCTTGGAGCCCTGCTGGCCACAGGGCCACCACCTGCACCGGGTCCAGCCGCAGCTCGTGGCACTGTCACCTGGGCACGGGGACAGTGGCCAAACACCAGGGGTGTACAGCCGAGCACAGGGTGTACAGCCAGGCACAGGGTGTGTACAGTTGGGCACAAGGGGTGTACAGGTGTGCACAGGAGGTGTGTGGCTGTGTGAGGGGTGTAGAGCCAGGCACAGGAAGTGTGAGGCTGTGTGAGGGGTGTACAGCCGGGCATAGGAGGTGTGATGCTGTGTGCGGGCACAGGGGTGTGTGGCTGTGTGAGGGGTGTTCAGCTGGGTACACAGGGGTGTACAGCTGGGCACAGGGGGTGTGAGGCTGTGTGGGGGGTGTACAGCTGGGTAGACAGGGGTGTACAGCTGGGCACAGGGGTGTGTGGCTGTGCACGGGGTGTACAGCCAGGCAGAAGGGGTGTGTGGCTGTGTGAGGGGTGTACAGCTGGGCACTGGGGTGTGGGGGTGTGCACAGGATGGGTGTACAATCAGGCACAGGGGTGTGGGGCTGTGCGGGGAGTGTAGAGCCAGGCACAGGGAGTGTGAGGCTGTGCACAGGGTGTGTACAGTTGGGCACAGGTGGTGTACAGCTGGCCACAGGGAGTACAGCCAGGCATGGGGGTGTGAGTGTGTGAGGGGTGTACAGTCGGGCACAGGGGGTGTACAGCCAGGCACGGAGGGTGTACAGCCAGGCACAGGGGTGTGATGCTGTGCACAGGGTGTACAGCCAGGCACAGGGGGGTGATGGTGTGCACGGGGTGTACAGCCGGGCAGAGGAGGTGTGATGGTCTGCATGGGGGGTACAGCCGAGCACAGGAGGTGTGGGGCTGTGTGAGGGGTGTACAGCCAGGCACGGAGGGTGTACAGCCAGGCACCGGGGTGTGATGCTGTGCACAGGGTGTACAGCCAGGCACAGGGGGGTGATGGTGTGCACGGGGTGTACAGCCGGGCAGAGGAGGTGTGATGGTCTGCATGGGGGGTACAGCCGAGCACAGGAGGTGTGGGGCTGTGTGAGGGGTGTACAGCCAGGCACGGAGGGTGTACAGCCAGGCACCGGGGTGTGATGCTGTGCACAGGGTGTACAGCCAGGCACAGGGGGGTGATGGTGTGCACGGGGTGTACAGCCGGGCAGAGGAGGTGTGATGGTCTGCATGGGGGGTACAGCCGAGCACAGGAGGTGTGGGGCTGTGTGAGGGGTGTACAGCCAGGCACGGAGGGTGTACAGCCAGGCACCGGGGTGTGATGCTGTGCACAGGGTGTACAGCCAGGCACAGGGGGGTGATGGTGTGCACGGGGTGTACAGCCGGGCAGAGGAGGTGTGATGGTCTGCATGGGGGGTACAGCCGAGCACAGGAGGTGTGGGGCTGTGTGAGGGGTGTACAGCCAGGCACGGAGGGTGTACAGCCAGGCACCGGGGTGTGATGCTGTGCACAGGGTGTACAGCCAGGCACAGGGGGGTGATGGTGTGCACGGGGTGTACAGCCGGGCAGAGGAGGTGTGATGGTCTGCATGGGGGGTACAGCCGAGCACAGGAGGTGTGGGGCTGTGTGAGGGGTGTACAGCCAGGCACGGAGGGTGTACAGCCAGGCACCGGGGTGTGATGCTGTGCACAGGGTGTACAGCCAGGCACAGGGGGGTGATGGTGTGCACGGGGTGTACAGCCGGGCAGAGGAGGTGTGATGGTCTGCATGGGGGGTACAGCCGAGCACAGGAGGTGTGGGGCTGTGTGAGGGGTGTACAGCCAGGCACGGAGGGTGTACAGCCAGGCACCGGGGTGTGATGCTGTGCACAGGGTGTACAGCCAGGCACAGGGGGGTGATGGTGTGCACGGGGTGTACAGCCGGGCAGAGGAGGTGTGATGGTCTGCATGGGGGGTACAGCCGAGCACAGGAGGTGTGGGGCTGTGTGAGGGGTGTACAGCCAGGCACAGGGGGGTGATGGTGTGCACGGGGTGTACAGCCGGGCACAGGAGGTGTGATGGTCTGCATGGGGTGTACAGCCGAGCACAGGAGGTGTGGTGCTGTGTGAAGGGTGTACAGCCGGGCACAGGGGGTGTACAGCCGGGCACAGGAGGTGTGATGCTGTGCACAGGGTGTACAGCCAGGCACAGAGGGTGTACAGCCGGGCACAGGGGTGTGATGGTCTGCACGGGGTGTACAGCCGAGCACAGGAGGCGTGCCCTTGCCAGGGCAGGTCGGGTGTGTGCCCCGCACTGGCCGCGCAGCCGTGTGCTGCCGTGCCCCCTGCCCAGGCTTGGAGCCGCAGCGGGAGCAGCGCAGTGGGGGCCGCCTGCAGCCCCCTCCTCGCCGCCCCTCGCCGGCTCCTTTTGTTCCAGGCCTGGCCGGCACACGGGCTCCCTCGGCACACATGACGGCACAAACTGAAAGGGCCATTCATCGCGGCCCCGGCGCAGACAAAGCCGAGGCCGCACAGAAACCCACCCGGCTCCCGGGATCTGAGGCTGTGGATTCCAGCCGACCGCTCCCGCCCGGTGCCCCGCGCCGGGCTCCCCTGCCCGGGGCACCCGTGCCACCCCGAGCCCGGTACCTGGGGCTGCGGAGCGTGCCGGGCGAGCTGCCGGCGGGCGTGTGGGACGGAGGAGGCTCTGAGGGAAGAGCTGGATCCTCACCCCCTTGCTCAGCTTCTGCCCGGCGGGTCCCGGCTGGGCGCTGTGCGGTGCCTGGGGTGCCGCGGGGCTCAGAGCCCGCCTGGTGCCCAGCACCTCGGTGCCAGCAGCGGAAGGCTCCAGAGCCGTGTGGGGAGCAGGATGCCGAGCGGCTGCAGGACGGTGCGGAGCCACCGAGGCCCTGGCAGATGCTAATTCCCAGCAGCGTCTCTGGCAGCAGACAAAGCCCCCGGCCCCGCCGCCCGCCGCTCCCAGGAGACCCCAGGGAGCCCCATCCATCAGCGTGGCCGACGCGCCCGCAGCGGCCCCCCGGCTCCCGGGGCCCAGCAAGGGGCACCCATGCGGCTCTGTGGGGCAGGATCCAGTCCTGGGGGGCTCTCAGTGGCTGGGAGGCTGAGCCAGGGCAGGATGGGGATGGGGCTCACACCACGGGCGGTAGCAGCCCCCGGCTGGGCACCTCCGGCTGCCCCCTGGTCCCTCCAGCACCCAGGGTGGCAGCGTCGGGGTTGTGGAGACCCAGGCCCGCAGCACCCTGCCTCTCAGGGTGAGCTTCAGTTCAGCACCTTAGCAGCCCGGCCTGCTCCCCCTCAAACCCAGCCCAGCCCAGCCCTGCTCCGCTGAGCCCCCCGGGCCCCTGGCTGAGGGGTCCCCGCACCCAAACAGCCCCAGGGAGCGGGGCCAAGCCCCTCAGTGACCACAGCAGCCGCTGCCTGGGGGGCCAGAGCCAGGGTGGGGGCTACAACCCCAGCGGGAGGGGCCGTGGGGCTGTGACACCGTGGGGCTGTGACACCGTGGGGCTGTGACACCGTGGGGCTGACACCGTGGGGCTGTGCTGTCCTGGGGCTCAGTGTGAGGCAGCACAGCCTGGGCTGGTTCCGGCGCAGGTGCCGGTGCCGGTGTGGTTGCCGGTACCGGAGCAGGTGCCGGTGCCGGTGTGGTTGCCGGTGCCGGAGCAGGTGCCGGTACCGGAGCGGGTGCCGGTACCGGTGCCGGTGCAGGTGCGGGGGCAGCAGCAGGTGCCGGTGAGAGCGCGGTGCCGGAGCAGGTGCCGGTGTTAGCGCCGGTGCCGGTGGCGGTGCTGGTGTCGGTACAGGTGCCGGGGCCAGTGCGAGGTGCGGGCAGTCGCCCCCCCGGGCGGCGCGGGGCGGGCGGTGGGCCGGCACCGCCCCTCCCCCGCGGGATGGCTGCGGGGCCCCGGGGGTTTCCCCGGTAACGGCGGCGATCGGCTCCCGGAGGGTTAACGGGGGGCGGCGGTGTGCCCGGGGTCACACCAGCCCCGCCGAGCCGGGCCGCTGCCGGTGCGAGGCTCTCCGCCCGGTGCCCCCCGCTCTCCCCCCGTGCCGCGGGCGCGGCGCACAAAGGCGGCGGGGCCGGGGCGGCGGTAACGGGGACCGAGTCTCCCCCCGCTGCCTCCGCCCCGCTCCCCCGCACAGGCCGGGCCCCCCCGGAGCGGTAACGGCGGCGGCGGCGCCCCCGGCCCGGCCCCATGGACGCCCGAAGTCGCCGAGGGGTGAGTGCGGGGCGGGGGCTCCGCGCGGCTCCGGGGCTGCGGCGTGCGCGGGGCCGGGCGGGGTCCGTGTCCCGCAGCCCCACGGGGCGGGTGCCGCGGGTTGGGGTCTCCCCAGGTCACCCCGCGCCGTGGCCCACCCACCCGCGCAGCCCCAAAACAGGCGGAGGGGTGTGGGGGGGGGTCGCGGTGGGGTGGGAGCGCGATGCCCCGAGGGGCTGCACCCACCGGGGTGGCGCGTCGGGACCCCCCCGTGGGTGCGTGTGGCGTGACCGCGCACGGGGGTCGTGCCCGCGGCGTGCCCCACGGCGTGTTGGGCCGAGCGGGGGGGCTCAGGGTGCCCACGGTAGCCCGGTACCCACGCCAGGGGCACGGCCACGGAGGGTGCGAGCTCCCCACGCGTGTGCGGGGCTGCTACAGGTGCGTTTGGTGTCACGGCTGATGCAGGCGTGGGGGTCCTGCCGCTGATCCCCCCCACCCCGAGCGGGGGTGCGAGCGTGGGGTCTGCCTGTGGGGGGGTGTGTGCACACGGGTGGGAGTGAGTGTGTGCGCGCGCGTGGGGCGTGTGCGTGTGTTTGCACACGTGTGTGGCGTGTGCGTGTGTTTGCACACGTGTGTTTGTGTGTACACACGTGCACAGGGGCGTGTGCCCAGGGCCGGGGGTGAGGCCGGGGGTAGCAGCACTGCGGCTGCGGCGGGGGGGGGGCTGCCGGGGGAGGGTCTTGCCGGGTCACGCCGGGGATTTATGGCTGCGGCAGGGCTGGCAGGCTGGGGAGGCCACCTGCCTGTCCCCCGCTTGGTGCCCCCAGCCCCCCGTCCCCCCGGGCAGATGCTCCTCTCTGGCGGCTCCTCGTTAATCCAACGGCGCAGGGCGATGCCGGGCGGGAGCATCTGCCTCTCCCCAGCGCCTGGCGCTGCTGCCGCTGCCGCGTCCTCTGCCGAGACAGGCACCCTGGGCACTGCCGGGGGTCCCTCGGGGTCCCCTCCCTCCGCCAGGCCCCGGTGACGGCCAGTGTCCCATCTCGCTGTCCCGGTACCCTGGCTTTTGGCAGCCCTTTGCCGGGGGGCCAGGACCCCCAAGACCGGAGCGCGAGGTCAGGCAGCGCCGTGGAGTGAGGGGATCGAGCCGAGCACAGGCCGGCGGCATCTGGGGGTCCCGCGGTGGCCCCGCTAATAACGCGCATCCCCTGGCTCATTGCAGGCCGGGATTTGAGGCGGGGGCCCGGCGCCCGCGCCATGGGGAACTCGGTGAGTCGGCCCAGCTGCCTGGGCGAGAAGAGCCGGCGGCCGGAGGAGCTCCTGCGGGAGCCGGGGCTGGACGCGGGGCAGCCATCCGCCGGAGGCGTCACGGAGGCCCGGCCCGAGCTGCTGGAGAAGGCACCGGTGCCGGTGGAGAATGGCTGGAGCCCGGTGCCCGCTGCCGCGCGGAGCCGGCAGGGCAGCCCGGTGCTGAGGCGCAGCCAGTCCGAGGTGGCGGTGCAGAACGGGGGTGCAGCTGCGGTGAGGGGGCAGGTGGGGGGCGCAGCCTGGACGCCCCCCCGGGCCAGCGTTCCCCGCAGCACCTGGTCCTGGAAACCCGTCACCACCCGGGAGGTGACGGAGGTGACGGAGGTGACCGAGACCATCGTGACGGAGATCGTGGAGGTGACCGAGTACCCGGCGGGTGAGAAGGGTGGCGAGCCCGTGGTCACCCGGACGGTCACCGTGCTGACGGAGTGCGTGGGGGAGCTCACTGCTGCTGGCTGCGCCGGACACACGGACGCCACCGAGGTGACTGACGGACAGAGAGCCTTGCTGGGAGGACGCTGTGCCAAGCCCTGTGCCGCAGGGCTGCCCTCCAGCGTGGTTTTCTCCACAGCAAGTCTTGACTTTGGGCTGGTGTGGAGTCGCTGTCTGTGCCCTGGTGTGGGCTGGGCCGCTGGCACCGCTGCTGCTGGGCGCCCAGCCTGGTGCTGTAGGACAGGGAGCTCCTTCCCTCAGCTCTGCCTGGAGGGGCCATGGGTCCGGAGGGGTCCAAACCACACCGGGTGTGCAGGCCCTGCTTTGGGGAGCCCTGCAAAGAACGCCAGGGAGGACCCCACGGGCTGGACAGGGTCCCACTGTCACCAGTGTCACCTCGGGGAGAGGGCATGGTGTGGGGGCTGCTGCCCAGCCCCATGGCTGCCCTCCACCTGCCCACACGGGCGGCTCAGCCACCTCTCCCCACAGGTGTCCTCACGGGCTGTCCCTGTCCCAGAGGAGGCAGCGGAGCGGGGCCAGGAGACGCTGGAGCGGCTGCTGGCCTGGGTGGCCGACATGGAGGAGTTGGTGAGCAACCAGAAGCCGCCGTCGGCGGAGGCGAAGGTGGTGAAGGCGCAGCTGGAGGAGCAGAAGGTCAGCAGGGCCAGCCGGCGTGTCCCGCCCACGCGTGCCCCGTGCGGGGATTAGGGGGTTGGAGCAGGCTGTGCCGAGGTGGGAGGGGTGCACAGGGGTCCCCAGCGTGGTGTCCCCTGTCCCTGCAGCTCCTGAAGCGCCTGCTGGAGGAACGGAGGCCACGTGTGGAGCTCGTCCTGCAGGACAGACTGACGGCACAGGGCTCGGGCACAGCCGAGGGCAGTGCCGACCTCTTCAGCCTCGGGGAGAGGTGGGACAAGCTGATGCAGGAGGCTGAAGCCAGGTGGGTCAGGGGCCAGGCCCTCATCCCTGGACTGCATCCCCGTCCTGCTGGCACAGGCTCTGCCCTCTGGTGTCCCCCACATGGAGTCTGTGACACCCTGATGTCCCTGTGCTTTGCCCCACTGGCACTGGGGCCGCCACGATGGAGGGACTGTCCCCGCCACATGTGCTGGGGCTGCACAGGAGCAGCGGCTCCAGGGCTGTATGGACAATCTGTCACTGGCCCCTTCTGTGGCGACACTGGCCCCTCTGTGGGGACACTGGCCTTGCTGTGTCCCTCACTTCAGGGCAGCACAGGGCATGGGCACCCTGGGTGTGGGGGAGAGGGGGCTTTGCTGGCCCGGGGACTGTCACTGCCCAGCTCACCCAGCCCACCCGACACAGGTACGGCTGCCTGGAGCGGATCCTGCCGGCAGCCCAGGGCTTCCAGGAGGCCGTAGACGCCTTCCAGGAGTGGCTCAGTGCCACAGAGCGGCAGCTGGCCCAGCTCTGGCGTGCTGACGGCTGTGTTGGCCGCGTGCAGGATGCCCACCAGCAGACCCAGGTGGGCACAGGTTGGGCGCGGGGTGGGTACAGGGTGGACACGGGCGCCTGTGTCATCACTGGTCACTGCTGCAGGCCCTCTGTGAGGAGATCCGTGGGCGGCTGGGAGAGCTGGATGGCGCCCTGGAGAGCGGGCAGCGCGTCCTGGAGCTGGTGACAGGCGAGTGGCAATGGCTGGGAGTGGTGGCCGCAGGGTCAGGACATGGGAATTGGGATGGGATGAGCACAGACAGCAGCAACCCAGGCCAGCAAGGGGGCCCCTGGGCACTGGGGGTCTTTGGGGTGTGCTGCTCCCCACCAGGAGCCATGGTGTGGTTAGAGGGGGCAGAGAGCATCCCAGGGGATGCAGAAAGGACAGGGCAGAGCCTGTGGGTCAGAGCTGTGGTGGGACAGGGTTCAGCGGCGAGGTGGGTCTTGCTGGCAGAGGGATGAGAGGCCACAGCTGGGTCTGGGAGCAGGAGGAGCAGGGGTAGGGGAGGGGAAAGGTCAGGACAGAGTGATTGTCACGTGGCTGGAAGCTGCCAGTTCCATGTCCAGGGGTGCCAGTGCGGTGGCACTGATGGCGGTGTCATGCTGCCACAGGGGAGGAGGCCCAGCTGACACAGGAGAAGATGGAGTCACTGAGGATGCGGTACCTCATCGCGGGCCAGAGCAGTGCTGACACCGCTCACCGGCTGGGGCAGACCCTGGAGGCCTCGTCTCGCCTGGGCACGGCCCCTGAGGACCTGGCACTGTGGCTGAGCCGCATGGAGAAGGAGCTGGGCGAGCGGGAGAGCCAGCAGGATGGCCAGGAGCCCTCAGTCACTGCCAGTGACAGGGAGAAGGTGTGGGACACTGGGCTCCCTGAGCCCCTCACCATTCCCAGCGTCGGTCCTGGTGCATTCACACCCTCCCTGGCTGACGTCTGTCCCTCTGCTGCAGTTTGAGCAGGTCCTGGAGTCCCAGCTGAGCCGTGTGGCTGGGCTGGGTGAGCGGCTGGAGGAGATTGGCCGCGTGCAGCTGGACGCTGAGGCTCTCCACTCGCAGCTCTCTGAGCAGAAGGTGGGTCTGCAGCGGTGCACAGGGGGCACAGGCTTGGCATCCCCATCCTGCCGGCTCCTGCCAGGACCTGGCACCCACCTGCGGCTCCATTCCAGCTGCTCTCCGCCGAGATCCTGCATTGCCGGGGCCTGGTTGAGCGTCTGCTGGGGTTCTCGGAGCCGCTGCTGCGCTGCTGCCCTGAGCCCCTGCAGCAGCGCCTTCAGGTGAGCTGGGTGGGTGCCAGGGGGACATTGCCAGCACCCAGGGATGGCTGTGCCCTGTGTCCCTGGCCATGCAGTGACTCCCTGTCTCCACAGCCGTCGGTGCAGGCGCTGCGGGAGCGCACGGAGCAGCTGTCCCTGCGCAGCGGAGCCTGTGCCGTGCAGCTGGAGCACGCCCAGTCCCTGCTCACCCAGTTCTCCGAGGCCCTCGAGGAGCTGCTGCCCTGGCTGGAGGAGACGCAGGCCCTGGGGGTGCAGCTCTCGCCCAACGCCATCAGCTACGAGGCCTTCAAGGAGCAGCAGGCGCTGCTGCAGGTGTGGGCAGGGCACGGGCAAAAGGTGTGGCACTCGGCCACCACACAGGGTGGGAGTGGAGAGGTGACAGGACGGGGGTGGCACCGCCATGGGGACCATCGGGCTGGGACACCCAGCGAACAGGAGCCCCCTGGGAGCAGCACCAGGTGCACCCTGTGGGGTGAATCCCAGGGGGCACATCCCACCCCAATCCACCCCCACGGCTCTTCCCCGCTGCCAGAGCCTGCGGGAGGCCATCGCCGAGCACCGGCCGCTGGTGGGGAAGCTGCAGCGCGTCTCAGCACAGCTGCTGGAGCTGAGCCCGGAGCAGGGAGCCCCGTTCCAGCGGCGCTGGCAGGAGGTGGAGGAGCAGTACGGCCACATCCGCGAGCGCGTGCGCCAGGCAGCGGCTCTGCTGGAGGATGCCCTGCCGCGATACAGCCAGGTATGGGGCTGGCACTGCCCTGGTGGGGCGCGTCCCCGGGACCGTACCGTCGAGTCACCGGGCTGGTCCGCAGCTGTCGGAGCGCATGGATCTGCTGCTGGAGTGCCTGGAGCGGCTGCAGAGCCGGCTGCAGAGCCAGCCCCCTGTCCGCGGCGACGCGGCCCACTTGAGGGAGCAGATCCGGGAGAACAGCCTGGCCCTGGGCGAGCTGGAGAAGCTCGGGGTGGCCCTGGAGGGCATCCGTGCACAGGGCGAGGAGCTGCTGGCCACCGTGCAGGCGGTCAGCTCCGACGCCGCGGACAGAGGTACCGGCACGGAGGGGTGGGCACGGCCTGGCCGGCAGGCGATCCATGTCCCTGTCAGGGCCGTGTGTGGCTGCTGGGGACCTCGCAGCACCCCGAAACCTGACCCGCTGTGCCCCGCAGGGATCCAGGAGCGCACGGCGCAGCTGCTGTCACAGTGGGGCTGCCTGCGCGGCCGCTGCCAGGAGCAGGAGCGGTGGCTTCGGGAGCTGCTGGCACTGGCCGAGCGCTTCTGGCATGGCCTGTCTGAGCTGGCCGTGGCGCTCAGCGACACCCAGCAGCTGGTGCTGGGGCTGGAGGAGGCCGGTGGCGAGCCCGAGGCCATCCGCACGCGGCTGCGCACCATGCAGGTACGGCAGGGCAGGGGCTTGGTGGGCAGTGCCGTGGCACAGGCAGCCCCTGGTGTGGGCACTGCCCTGGGCAGCCCCTGATGTGGGCAGTGCCATGGCACGGGCAGCCCCCAGTGTGGGCAGTGACCTGGGCTGCCCCCGGTGTGGGCAGTGCCCTGGGCAGCCCTTGGTGTGGGCAGTGCCATGGCATGGGCAGCCCCCAATGTGGGCAGTGCCCTGGGCAGCTCCCACTGTGGGCAGTGCCATGGCACGGGCAGCTCCCGATGTGGGAAGTGCCCTGGGCAGCCCCCAGTGTGGGCAGTGCCCTCGGCAGCTCCTGATGTGGGCAGTGCCCTGGGCAGCCCTTGGTGTGGGCAGTGCCCTGGGCAGCCCCCAGTGTGGGCAGTGCCCTGAGCAGCCCCCAGTGTGGGCAGTGCCCCCAGTGTGGGCAGCGACTGCGCACCATGCAGGTACGGCAGGGCAGGGGCTTGGTGGGCAGTGCTGTGGCACAGGCAGCCCCTGGTGTGGGCACTGCCCTGGGCAGCCCCTGATGTGGGCAGTGCCATGGCACGGGCAGCCCCCAGTGTGGGCAGTGCCCCCAGTGTGGGCAGCGACTGCGCACCATGCAGGTACGGCAGGGCAGGGGCTTGGTGGGCAGTGCCGTGGCACAGGCAGCCCCTGGTGTGGGCACTGCCCTGGGCAGCCCCCGATGTGGGCAGTACCATGGCATGGGGAGCCCCCGGTGTGGGCAGTGCCCTGGGCAGCTCCCGGTGTGGGCAGTGCCCTGGCACGGGCAGCCCCCAGTGTGGGCAGTGACCTGGGCTGCCCCCGGTGTGGGCAGTGCCCTGGGCACGGGCAGCCCCCAATGTGGGCAGTGCCCTTGGCACCTCCCGATGTGGGCAGTGCCCTGGGCAGCCCCTGGTGTGGGCAGTGCCCTGGCACGGGCAGCCCCTGGTGTGGGCAGTGCCCCCTGGCATGGGCAGCCCCCAGTGTGGGCACTGCCCTGGGCAGCCCCTGATGTGGGCAGTGCCATGGCACGGGCAGCCCCCAGTGTGGGCAGTGCCCTGGGCAGCTCCCAGTGTGGGCAGTGACCTGGGCAGCCCTCGGTGTGGGCAGTGCCCTGGCACGGGCAGCCCCCAGTGTGGGCAGTGCCCTGGGCAGCCCTTGGTGTGGGCAGTACCATGGCATGGGGACCCCCCGGTGTGGGCAGTGCCCTGGCACGGGCAGCCCCCGGTGTGGGCAGTGCCCTGGGCAGCCCCCGGTGTGGGCAGTGCCCTCGGCAGCCCCCGGTGTGGGCAGTGCCCTGGGCAGCCCCCAGTGTGGGCAGTGCCCTGGCACGGGCAGCCCCTGGTGTGGGCAGTGCCCTGGGCAGCCCCCGGCGTGGGCAGCCCTGAGCCCCGTGCCCTGCACAGGCTCTGCGGGAGGAGATCGACGCGCTGCAGGGTGAGCTGGACACGCTGGGCAGCCTGGGCGTGGAGCTGATGGCGTCCTGCGGGGACCCCGACAAGCCCGATGTCACCAAGAGCCTGGACGATGTGAGTGTCCTTGAGGCTGCGTTCAGGGAGGGACGTGTCCTGGGGGTGTGGGGATGCTGCTTGTGGGGGTGGCGTGTCCCCGATCCCTGGCACCCCAGACTCTCACTGACCCCCACACAACTCCTGTGCCCCGGCATTCCCGTGGTGTCTCCAGGCCTGGATGTCCCTGTGGTGCCACCCCTGTGCCCCGGCACTCCCGTGATGTCTCCAGGCCTGGGTGTCCCTGAGATGCCACCCCTGTGCCCTGGCACCCCGTGGTGTCTCCAGGCCTGGGTGTCCCTGAGGTGCCACCCCTGTGCCCTGGCACCCCGTGGTGTCTCCAGGCCTGGGTGTCCCTGTGGTGTCACCCCTGTGCCCTGGCACTCCCGTGGTGTCTCTAAGTCTGGATGTCCCTGCGGTGCCACCCCTGTGCCCCGGCACTGCCGTGGTGTCTCCAGGCCGGGGTGTCCCTGTGGTGCCACCCCTGTGCCCCGGCCACCTCCCTGGCACTAGTGCCCCCCACACCCTGTCCCCTCGGGGCACTGCTGACCCCCTGTGCCCTGTCCACCCTGTCCCCCACGTCCCGTCCCCCTGCGCCACCACTGACCCCCGTGCCCGGCCGCAGCTCTACTCCTCCTGGCACAGCCTGAGCCGCGTGTGGACGGAGCGGAACGGGCGCCTCGAGGAGCAGCTCCAGGCCGCCCTCAGCTACCAGGACACCATGCAGGTGGGTGCGGGGACCCCCAGGCGGATCCCCCACGGAGGATCCCCCTCCTGTCCCCCCTCAGGGGTCTGAGGGACCGTGGGGCCACCACGGGGTCCCCCAACCCCGCGTGTTCCCTGTCCCCAGCGGCTGCTGGAGTGGCTGGACGCCGCCGAGCTGCGCATCGCCGAGGAGTTCCTGGTGGGCGGGGACCTGGACATGGTGCAGCAGCAGCTGGCGGAGCTCAAGGTACCGTGCTGTGCCGCGCTGGGCCGTGATGTGCCGTGCCAAACCGTGCTGTGCTGTGCCACGCTGTGCCACGCCAAACCGTGTGCCATGCCAAACTGTGCTGTGCCACACCAAACTGTGCTGTTCCAGACCATGCTGTGCCGCGCCAAACCGTGTTGTGCGCACCAAACCGTGTGCCACGCCAAACTGTGCTGTGCCGTGCCAGGCTGTGCCGGGCTGTGCTGTGCCACGCCAAACCATGCCGTGCCATGCCAAACCATGCTGTGCCACACCAAACCATGCTGTGCTATGCCAAACCATGCTGTGCCACTCTGGGCTGTGCTGTGCCACGCCAAACCATGCTGTGCCGCACCAAACCGTGCTGAGCTGTGCCAAACCATGCTGTGCCACGCCAAACCATGCTGTGGCATGCCAGGCTGTGCTGTACTGTGCCAGACCGTGCTGTGCCACGCCAGGCTGTGCTGTGCCAGGCAGTGCTGTGCCGCACCAAACCGTGTGCCATGCCAAACTGTGCTGTGCCGTGCCAGGCCGTGCTGTGCCACACCAAACTGTGCTGTTCCAGGCTATGCTGTGCCACGCCAAACCGTGTTGTGCCGCACCAAACAATGCTGTGCCACACCAAACCATGCTGTGCTGCACCAAACCATGCTGTGCTATGCCAAACCGTGCTGAATGCCAAACCATGCCGTGCCAAACCAAACCATGCTGTGCCGCACCAAACTGTGCTGAGCTGTGCCAAACCATGCTGTGCCACGCCAAACTATGCTGTGCCGCACCAAACCATGCTGAGCTGTGCCAAACCATGCTGTGCCGCACCAAACTGTGCTGTTCCAGGCTATGCTGTGCCACGCCAAACCGTGTTGTGCCGCACCAAACAATGCTGTGCCACACCAAACCATGCTGTGCTGCACCAAACCATGCTGTGCTATGCCAAACCATGCTGTGCCGCACCAAACCATGCTGTGCTATGCCAAACCGTGCTGAGCTGTGCCAAACCATGCTGTGGCACGCCAAACCATCTTGTGCCACACCGGGCCATGCTGTGCTATGCCAAACCGTGCTGAGCTGTGCCAAACCATGCTGTGGCATGCCAGGCCGTGCTGTACTATGCCAGACCGTGCTGTGCCATGCCAGGCCGTGCTGTGCCAGGCAGTGCTGTGCCGCACCAAACTGTGTGCCATGCCAAACTGTGCTGTGCCGTGCCAGGCTGTGCTGTGCCACACCAAACCGTGCTGTGCCACACTAAACCATGCTGTGCCAGGCAGTGCTGTGCCGCACCAAACCGTGCTGTGCCGCACCAAACCGTGCTGTGCCAGACAGTGCTGTGCCAGGCAGTGCTGTGCCATGCCTTGCCCTGATCCCCGGCAGCTGGCAGGGGCAGGGAGGGCAGCGGGAGCTCCAGGCAGAGGTGGGATGGATTGGGTGGCGGGTTGGACAGTGCCAGTGCCCCAGTGCTCTGGGTAGCCACGTCCTGCCTGGCATGGCCCAGCCCTGTCCCCACGAGTCCCTGGGGGCATTGGGCACCCCCGGAGGAGCAGCTCAGGGCCCAGGTGCCTGTGCCGTGCCCTGGCATCAGGCAGACCCCGTGCCACCTCGCAGGAGTTCAAGCGGGAACTGTACCAGTGCAAGGTGGATGTGGAGAGCCTGCGGCACCAGGGGGGCGCGGGGCAGGGGGACCCCCCGGCCGCGCTCAGCGACTTCCGCCAGCGCTGGGACCACCTGGAGGAGGAGATCGTCAGCCGGCAGGTGGGGAGGGGGCACGGGGGGCACAGGGCAGGGCTGGCAGGACAGGTGGGGTGCCATGAATGTGCTTGGTGGGCACGTCCTGTGGTGCTGGGTCAGCGTGGGGGGTTCCAAGTGGGCACTGGGTGGGTGCACAGGGCTGGGTGGTCCCTGGTTGGACACTGGGTAGGCACCAGGTGGTTGCCCGGGGCTGTGTGGGCTCTGTGTGGGCACCGGGTGGGCAGTGGGTGGGTGCACAGCACTGGGTGGGTGCCGGATGCTCTGTGGGTGCCCAGGACCATGTGGGCACTGAGTGGGCACTGGGTGGGTGCCCGGGGCTGTGTGGGCACTGAGTGGGCAGTGGGGTGGGTGCACAGGGCTGGGTGGACACCGGATGGGTGCTGTGTGCTCTGTGGGTGCCCAGGGCCGTGTGGTCACTGGTTGGGCAGTGGGTGGGTGCCCAGGGCTGTGTGGGTACTGGGTGGGCACTGGTTGGGCAGTGGGTGGGTGCCCAGGGCTGTGTGGGTACTGGGTGGGCACTGGTTGGGCAGTGGGTGGGTGCACAGGGGTGGATGGATGCTGGGTGGGCAGTGGGTGGGCACTGAGTGGGTGCCCAGGGCCGTGTGGTCACTGGTTGGGCAGTGGGTGGGTGCCCAGGGCTGTGTGGATACTGGGTGGGCATGCTTTGTGGGTGCCGGGTGCTCTGTGGACCCAGGGCCGAGTGGGCACCGGGTGGGCACCAGGTGGGTGCTTTGTGGGTGCCGGGTGCTCTGTGGGTGCCCAGGGCTGTGTGGATACTGGGTGGGCACCGGGTGGGTGCCGGGTGCTCTGGGGGTGCCCAGGGCCATGTGGACACCGGGTGGGCACCAGGTGGGTGCTTTCTGGGTGCCGTGTGCTCTATGGGTGCCCAGGGCCGTGTGGGCGCCGGGTGGGCACCGAGTGGGTGCCGTGTGCTCTATGGGTGCCCAGGGCCGTGTGGGCGCCGGGTGGGCACCGAGTGGGTGCCGTGTGCTCTATGGGTGCCCAGGGCCGTGTGGGCACCGGGTGGGCACCAGGTGGGTGCTTTGTGGGTGCCGTGTGCTCTGTGGGTACCCAGGGCCGTGTGGGCACCGGGTGGGCACCGGGTGGGTGCCGGGTGCTCTGTGGGTGCCCAGGGCTGGGTGGACAGTGGGTGGGTGCACAGGGCTGGATGGGCACCGGGTGGGTGCCGGGTGCTCTGTGGGTGCCCAGGGCTGGGTGGACACCGGGGGGGTGCCGTGTGCTCTGTGGGTGCCCAGGGCCGTGTGGGCACTGGGTGGGCACTGGGTGGGTGCACAGGGCTGTGTGGGCACTGGGTGGGCAGTGGGAGGGTGCCGTGTGCTCTGTGGGTACCCAGGGCCGTGTGGGCACTGGATGGGCACCGGGTGGGCACCGGGTGGGTGCCGGGGGCTCTGTGGGTGCCCAGGGCCGTGTGCGCTGCCCTTTCTTCCCCCGACACCGCGTCTCCCCCCCGGCAGCACCAGCTGGAGGCGGCGCTGCTGGGGCTGGGGCAGTTCCAGCACCAGCTGGCCGAGCTGCTGCAGTGGCTGAGCCGCACCGGGGAGCAGCTGCGCGGCCCCGCGCCCCTGCGGCCCGACCTGCAGAGCTGCGAGATCGAGCTGGCCAAGCACAAGGTGAGGCTGCGCGGGGGCCCGGGGGACACGTGCTCACAGCCACAGTCACACTGCCAGGGTGGGTGTGTCCTGGGGGTCCTGGCTGTGGTGGTACCCCAGGGTGGGGGTCCTGGCCGTGGTGCCACCCTCAGGGGGGGTGTCCTGGCCATGGTGACACCCCAGGGGGAGTGTCCTGGCCATGGTGTCCTGGCTGTGGTGCCACCCTCAGGGTGGGTGTCCTGGCCATGGTGGCACCCCAGGGTGGGTGTCCTGGCCGTGGTGCCACCCTCGCCCGGGGGACACGTGCTCACAGCCACAGTCACACTGCCAGGGTGGGTGTGTCCTGGGGGTCCTGGCTGTGGTGGTACCCCAGGGTGGGGGTCCTGGCCGTGGTGCCACCCTCAGGGTGGGTGTCCTGGCCATGGTGACACCCCAGGGTGGGTGTCCTGGCTGTGATGGCACTCCAGGCTGGGGGTGCTGGTCATGGTGGCACCCCATGGTGGTTGTCTGGGACATGGTGGCAGCCCCAGGGTAGATGTCCTGGCCATGGTGGCACCCCAGGCTGGGTGTCCTGGCTGTGATGGCACTCCAGGCTGGGGGTGCTGGTCATGGTGGCACCCCAGGGTGGGTGTCCTGGCCATGGTGGCATCCCAGGGTAGGTGTCCTGGCCGTGATGTCACCTCAAGGTGGGTGTCCCAGCTGTGGTGGCACCCTGAGGCTGGGGGTCCTGGCCACAGGGCACCCCAAGGTGTGTCCTGGCCCTGGTGCCACCCCCAGGGTGGGTGTCCTGGCCCTGGTGGCACCCCCAGGGTGGGTGTCCTGGTTGTGCTGTCACCCCAGGGTGGGTGTCCTGGCCATGGTGGCACCCCAGGGTGGGTGTCCTGGTTGTGCTGGCACCCCAGGGTGGGTGTCCCAGCTGTGGTGACACCCCAGGGTGGGTGTCCTGGCCATGGTGGCACCCCAGGGTGGGTGTCCTGGTTGTGCTGGCACTCCAGGGTGGGTGTCCTGGCCCTGGTAGCACCCCCAGGATGGGTGTCCTGGTTGTGCTGGCACTCCAGGGTGGGTGTCCTGGCCGTGATGGCCCCCCCAGGGTGGGTGTCCTGGCTGTGATAGCACTCCAGGCTGGGGGTCCTGGCCATGGTGGCACCCCAGGGTGGGTGTCTGGGACGTGGTGGCAGCCCCAGGGTAGATGTCCTGGCCATGGTGGCACTCCAGGATGGGTGTCTGGAACATGGTGACACCCCAGGGTGGGTGTCCTGGCTGTGATGGCACCCCAGGCTGGGGGTCCTGGTCATGGTGGCACCCCAGGGTGGGTGTCCTGGCCATGGTGGCACCCCCAGGCTGGGGGTCCTGGCCATGGTGGCACCCCAGGGTGGGTGTCCTGGCCACAGGGTGCTGCTGCCTGGCCCCTCCTCGTGTGCTGCCTCAGCAGGGCCGGGCAGGCTGCAGCACAGGGACGCGTCCCCTCCCGCTGTGACACCACGGGAGGAGTGAGCTGTCCCAGTGCCACAGCCCCTTGCCCGGGCACGCTCCTGACGTGCCTGACGCGGGCGAGGCTGCGCGGGCCGGGCTGTCCCCAGGCCGGGGGGGCCGTGCAAGGGGTACCTGTCCCCTGTGCGCCTGTCCCGGCCACCCCGCTGCCACGAGTCGGCAAATCCTGTCCCTCGGCCCTGCCCCGCACCCTGATTTTCACCCTGTGCTCGCGCTGGTGAGACCACACCTTGAGTGCTGTGTCCAGTTCTGGGCCATCAGTTTGGGGAGGATGTTGAGATGCTTGAGTGTGTCCAGAGGAGGGCAACGAGGCTGGTGAGGGAACACAAGCCCTGTGAGGAACGTCTGAAGGAGCTGGGGTTGTTTAGCCTGCAGAAGAGGAGGCTCAGGGGTGACCTTATTGCTCTCTACACCTTCCTGAAGGGAGGTTGCAGACAGCTGGGGGTTGTCTCTTCCACAGGGCAGCACTGACAGAACCAGAGGACACAGTCTCAGCTATGTCAGGGAAGGCATAGGTTGGATATTAGGAAAAAATTGTCACGGAAAGAATAATAAAGTACTGGAATGCTCTTCCCAGGGAGGTGGTAGAACCAGCATCTCTGGATGTGTTTAAAAAAAGACTGGACATGGCACTTGGTGCTACAGTCTAGTTGAGGTGTTAGGGCATGGGTTGGACTCGATGATCTTAGAGCTTCCATCCTCATTACTCTGTGGTTCTGCGATTCTGAGATAAGAGCCCTGGCACCCCCTTGGAGGCACCCACGGGTGCCATCCCTGCCCAGGGTGGCACCCCCAGTCCCCAGGGCTGTGGTGGCAGCGGTGCTGGGGGCAGCAGAGCTGTCTCGGGGCGCGGGGCTTTAGGAACGAGGGGCGTGGGTGCCCCTGCCCCAGCCGTGACCCCGCCGCTCCGCTCCGTCCCCAGGTGCTGCGCACCGACGTGATGTCCCACGCCCGCACGGTGCAGTCGGTGACCGAGGCTGGCCAGGGGCTGCTGCTCTCCAGCCTGGGCGAGAGCGTGGAGGGGCTGCAGCGCAGCCTGCAGCAGCTGGAGCAGCACTGGGAGCTGGTGCGCAGCGAGACCGAGAGCCGGCAGCTGGAGCTGGAGAACAACCTCAGCCAGGTACGGCCGCGGTGCCACGGCGCTGCCGGGCGCTGCCGGCCGGCGCTGAGCCCCGCCTCGCCCCCAGGTGCAGGACATCACGCTGGAGATCACGGAGCTGCTGCAGTGGCTGGAGCAGGTGGAGCTGCAGCTCTTCTGCTCCAAGCCGGCCTGGGGCCACCCGGATGCCACCAAAGAGAAGCTCAACGCGCACCTGGTGAGAGCCAGCGCTAGCCCGGGCCCTGCTAGAGACCTGTTGGTCTCTTGGGGGGATGTGTGCTCCAGATCCGCCCTTCCCCGCACTGCTGGGCCAGGATCCTTCTCTGCTGCCTCTTCCCTGCAGCCAGGCAGAGCCTGGTGCCCGTCCCTCAGCTGCTCCAGCTCTGTAAGACAGAGCAGGAGCCGTCCTTGTCCCTTGCCCAGAAACTGTTCCTGTCCCCATCCACATCCCTGTCTTCATCCCCTCTCCCTGTTCACTGTGTCTGTCTCCCTTGTCCCCATCCTCTGTTTGTTCCCATCCCTGTCCCCCTTCCCATCCCCATCTCTGTTCCCGTTCCCATCCCCATCCCTGTCCCTATCCCCCCATTCCCATCCCCCATTCCCATCCCCATCCCCATCCCCATTCCCATTCCCGTTCCCATCCCTGTTCCCATTCCCATTCCCATCCCCATCCCTGTTCCCATTCCCATTCCCATCCCCATCCCCGTTCCCGTTCCCATTCCCATCCCTGTACCCGTCACCCTGCCTGCCCCATCCGCACCCTCATCCCTGCCCCCGTCCCACTCCGTGTCCCCTCCTGGCCCTGCCCGCGGTCCCGCTGCTGATGCCGGTGCCCGGCCGTCGCGCTGTCCCGGCAGGAGCTGTGCCGGGAGCTGGAGGCGCGGGCCGTCACCTACCGGGGGCTGCGGGAGCGGCTGCAGCGCCTGCTGGACTCGTGCCGCGCCGGCCGGCCCTGCAGCACCGAGCACAGCCTGCGGCTCCTCGAGCAGAAGTGGGAGAGCGTCCAGGCCGAGGCCCAGGAGAGGAAGGTGTGCGGGGTGGTGGGGGGCTGCGACCCCCGGGGGGCTCACCCTGACCGGGTCAGGAGCAGGGGAGCCCGTGCCCACCGGTGCCCGTCCCCCGCTCAGGAGCGCCTGGCCGAGGGGCTGACGGTCACCACCGAGTTCCACGGCTCCGCGCAGGAGCTGCTGCGCTGGGTGGCCCACGCCGAGGAGCTGCTGGGGTCCCCCGCGCCCCCCAGCTTCGTCCTGGACACCGTCACCGCGCAGATCCAGGAGCACAAGGCAAGAGCGGGCGCCGTGCCCTCAGGGCCGGTTCGTGGAGCTGGGGTCTGCCCGAGGGGTGCTGTGTGGCACCTGGAGGGTGCCCGGGGCCAGTGGCATGTGTGTCCCTGTGGCGGTGTGACACGAAATGAACGACACTCGCACGCTGAGGTGTCCAAGGTAAAAAAAAAAGGCGCCTTTATTTCCAGAGCTTGATATTTATAGAATTCCAAAAGTGACCATGGACTGGAGGATGAAATTGCCACCTCTTCAACCACACTGGTCAAACCAACAGTCCATCAATTCTCTCCTCCTCCAGAAAGGGACGCAAAACAATCATTATTTACGTGAAGAGTGCGTGAGACACTCCATTACTAAAACGCGAACATTTTTGTAAAGGCTTAGAAGAACTTTAGGAGAACAGGGCGGCGTGTCCCCACCGCAGCGGACAGCTCTGCGCCCTGTCCCAGCACGTGCCTGGTGCTCCACGTCCCATCCTGGCACGGGCTGTGTCCGGGGGCTCCTCACCCACCCCAGGACCACCCTCACCCAGCTGCCCCCTCCCCGCAGGCCCTGGTGAAGGAGGCGAACGCCCACGGGGAGAAGCTGGGCGGCCTGGAGGCCGTGGCCGCGCGCCTGAAGGATTTCAGTCGGAAGCAGGACGGGGCCGTCATCCAGAACCTGGTGCTGGCGGCCCGGGAGCGGCTGGGCAAGGTCCTGCAGCGGGCAGCAGAGAGGGGGGCGGTGCTGGAGGAGGCCCGAAAACGCAGCAAGCAGGTACCGGGACACAGCCCGGGCTGGGGAGGGGGCTCTGCCCCTTGGTGGGCTGTGGACAGGGGCCTGGAGGGACAGGACAAGGGGGAATGGCTTCCCACTGCCAGAGGGCAGGGACGGATGGCATCTTGGGAGGGAATTCTTCCCTGTGAGGGGGGTTTCCCCGAGAAGCTGTGTCTGTCCCATCCTCGGACGTGTCCAAGCCAGGTTGGATGGGGTTTGGAGCACCCTGGGCTAGTGGAAGGTGTCCGTGCCCGTGGCAGGGGAGGTGGAACTGGATGGGTCCTTCCAACCCAAACCATCCCGTGACTGTTGCTCCCATGTCATGGGTCCTGCTGGCAGCCGTGCCAGGAAGGGACCACGCGGCTCCAGCGTTGTCACTGTGCTGTACTGGCCCGTGGTTTGCCCCGTGGTGGTGGCCAGGCCGTGCCGCTCCCTTGTGTGGCTCCATGGCTCCCGTTTGGGTGGCCCCAGACCCGCTTTGCCCCCGCGTGCCCCCCTCAGCCCCCACGGGCCCCCCTTCTGCTGCAGTTCAGCGAGTCCCGGCGGCTGCTTCTGGACTGGATGGACGAGGTGGAGCAGAGCCTGGAGGTGCCGCAGGACGCTGCCACCAGCCAGGAGGAGATCAAGTGCCAGCTGGCTGAGCACAAGGTGGGGCTGTCCCTTGTGCTCCTTGGCACGGGGGGGTGCAGAACTGGGCTTCTGGGGGGCTGCAGAGTGGGGATCCCCAGCTCCCAGAGGGAACACCAGCGCCAGAAGGGTTGGGCAACTCCCCAGGGCCATCCTGCAGCGTTGGGACACCTGGGGAGGGAGTGCTGGGCCAAGGGATCCCAACTGCCCCAGAGCCCTTGGGGAAGAGGGGAGTCTCCCCCCCACATCTGGGGGGGGCCCAACACCCACCTGTGGGGCCCCTGCAGGCATTCCAGAAGGTGCTGCGGGCAAAGCGGCCGGTGTACGAGGCGACGCTGCGGAGCGGGCGGGCGCTGCGGGAAGGGGCGCGGCTGCCCCAGGACCTGCAGCCGCTGGAGGAGCTGCTGGGGGAGCTGAAGGAGCGCTGGGATGCGCTCTGCAGCCACGCCGCGGAGAGGTGGGAACGGCGCGGGAGGGACTGCGCTGGGGCGGGGGTGAGGTGGGGATGGGGAGGGGATGGGGAAGGGGTTGGGATGCAGGTGGGATGGGATGGGAATGGGGATGGAAATGGTGTAGGGTGGCACAATCTGTTCTCTGCTTGCTCTGTGGGTCTCAGGCAGTGCCAGGACCTGTCCCTCTCCATAATGGCACTGCCAGGACCTGTCCCTGTCCATAATGACACTGCCAGGACCCATCCCAATCCATAATGGCACTACCAGGACCCATCCCACTTCATGATGGCCCTGCCAGGACCTGTCCCAGTCCATAAGGGCACTTCCAGGATCTGTCCCAGTCCATGATGGCACTGCCAGGACCTGTCCCTGTCCATAATGACACTGCCAGGACCCATCCCAATCCATAATGGCACTGCCAGTACCCATCCCAGTCCATTGTGGCCCTGCCAGGACCCATCCATGTCCATAATGGCACTGCCAGGACCTGTTCCTGTCCATAATGGCACTGCCAGGATCTGTCCCTGTCCATAATGTCACTGCCAGGACACATCCCACTCCATGATGGCCCTGCCAGGACCTGTCCCAGTCCATAATGGCACTGCCAGGATCTGTCCCAGTCCATGATGGCACTGCCAGGACCTGTCCCTGTCCATTATTGTGCGGCCAGGACCCATCCAAGTCCATAATGGTGCTAGCCAGGACCTGTTCCAGTCTATAATGACATGATCAGGAACTGTCCCTGTCCATAATGGCACTGCCAGGACCCATCCCAGTCCATAATGGCACCACCAGGACCCATCCCAGTCCATGGTGGCCCTGCCAGGACCTGTCCCAGTCCATGATGACCCTTCCAGGACCCGTCCCAGTCCATGACAGCACCACCAGAACCCATCCCAGTCCATGGTGGCCCTGCCAGGACCCATCCCAGTCCATAACGGCACTGTCAGGACGGACCTGTCCCACTCTATAATGACACCGCCAGGACCCATCCCAGTCCATGACAGCACCACCAGAACCCATCCCAGTCCATCCCAGTCCATTGTGGCCCTGCCAGGACCCATAATGGCACCACCAGAACCCATCCCAGTCCATAACGGCACTGCCAGGACCCATCCCTATCCATAACATTGCCACCAGGACCCATTCCAGTCCATGATGGCACCGCCAGGACCCATCCCAGTCCATGATGGCACCACCAGGACCCATCTCAGTCCATTGTGGCCCTGCCAGGACCCATCCCAGTCCATTGTGGCCCTGCCAGGACCTGTCCCAGTCCATGACAGCACCACCAGGACCTGTCCCAGTCCATGGTGGCCCTGCCGGGACCCATCCCAGTCCATGATGGCACCACCAGGACCCATCCCAGTCCATGACGGCACCACCAGGACCCATCCCAGTCCATTGTGGCACTGCCAGCACCCATCCCAGTCCATGGTGGCCCTGCCAGTACCTGTCCTAGTCCATGATGGCCCTGCCAGCACCCATCCATGTCCATAATGGCACCACCAGGACCCATCCCAGTCCACGGTGGCCCTGCCATCTGTGTGTGGCGGCTCCGTGGGGTGCCCCCACGGTGCCCCCGGGTGCCTCAGCGCGCCCCGTGCCCCTGGCAGGCAGCACAAGCTGGAGGAGAACCTGCTCTTCTCGGGCAAGTTCACGGACGCGCTGCAGGCGCTCATGGACTGGCTGTACCGCGCCGAGCCGCAGCTCAGCGAGGACGTGCCCGTCGGAGGGGACCGCGACCTGGTCGGGGACCTCGTGGACAAGCACAAGGTGGGTGGGGTGGGGGCTGCAGGGCCCCCCCGGGCTGTGCCCGCCCTCCCTCTGGGGCAGGACGGGGCACTGCCCACTGGGGTGACCCCTGCTTGACCCCCAGTTTGTGACCCTCAAACTGGGTACTGGGGCGTTGTGTGCCCCAGAGCCGAGAAGGGTTTGGGTTGCAGGGGAGCCCTGTGCCCACTGCTGTGTGGGTTTGGGGTGCAGGGGAGCCCTGTGCCCACTGCTGGGAGGGTTTGGGGTGCAGGGGAGCCCTATATCCACTGCTGTGAGGGTTTGGGGTGCAGGGGAGCCCTATATCCACTGCTGTGAGGGTTTGGGGTGCAGGGGAGCCCTATATCCACTGCTGTGAGGGTTTGGGGTGCAGGGGAGCCCTGTGCCCTCTGCTGTGAGGGTTTGGGGTGCACAGGAACCCCATTCCCACTTCTGTAAGACTTTGGGGTGCACAGGAATCCTGTGCCCTCTGCTGTGAGGGTTTGGGGGTGCAGGGGAAGACTGTGCCCACTGCTGTGAAGGTTTGGGGTGCACAGGAACCCTATTTCAACGTCTGTGAGGGTTTGGGGTGCACAGGAGCCCTGTGCCCACTGCTGTGAGATTTTGGGGTGCAGAGGAACCCTGTGCCCACTGCTGTGAGATTTTGGGGTGCACAGAAACCCTGTACCCATTGCTGTTAGGATTTGGGGTGCAGAGGAACCCTGTGCCCACTGTTGTGAGGGTTTAGGGTGTAGGAGAGCCCTGTGCCCACTGCTGTGAGGGTTTGGGGTGCACAGGAACCCCGTGCCCACTGCTGTGAGGGTTTGGGGTGCAGGAGAACCCCATTTCCACGTCTCTGAGGGTTTGGGGTGCAGGAGAGCCCTGTGCTCACTGCTGTGAGGGTTTGGGGGTGCAGGAGAGCCCTATATCCACTGCTGTGAGGGTTTGGGGTGCAGGGGAGCCCTATATCCACTGCTGTAAGATTTTGGGGTGCAGGGGAGTCCTATATCCACTGCTGTGAGGGTTTGGGGTGCAGGGGAGCCCTATATCCACTGCTGTGAGGGTTTGGGGTGCAGGGGAACACTGTGCCCACTGCTGTGACGGTTTGGGGTGCACAGGAACCCCATTCCCACTTCTGTAAGACTTTGGGGTGCACAGGAATCCTGTGCCCTCTGCTGTGAGGGTTTGGGGGTGCAGGGGAAGACTGTGCCCACTGCTGTGAAGGTTTGGGGTGCACAGGAACCCTATTTCAACGTCTGTGAGGGTTTGGGGTGCACAGGAGCCCTGTGCCCACTGCTGTGAGATTTTGGGGTGCAGAGGAACCCTGTGCCCACTGCTGTGAGATTTTGGGGTGCACAGAAACCCTGTACCCATTGCTGTTAGGATTTGGGGTGCAGAGGAACCCTGTGCCCACTGTTGTGAGGGTTTAGGGTGTAGGAGAGCCCTGTGCCCACTGCTGTGAGGGTTTGGGGTGCAGGGGAGCCCTATATCCACTGCTGTGAGGGTTTGGGGTGCACAGAAACCCTGTACCCATTGCTGTTAGGATTTGGGGTGCAGAGGAACCCTGTGCCCAGTGCTGTGAGGGTTTGGGGTGCACAGGAACCCCGTGCCCACTGCTGTGAGGGTTTGGGGTGCAGGAGAACCCCATTTCCACGTCTCTGAGGGTTTGGGGTGCAGGAGAGCCCTGTGCTCACTGCTGTGAGGGTTTGGGGTGCACAGAAACCCTATACCCATTGCTGTTAGGATTTGGGGTGCAGAGGAACCCTGTGCCCATTGTTGTGAGGGTTTAGGGTGTCGGAGAGCCCTGTGCCCACTGCTGTGAGATTTTGGGGTGCAGGAGAGCCCTGTGCTCACTGCTGTGAGGGTTTGGGGTGCACAGAAACCCTATACCCATTGCTGTTAGGATTTGGGGTGCAGAGGAACCCTGTGCCCATTGTTGTGAGGGTTTAGGGTGTCGGAGAGCCCTGTGCCCACTGCTGTGAGATTTTGGGGTGCAGGAGAGCCCTGTGCTCACTGCTGTGAGGGTTTGGGGTGCACAGAAACCCTATACCCATTGCTGTTAGGATTTGGGGTGCAGAGGAACCCTGTGCCCATTGTTGTGAGGGTTTAGGGTGTCGGAGAGCCCTGTGCCCACTGCTGTGAGGGTTTGGGGTGCACAGAAACCCTATACCCATTGCTGTTAGGATTTGGGGTGCAGAGGAACCCTGTGCCCACTGTTGTGAGGGTTTAGGGTGTAGGAGAGCCCTGTGCCCACTGCTGTGAGGGTTTGGGGTGCACAGGAACCCCATTCTCACTTCTGTAAGACTTTGGGGTGCACAGGAACCCTGTGCCCTCTGCTGTGAGGGTTTGGGGGTGCAGGGGAAGACTGTGCCCACTGCTGTGAAGGTTTGGGGTGCACAGGAACCCTATTTCAACGTCTGTGAGGGTTTGGGGTGCAGGAGAGCCCCATTCCCATTGCTGTGAGGGTTTGGGGTACACAGAAATCCCGTGCCAACTGCTGTGAGGGTTTGGGGTGCAGGAGAGCCCCGTGCTCACTGCTGTGAGGGTTTTGGGGTGCAGGGGAGCCCAGTGCTCACTGCTGTGAGATTTTGGAGTGCAGAGGAACCCTGTGCCCACTGCTGTGAGATTTTGGGGTGCAGAGGAACCCTGTGTTCAGTGCTGTGAAGGTTTGGGGTGCACAGAAACCCTGTACCCATTGCTCTTAGGATTTGGGGTGCAGAGGAACCCTGTGCCCACTGCTGTGAGATTTTGGGGTGCAGGAGAGCCCTGTGCTCACTTTTTTAAGGGTTTGGGGTGCGGGGAAGCCCCGTGCTCACTTTTTAAAGGGTTTGGGGTGCAGGAGAGCCCCGTGCTCACTGCTGTGAGGGTTTGGGGTGCAGAGGAACAAAGTTCCCAGTTCTGTGAGGGTTTGGGATGCGGGGGAGCCCTGTGCTCACTTTTTAAAGCGTTTGGGGTGCAGGGGAGCCCTGTGCTCACTTTTTTAAGGGTTTGGGGTGCTGGAGAGCCCTGTGCTCACTTTTTTAAAGGTTTGGGGTGTGGGGAAGCCCCGTGCTCACTTTTTTAAGCGTTTGGGGTGCAGGGGAGCCCTGCCCAGTGGTGGGGTGCCTGTCCCACCGTCCCGCCGTGCCTGCCAGGTGTTCCAGAAGGAGCTGGGCAAGCGAGCCAGCTGCATCAAGACGCTGAAGCGCTCGGTGCGGGACCTGACGCGCGGCAGCAGCAGCGTGGACTCGCAGTGGCTGCAGCGGCAGGTGGAGGAGCTCAGCACCCGCTGGGACCTGGTCTGCAAACTCTCCCTGTCCAAGCAGGCCCGGCTGGAGGCGGCGCTGCGGCAGGTGAGGGCTGGGGGGCGGCCGGGGAGCCCCCGGCGTGGGGGGCACCAGGGGAACCCCCGGGGTGGGGTCTGCAACAGGGAAATCCCAGGGTGTGGGTCTACAGCAGGGGAGCCCCTGGGCTGGGGTCTGCAGCAGGGGAGCTCTGGGGCTGGGGGTCAGTGGGGGAGCCCCCGGGTTGGGGGGCACCAGGGGAACAGCCGGGATGGGGGGCCCGTGTTGGGGTCTGCAGTGGGGGGACCCTGGGTTGGGGGGCAGTGGGAGAGACCCCAGGTTGGGGTCTGCAGCGGGGGGAATGCCCGGGGTGGAATTTGCAGCAGAGGAATCCCGGGTTGGGGTCTGCAGGGGGGGAACCCCCGGTTTGGGGGGCAGTGGGAGAGCCCCCAGAGTGGGGTCTGCAGCAGGGGAACCCCCGGGGTCGGGGTCAGTGGGAGAGCCCCCGGGGCGGGGGGCACCAGGGGAACCCCCGTGTTGGGGTCTGCAGCCGGAGCACCCCTGTGGTGAGGCTGAGATGGACGTGGGGGTGTGGGGTGCTTGGGTGGGGGGTGCCCGTGTTTTGGGGTGCTTGGCTGGTGGGTGGCCGTGTTTTGGGGAATGCTGTGTGGGGTGCTGGGCTGGTGGGTGGCTGAGCTTTTGGGGATGCTCATGTGGTGGTGGCCGTATTTTGAGGGGTGCTCACTGGTGGGTTGCCGTGTTTTGGGGGGTTCTCCGTGGGGTGCTCGGCTGGTGGGTGGCCGTGTTTTGGGGGGGTCTCAGTGGGGTGCTTGGCTGGTGGCTGGCTGCACTTCCATGCACTTTGGCATGGTGGGTGGCTTTGTTTTGGGGGGTGTTCTGTGGGGTGATAGGTGGTCGTGTTTTGGGGGGTGCTCAGCTGGTGGGTGGCCGTGTTTTGTGGGGTGCTCAGCAGGTGGGGGGCCGTGTTTTGGGGTGTTCTCTGTGGGGTGCTCACTGGTGGGTGGCCGTGTTTTGGGGGTTCTCCGCGGGGTGCTCACTGGTGGGTGGCCGTGTTTTGGGGAGTGCTCTGCTGGCGGGTGGCCGTGTTTTGGGGGGTGCTCACTGGTGGGTGGCCGTGTTTTGGGGGGTTCTCCGTGGGGTGCTCACTGGTGGGTGGCCGTGTTTTGGGGAGTGCTCCGGGCTGCCTGTGTGGCGTGGGGCTGTGCCTTTTGGGGTTCTCCGTGGGGTGCTCACTGGTGGGTGGCCGTGTTTTGGGGAGTGTTTTTGGGAGTGCTCCGGGCCGCCTGTGTGGCGTGGGGCTGTGCCGTTTGGGGCTCTCCGCGGGGCGCGGTGCTGCGTGGGGCCGTGCGGTTCTGTCTCAAGCTGCCGTGGCCGGGTGCCAGGCTGCCTGCTGCGGGTGCCTGTTGCGGGCGTGAGTGCGTGCAGCGTGCCCGGGTGGCCCGGCAGGGTCAGAGGAAATCCCGCCCGCGTGCGGAGCGGGGTGCGGGCTCTCCCCTCGCTCCCGCCGTGGGCTTGCCAGCAGCTCTCCCTGGGCACGGCGCCCGTGCCAGGGGCTTGCCCGCCCAGCAGGGCTCAGGGACTGCCCAGGAGGCTCAGGGGGCTCAGGGGGTGCCGGGTGGGCGCTGAGCGGGTCCCCGCTGTCGTGGCAGGCGGAGGAGTTCCACACGCTGGTGCACTCCTTCCTGGGGCGCCTGACCGAGTCGGAGAAGACCCTCAAGTACGGAGTGTTCCCCGAGGAGGAGGCGGCCGTGCAGGAGTGCCAGGCCCAGCTGCAGGTGGGTGCCAGCCCCCCCAGCCCCCCGGTTGGCTCCAGCTTTGCCCCAGCACCTCCATCACCGGGGTCAGCCGGCCCCAGCTGGGCTGTGGGATCCCCACAGAGCAAGATGTGGCATGCTGGGTGCCACCGCTGAGAGGTTTGGGATGTTGGGTCCCACCCCACCAAAACCACGGGGTTTGGGGCCCCAAGTGCCCTGAGGTGGGGAGATTTGGGCACCCCCACCCCAGTCTGGAGGGCTGACAGTGCCACGTCCGTGTCCCCCCAGGAGCTGATGCAGTCCTTGCAGTGCCAGCAGCTGGAGCTGGAGTGCATCACCTCGCTGGGGGAGGAGATCCTCAGCACCTGCCACCCCGACTCCGTCATCACCATCAAATCCTGGGTCACGGTCGCCAAGAGCCGCTTCCAGGAGGTGAGACAGGTGCCCCGTCCCCATCCCTGCCCGGGGGGCAGAGTGGCACCCAAACCTGGGGAAAGCATGGCCCCACACTGCCATGAACACCCTATGTGTGGAGACACGAGGCTTGATTCTATGTTTTAGAAGGTTGGTTTATTATATTATGATAAAATTTATATTAAAATACGACATTAAAACTATACTAAAAGAATAGAGAGGAAAAGATCATCAGAAGAACAGGAACAGAATGCATAAAAAAATTTTGGCACCTCAGCACAGGTGGCTGTGATTTGTCATCAATGGAAAACAATCCACATGGACCAATGGAAGATGCACAGTAACAATAGTTATTGTTTACATCTCTCTCCTGAGGCTCCTCAGCTTCCCAGGAGGGAAAAATCCTAGCAAAGGTTTTTTCATAAAATATCATGGCTACACCTGTCCCACTGCCCCACGCCTCTCCCACCACCAGGGACTGCCAGGTGCAGCCCCCCAACCAGAGCATTGCAGGATCTGGGGGGTGCTCGGCCCCCGGGGGTCTTGGCCTTGCTATTGTCACCCCACGGTCCCCCACCCTGTGGCCTCACGGGGTCACCTGGGGCCTCCACAGCCCCCCTGGATGGTGGTGGCTCATTCCTGGGCAACGGCAGCCACCACGCAGCTGAGGCAGGGAATCTGGGGGCAGTGTCCTAGGGACCCTCACCCCAGACCATGCTCCCACAGCGGCCCAGAGCCTCCCTGGGTTGCTCTGGGTTTGTAGGTAAGAGGCTCCTGGCACTCCTGGGACTGGTCTGGCGAGTTCAGCCGATCCCACACAAAGCCCTTACTGAGCAGGGACCTGCAGGATCCGCTCTGGATCTGCCCTGGGGCTGCCCCCCTCACCCCCCTCGCCCCAAAATGGGACAGCAGCCGCCATGGCCACAGAGCACAGACCTGGGGACGCTCGGCATGTGGGGGCAGCACCCCCAGCCCTGCCCCAGCTGCCCAGCAGGAGCCTGGTGCTGCCCCAAGTCCCTGCCCAGTGTCCCTGCCCCGTCTCCCTGCCCCATATCCCACCCCCATGTCCCAGCCCCATGTCCCTGCCCCATATCTCTGCCTCATGTCCCTGCCCCCATGTCCCTGCCCCATGTCCCAGCCTCATGTCCCAGCCCCATGTCCCTGCCCCATGTCCCTGTCCCAGGTGGGGGACCTTGGAGTGCGCAGTGGGGTGCCATCCCTGCCCCATGTCCCTGCCCCATAGCCCTGCCCCATGTCCCTGTCCCATGTCCCTTCCCCACGTCCCTGTCCCATGTCCCTGCCCCATGTCCCAGCCTCATGTCCCTGTCCCATGTCCCTGTCCCATGTCCCTGCCCCATGTCCCTGCCCCATATCTCTGCCTCATGTCCCTGCCCCCATGTCCCAGCCCCCTGTCCCAGGTGGGGGACCTTGGAGTGCGCAGTGGGGTGCCATCCCTGCCCCATGTCCCTGCCCCATAGCCCTGCCCCATGTCCCTGTCCCATGTCCCTTCCCCACGTCCCTGTCCCATGTCCCTGCCCCATGTCCCAGCCTCATGTCCCTGTCCCATGTCCCTGTCCCATGTCCCTGCCCCATGTCCCTGCCCCATATCTCTGCCTCATGTCCCTGCCCCCATGTCCCAGCCCCCTGTCCCAGGTGGGGGACCTTGGAGTGCGCAGCAGGGTGCCATCCCTGCCCCATGTCCCTGCCCCATAGCCCTGCCCCATGTCCCTGTCCCATGTCCCTTCCCCACGTCCCTGTCCCATGTCCCTGCCCCATGTCCCAGCCTCATGTCCCTGTCCCATGTCCCTGTCCCATGTCCCTGCCCCATGTCCCTGCCCCATATCTCTGCCTCATGTCCCTGCCCCCATGTCCCAGCCCCCTGTCCCAGGTGGGGGACCTTGGAGTGCGCAGTGGGGTGCCATCCCTGCCCCATGTCCCTGCCCCATAGCCCTGCCCCATGTCCCTGTCCCATGTCCCTTCCCCACGTCCCTGTCCCATGTCCCTGCCCCATGTCCCTGCCTCATGTCCCTGTCCCATGTCCCTGTCCCATGTCCCTGCCCCATGTCTCTGCCCCATATCTTTGCCTCATGTCCCTGCCCACATGTCCCTGCCCCATGTCCCTGCCCCATGTCGCAGCCCCCTGTCCCAGACGGGGGACCTTGTGGCGCACAGTGGGGTGCCATCCCTGTCCCATATCCCTGCCCCATATCCCACGCCCGTGTCCCAGCCCCCTGTCCCTGCCCGGTATCCCTGTCCCGTGTCCCAGCCCGCTGTCCCAGACAGGGGACCTTGAGGCTCGCAGCGGGGTGCCATCCCTGCCCCATATCCCTGCCCCATGTCCCACCCCCGTGTCCCAGCCCCCTGTCCCTGCCCCATATCCCTGCCCCGTGTCCCAGCCCGCTGTCCCAGACAGGGGACCTTGAGGCTCGCAGCGGGGTGCCATCCCTGCCCCATATCTTGTGGCCCGCAGTGGGGTGCCATCCCCGTGCCCCCCGCGCCCCACGGGCCCCGGCCGCCCCGCAGGTGCTGAGCTGGGCGCAGCAGCAGGGCGAGCGGCTGCGGGCGCAGGCGGCCGCGCTGGCGGCAGAGCGGGAGGAGACGGAGCAGCTGCTGGACTGGATCACGGCGGCCGAGGAGGCGCTGGGGCTGCGCGACCAGGAGCCGCTGCCCGAGGAGGCCGAGCAGCTGGAGGAGCTCAGCGCCCAGCACGCGGTGAGGGACCCCGAACCCGGCTGGCCCTGGGGACCGCGGCACCCCCCGACACACCCCGACACAGCTGGGCCGACAGCTAGCCCCACCGAGGGCTTTGGGGAGCACTGGGCTTCTGGGTTGTGCTTGCTTTGGCACAGGGGGCTGGGGGGCACGGGGGGGCTGTGGAATGGGAGGCTGGGGAATATGGGGAAAAATTGGGCGGAAATGGGGAAAAACAGGAGGGAAATGGGGGAAAATGGGGAAATTGGGTAAAAATATGGAGCACGGGGGTCTGGGGAGCACAGGGGGGTCTGGGGATCATGGTGGGGCTGTGGAGCATGGGGGGCTCTACCGGCCAGCAATCAGCGCCATTGCTCCTCCCCAGGTGTTCATGGAGGAGCTGAACCGCAAGCAGCCTGACGTGGAGAAGGTGACCAAGAGCTGCAAGCGGAAGCTGGCGGTGGATCTGGGCCCCCCGGCCACCCGCCGACTGGCCACACGTAAGGAGCCCCCGTCATTGCCCCCCACATCCCCCGGGACCCCCGGCCGCGCCCTCACCCCGCTCTCCGCAGGTCGCCGCAGCGGGGGGAAGGCGCAGGGCACGGCGGCCGTGCCGCTCGGGGGGCTGGAGCCCCAGACCCCCCTCATGGCCCAGCTGCTGCACCGCTGGCAGCAGCTCTGGCTGCTGGCCCTGGACCGGCAGTACCGGCTGGAGACGGCCCTGCAGCGCCTGCGGGAGGTAGGGCTGCCACCCAGGGGTCCCCCTGCCCTGGGGGTCCTGAGTAGCTCCTCTCATCTTCTGCCCATGGGCCCCCCAACCAGGTCAGATGCAGATGGGGTCACCCTGTCCCTGCAGCTGGGGGTCCCATGGGTGCACCTTGACATCCCAGAGGGGCTGCTGGAGCCCTGTGCACCACAGAGTGGGGGGTCCTGGGCAGAGACCCTCCCCCTGCAGCCTTGTCAGGGCCAGGGCTGGGAGCAGCCAGGCCGTGGAGCTGAGGCTGGACGCGGGCACAGCGTGGGGGGCACGAGGGGGGTCCTGCTGTGGTGTTCATCCCCCCTGTGCCCCTCGCAGCTGGAGGAGTTCGCGCACTTTGACTTCGGGGTCTGGAGGAAGCGCTACATGCAGTGGATCAGCCAGATGAAGTCCCGCGTCCTGGACGTGTTCCGCGGCATCGACAGGGACCAGGACGGGCGCATCAGCCAGCGGGAATTCGTCGAGAGCGTCCTCGCCTCCAGTGGGTGCCGGGGGGGCTGGAGGACGCTGAGGGGGCCGGCACTGGGGGGCTGACGGTCCCCGTCCCCCCACAGAGTTCCCCACCAACGTCCTGGAGATGAATGCCGTGGCCACCATCTTCGACATGAACGGCGACGGCTTCATCGACTACTACGAGTTCGTCAGCGCCCTGCACCCCAACCGGGACCCGCTGCGCCGCTCCGCCGACGCCGATCAGATCCAGGACGAGGTGTGGGGGGGTCAGCGAGGGTGGGGGGGCGACTGGAAGGGTGGGCACCCCGCCTGGGGCTGAGCTGAGCGTGCCCTGCAGGTGAACAGGCAGGTGGCCCAGTGCAACTGCGCCAAGCGTTTCCAGGTGGAGCAGATCAGCGCCAACAGGTACCGGGTAAGTGCCGAGCTGGGTTCCGGCTTGCTCTGACACCTGTGCACGTCCCCGTGCCCCGTGCAGGGGTCCTGCAGTGCCCGTGTGCCAGGGCAGGGAGGGGGCACAGCCCCGTGCAGGGGTCCTGCAGTGCCCGTGTGCCAGGGCAGGGAGGGGGCACAGCCCCGTGCCCCGGGCAGGGGTCCTGCCGTGCCCAGGACAGGGAGGGGGCACAGCCCTGTGCCCTGGGCAGGGGTCCTGCCATGCCCGTGTGCCAGGGCAGGGAGGGGGCACAGCCCCGTGCAGGGGTCTTGCAGTGCCCGTGTGCCGGGGCAGGGAGGGGGCACAGCCCCGTGCAGGGGTCCTGCAGTGCCCGTGTGCCAGGGCAGGGAGGGGGCACAGCCCCGTGCCCCATGCAGGGGTCCTGCAGTGCCCCTGTGCCGGGGCAGGGAGGGGGCACATCCCGTTCCCTGAGAGCCCGGCCCCTGTGGGAGGGCAGGGCCGCAGGGGGGGGCAGGTCTGGGTGCTGCCACCTGCTCTGGCACCCCTTCCCGCTGCCCAGCCCTGCCAAAGCCCCCACCTTGCCCCAGCGTCCCTCTCCCTGCAGTTCGGGGAGTCCCAGCAGCTGCGGATGGTGCGGATCCTGCGCAGCACCCTCATGGTGCGGGTGGGTGGGGGCTGGATCGCCCTGGACGAGTTCCTGGTGAAGAACGACCCCTGCAGAGGTGGGTGTGGGGGTCCCACACCGGGCACTCGTGCGGGGGTGGGGGGTCCCCGTGCCCGGCGCGGTGCCTGCGGGGCCATGGGGGGCACAGCTTAGCGCACTCCCCAGGGTCTCGCACTGCTGGGACCCCATCACTCGCCCCCTCCGTTGTCCCCAGTGAAGGGAAGGACCAACCTGAAGATCAACGAGAAGTACCTGTCCTCCGACGTCTTCGGGGCCGCCGCCAGGTGTGCCGGCAACCAATCTGCGGCCTCCTCCAAAGTGCTGTCCCCGAGCCGCTCCAACTCCAGCCTCAGCCTCTACAGCAGCGCCTCGGCCCCCAGCAGCCCCCTGGCCAGGAAGGTAAGGGCCGTGGAGCCCCCCGTGAAGTCCCGATCCCCCCCAACCCACCCGCCGCGGGCGCTGACCCTCACCTCCCGCAGTCGGTGCTGCGGAGGACGCGCTCCGGGGACCGCTGTCCGCGCTCCCGGGGCTCGGGGCTGCCCGACGGAGCCGAGCTGCAGTTCAGCGCGGCTGAGGAGAGCCTGGCTGTGGCACCCCCAGGTGAGCGCCGCGGGGCTGGGGGGCACGGGGGAGCCGGGCTCGGTGTGCGCTGTGCCCGTCCCTCGCAGCGCTGGAGCCGCGGGCAGGAGAGCTCCGCGCTCCAGCCCCTCCGCGCCCCCGCAGAGCCGCCCGAAGGGTCCCCCCCGGAGCGCTGCAGCCCCTGCCGCTGACCCCCGCGCCCGCCCTGCGCCCAGCACCCTCGGCCGGCCCCACTCAGGACCCTCCTCCACCGGGCTGGAGGGCGGCGAAGCCGCGGCCGCGCTCCCCGCGGGTCTCCGGCCCGGCGCTGCGGCCCCCCGAGCGGGGCTGAGCTGTACGCCCGCCAGCGATCCCGCCGGGGCCCGTTCCAGAGGATATGCAAGTATCTCCCGACACCCACCAAGCCCCCGGGCTCTGGTCTCCCGCCCCACGGCTCCAGCGGGCGGCGAGGGGGGGGTCTGAGCCCCGGTGCCCCGCTCCGAGTGCCCGGGGCTGTGGGGCCAGCCGGGCCCCCCCCGCCGGGCTCTGCCCTTCTGCCGTGTCGCCAGCTCAGGGCGGCTGCGGTACCCCCGGCGTCCGGCCTTGCTGACGGGGGTCCCCATCGTGCCTCCCACGCCCCGGCGGGAGGTGGCCGGGCTCGGCAGCCGGGCACCGGGGACCCCCGGCCGGATGCCGAGCCCCGTTTCTGGTGCTAACCCTCACCCCTCGGCCTTCGGTGTGCGCGCACGGGCCCCCGGCTCTTTCCGCCCCCCATTCCGGGGGTCTCGCCGCGGGCGGGGGTCCCCTGGCACGGGGCTGCACTCCCGTGCTACCGGCGGCACCGGCGGGCAGCGGGACCCCCGCCCTGCTGACGCATGCTCACCGTGCCACCCCGCTAACCGGACAGCAGTAGCGCTGAATGTAACCCCGGCCGGGCCCGCCCGCCGCCACAATAAACTGTAGTGAGGTTCCTTTTTCTATGAGCACCCCGTCTGTCCGTCCGTCCGTCCGCTCGGGGAGGGGCTCCACGCCATCCCTCGGCCTGCTTGCCCCTCTGCCCAAGCTGGGGTCCGTCGGTCTGTCTGTCTGCTCGGGGCGGGAGGCTGTACTCTGACTGGTGTGCTCACCCCGCTGTCAGGATGGGGAGCTGTAGTCCGTCAGTCTGTCTGTCTGCTCAGGACAAGGGGCTGCAGTCTGTCAGTCTGTCCATCTGCCCAGGACTAGGGGCTGCAGTCTGTCAGTCTGTCTGTCTGTCTGGACAAGGGGCTGCAGTCCATCAGTCTGTCCATCTGCTCAGGACAAGGGGCTACAGTCCTTCGGTCTGTCTGTATTCAGGACAAGGGGCTACAGTCCTTCAGTCTGTCTGTATTCAGGACAAGGGGCTGCAGTCAGTCTGTCAGTCAGTCAGTCTGTCTGGACAAGGGGCTGCAGTCCATCAGTCTGTCCATCTGCTCAGGACAAGGGGTTACAGTCCTTCAGTCTGTCTGTATTCAGGACAAGGGGCTGCAGTCAGTCTGTCAGTCAGTCAGTCTGTCTGGACAAGGGGCTGCAGTCCGTCAGTCCGTCCCCCCCTTACCACTGTCCCATCCCACAGCCGGTGCCCAGCAGGGCGGTGGCACTCGGTGGCCGGGCAGGGCCGGGTGTGCCCCAGCCGGTGCCACCGGCAGCACGGTGGCACTCGGTGGCCGGGCAGGGCCGGGTGTGCCCCAGCCGGTGCCACCGGCAGCGCCGCCCGGCGCCGGAGCCGCGGCTGGCGAGCCCCGGGCGCTGCAGCGGTGCCAGCGGGCGCCGCCCCGCATCCCCTCCTTTCCGAGGAAGGCATTGCTGGCATTCCTGCTGGCATTCCTGCTGGCATTCCTGCCGGCACCATCGCCCACCGTGGGCAGCACGGGGAGAGGCGGATCCCTGTCCCTGGGTGCTGGCCGCTTTTTGGACACCCCGCAGCCCCGAGGGCACCGGGAATGTCTGTGTCCAGCACGGTCCTGGCAGCTGTGCATCCATCACCTGCATGTCCCGTCCCAGCTGGGATGGGCCCAGCTGCCTGTCGGGATGGGATGGAGGCTCTGCTTGTGTCCCCACTCCAAGAGGTGGGGGACACCTTGAGCGTGGGACTGTCCTCAGGCGTTGCAGCACCACCACCCTCGCCTGGCACCTCCCTGCCTTGGGGGAGTGCCAGACCCCACACACGAGGGCTGGTGGCTGTTCTCTTTGATCCCCCGCCCGCACTGCCTGGCTGTCCCCTCCCAATCCCGGTCCTCTTTGTCACCTGGCCGTGTCCTCACAGCTTCCAGCTCTGTTTTTGGACTGTTTCACCCAAAAAACCCTGTCTCCTCCACTTCTTTTCTGAATAAGCACAGAGCCAAAGGGTCCAGGACTGGAATTGTGCCTGTGCTGGGCACATCCCTGGCCGTGCACGGAGAAGTCCCCGGCACAGGTCAGAACCCTTTGCCACCGCCCCCCAAGAGCAGGGCTGAGCCCACGGCTCCTGGTGGCACAGCTGCCAACGCGTCCCGGGCTGGAACTCGCCAGCGCCAGTTGCGTTGCACATTCCTGTGCCTGTGGAAATCTCACCCACCACTCCCAGCTGGGGCAACGTGCCTGGCACCACCGGCATCACCGGCACCGCGGCTTGTGTCAGCCGCATCCCGAGCCCCAGGCAACGGCGCTGGCTTGGGAAGCAAAGACAGCAGGCACGGCGTGGCTGGGCCCACACCAAACTGCTTTGTGTTTTCGCTGCGGAGCAGCCCCCGGGCAGGAGACACGAGCTGTTAGTTGCCAGCGAGGCTGGCAGTGATACAATGGACAGACACACCCACGCGGAGCCAGGAATGGGAACACGGGAATCTCACCCGCTGGAACTTGACCGTCCTCAGGGAGATGAGGTGGGGAGCGGGGATGTCCTGGGAGAACCTCCGTGGTTCTCTGGGGTTGGGGTCCGCAGCACGTGCTGAGTTTGAGGGATCACGTTGCCAGGGCAGCAGGTGAGCGGGTGGCAGCAGTGGGGAGTGGGGCTCCAGGTGGGACCATCAGCCCCGTGGTGGGACCATCAGCCCCATGGTGGGACCATCAGCCCCAGATGGAATCATCAGCACCAGGTGGGACCATCAGCCCCATGGTGGGACCATCAGCCCCATGGTGGGATCACCAGCCCCAGATGGAATCATCAGCACCAGGTGGGACCATCAGCCCCGTGGTGGGACCATCAGCCCCATGGTGGGACCATCAGTCCCATGGTGGGACCATCAGCCCCATGGTGAGGCCATCAGCCCCAGATGGGATCATCAGCACCAGGTGGGACCATCAGCCCCATGGTGGGACCATCAGCTCCAGATAGGACCTTCAGCCTCACGGTGGGACCATCAGCTCCATGGTGGGACCATCAGTCTCATGGTGGGGCCTTCAGCCCCAGGTGGAACCATCAGCCTCATGGTGGGACCATCAGTCCCATGGTGGGGCCACCAGCCCCAGATGAGATCATCAGCCCCAGATGGGATCATCAGCTCCAGATGGGGCCATCAGCCCCATGGTGGGACCATCAGTCTCATGGTGGGGCCACCAGCCCCAGACGGGATCATCAGCTCCAGATGGGGCCATCAGCCCCATGGTGGGACCATCAGCCCCGTGGTGGGACCATCAGCCTCGGTGGCACCACCAGCCCTGAGCCCCCCCTGAGCCCCACAGCCCCGTTCATGGGTGGGAGCAGCTGCCCCAGAGCTGGCTGACCCCAGCGCAGGGAACCAGAGGCGGGTGCTGCCCTGTTGCCCAACCACCCCAGCTCTCAGTCCAGCCGTGGGAACTGTGGCAGGGGATGTGGCCTGCCTCATGTCCCACTCCATGCACCCCACTCAGCCAGCCCAGGCCTGGTGGGAGCCCCTCGTTTCCTACCACCCAGCGGAGCCTGGGTGCATGCTGGGGGTGAGCGGCCGTGTCCCAGGGCCACCATCCTGCCCCATGGAAACCCCATCCTGCCCCATGGAAACCAACATCCTGCCCCATGGAAATCACCATCCTACCCCATGGAAACCCCATCCTGCCCCATGGAAACCAACATCCTGCCCCATGGAAATCACCATCCTACCCCATGGAAACCCCATCCTGCCCCATGGAAACCCCATCCTGCCCCATGGAAACCCCATCCTGCCCCATGGAAACCCCATCCTGCTCCATGGAAACCTCCATCCTGCTCCATGGAAACCACCATCCTGCCCCATGGAAACCTCCATCCTGCCCCATGGAAACCTCCATCCTGCCCCACTGAAGCCACCATCCTGCCCTATGGAAAACACTGTCCTGCCCAATGGAAACCAAAATCCTGCTGTAGAGAAACCACCATCCTGCCCCATGGAAACCACCATCCTGCCCCATGGAAATCACCATCCTGCCCCACAGAAACCTGGGCCAGCGCATGTCCAAATACACTCGTGTGAGTGTGAGGAGCCATTTCCATGGTGTGAATGTGCCTGAGCACCTGAGCTCCCACCTGTGGGCACGGCTCCAGGGCAGCAGAGCCCCAGCGGGCAGCTCGCAGCGCTGAGCTCAGCCCTGACCCCAGCCCGGGTGCTGGCTGTGCTCCTGCTCTGCCTCGGCCCTTCCCCAGCCCCTGCCCGCTATGGATATCCTCAGTTCAGTCGAAGAAAGAACAGAGATTATTTCTCCCAGGCTGAGCCTGGGAATCTTAGAGAAAAAGACTCCAAACAATTATTATCTCTCTGTAACCATTGTTTATAGCTATGGTTCTCCACGGTGTGCTATTCAGTCACCAGGAGTGTGAGATGTTTCTCCTTTGAGACCAATCAAGTCTCACCTTAGCGAGTCACATCATAAAAGACCCGCTACTTTCACTAATCGTTTTTGCCTTCTGATCCACCTGGAGTCTTTCTTTCCATCCCTGACTCAACAGCGTCAGCCCGGGAGGGATGGGGAGGGTGGCTACTCACACCCAAGCTGGCCTGGTCCCCGGTGCTGCCACTGCTGCTCCACCGGTGCCACCGGCAGCTCACAGAACCCCCCAGAGCCGGGGGCCTGGGCACTCTGCTGCTTGTCCTTGGGCTGTCCATGAGCCTGGACTGACGGCAGCTGGGACAGACGGACTCGGCACAGGGGGCTTGTGCTGCCTGCTGAGCAGTGAGGGGCTGTGCTGGAGGCACGGGGTGGGAGCTCGGCCAGTGGCAGCAGTTTGTGGTGGGTGGAGTGACCCCTCTGCCAGCTCAGCCCAAGCTCCCTCCGCTCCTGCCGGGACCCAGCCCCTTCCCCACAGCTCCTACCAGAGCCGGGCATGGCAGCTCTGCCAGCGCGCCCATGACACCCACCTTGGTGGGCCACCAACCCTCCCACGCGGGGTTCCTGCTGCAGGACAGCTCCCCCAGCACAGAGTGACCCCATCCCCGAGCCTCTGGGCTCCCCTTCCCCGCGGCCAGGGGCCCCGCGGCTCTGCTGGCACGGCAGGGGTGTCACCGAGGCTCCGGGAGCCGCAGCCAGGGGAGAGGCGCCCAGGCTGGTCGCTCCTCGTCCTTGTCGGCAGCCGGGGAGCTTTGATGAAGCCGCGAGCGCTTTGGTTGGATTTGCCCAAATCCCAGCTGCTCATTACGGCTAATTAACGCCACAGCCCCTTCCCTCCCCGCGGGTGGCAGCAGCCGCCCTGCACTGGCAGGGGGAGTGTGGCAGGCTCAGCATGGCCCAGCACGGCCCAGAACAGCCCAGTATGGTCCAGAACAACCCAGTACGGCCCAGAACAACCCAGTACGGCCCAGAACAACCCAGTACAGCCCAGAACAACCCAGTATGGCCCAGAACAGCCCAGCACGGCCCAGAACAACCCAGTATGGCCCAGAACAACCCAGTATGGCCCAGAACAACCCAGTACGGCCCAGAACAACCCAGCATGGCACAGAACAACCCAGCAGGGCTCAGAACAACCCAGTACGGCCCAGAACAACCCAGTACAGCCCAGAACAACCCAGCACGGCCCAGAACAACCCAGCACGGCCCAGAACAGCCCAGCACGGCCCAGAACAACCCAGCATGGCCCAGAACAACCCAGTACAGCCCATAACAACCCAGTATGGTCCAGAACAACCCAGTATGTCACAGAACAACCCAGCACGGCCCAGAACAACCCAGCACGGCCCAGAACAACCCAGTATGGTCCAGAACAACCCAGTATGTCACAGAACAACCCAGCACGGCCCAGAACAACCCAGTACAGCCCATAACAACCCAGTATGGTCCAGAACAACCCAGCATGGCACAGAACAACCCAGCACGGCCCAGCACAGTACACTGGGTCCTGTGTGCACAGCTGTGTGCCCCGACACAGCCCTGAGATCCCCTCCTGCCTGTCCCTGCCAGCCCGGCCGTGCCCCCATGGGCCGTGCCCCCATGGGCAGTGCCCATCCGCCCGGTCAGTGGCCACCATGTCCATGCCTGGTGCCACTGCAGCCCCGGGGCTGTCTGAACATCCAGCGTGGGTCACAGGGCCCCAGGGCAGCTGCCGAGACGCAGAGGAAGCTCTGTGGGGCTGGCGCCGAGCGCTCATCCCTGTTTGCCCATGGATTAAGGCTCTCAGCGGCTCCCGTGAGCGACACCTCCACCACGCCCGGGCAGCTGTCAGAAACTTGTGCCGGTTTCTGGGACACAGCTGCCATGCCCGCAGGAGCAGGGATGGGCACTGCAGACCCCCCCACTGCCAGGGAGGATGCAGCCCCTGGCCCTCTCACTGGCCCGGCTGGGGCTGCCCCTGCTCAGGCATCGCCCCACGAGCCCAGGGCGCTGTGCCAGCCAGTGCCTCTCTCAGATCTGCAGCTCCAGGTGACCCTGCCCAGGTTCCTCTGCCCTTCTGGACCACCAGCATGGTACTGCCTGAGCAGTAGGCACAGGGGGGCCGCCCTGCCCAGGTGTTCAGTGCCATTCCAAAGGGGAATTGCTCTCCACCCGGGCACACCGGGACTGCCCGCACCCACGGCAGGCACCAGGGCTCTGTGCCCGCTGGCCCGTGCCCGTGGGCTCAGCCAGCCCGCCCGTGCCTGGATACCGGCACCTCTCCAGACAACACACTCCCACGCCCCATAAACATCTTGCCCAAGCGCCGCATCCTCCCCGCAGCACCTCGCCCTGCGGGGTGGCAGCCAAGGAGGCTGTGGCATGATCCCCCTGCCCCAGGGGCCCCAAGGCCTCTCTGCCCCGTGTGGTACCCGCTGCTCTTACGGGGCCCACCGAGCAGCTGTGGCACTGGGGAGAGGGCTCGGGGTGCTCAGGGGGCAGCAGGAGAGGGTGGAGGGGCTGGCTGCAGGGTCTGGAGAGAGGGTGTGGAGCTGGTGATGGAGGCAGGGCAGGGACGTTTGGCTGACTCAAGCAGCAACAGGATGGTTTGGGCATGTTTTGGGCAATTCAGGCTTTATGCACATCCAGGGGCGTGGGCAAGACTGGGGGGAGCAGGGAAGGGCCCCCCTCTCTACTCCAGCTGCTGTGGTGCCAGGGTTAGGCCTACACTGGGGTTCTGTCAGCCCTGCACCTGCAGCCACTGCAACGAGGCACAGGGGCACTGCTGGCAGCAGGGAGGGTTTGGGGGCGATGGAGAGAAGGATGAGGAGCTGCTGGGGATGAAGGCAGTGCCGACCCTGGTTGGCAGCTTTCTGCCCTTCGCTCTCACCTCCTCTGTGGAGGGCACAGCCCACCGGGACGGGGCCATCTCATACACCACGGCCGATTTGGGACAGGTGAACCCCCGCAAGGAGGGACCCCATCTCCCAGCGGGAGCCGTGGGGAGGGCTGGCCCGCGAGTTTCTGCAAGGGCTGGGCCGGTGTGTCATCCCCAGGGGCGGGGAAGGGCCAGGTTTTAAACGTGCTCTGGTCCCGGGCAGGAAGCAGCGGTGGAACGCCGGGCACCTGCCAGGGGAGCCCGTGGTGTGAGCGCCGTGCGCAGGTAGGAGATGCGGGCGGGGAGGGCCCTGGTGGGCGCTGCGGGCCGCGCCGGGGGCTGCAGGGCACGGAGGCGCTCTGGCGATCCCCGGAATGCCAGGAATGCGGCAGCGCTCCCGCTGCCGGGGTGCGACCGCGGGCGCAGGGCAGCGGCAGCACAGGGCTGCGGCACCCTGGGCACTGCCTGGGGAACAGCGGGAGGATGGCTGTCCCCGCAGGTCCCAGGAGCAGGGCAGGAAGAGATGGCTGCCCGGGCAGGATGGCTCCGGGAAAAAAAGAGATGGTCCTGCAGCCCAGAGTGCTCAGGCGGGGGGTCACGGTGTCCTTCCTGCTCATCCTCCCCGGGTGGGAGAGGTTCTGGCACGGATTGTCCCCTCCTCACCTCCCCAGAGCTGCCCATCCCACCCCTCACGTCCCCTCCCTGTGGAGAGCGGGGCAGGGCCAGCTCTGCCTGGTTCGGGGCTCCTTTGGGGCTCCTGGGGCACAGTGGGGCCACAGAGGGCCGGGGCTGGAGGATCCAGCAGGGATTTCTAAGTGAAACCAGCCTGAGGGAGAAGGGAATAGCCAAGAGTCAAAGCCAGGCTCCAGGGCAGGGACACTCTGGGCTCGGGGTCTCAGCCACAGGCAGTGCCAGCTGTGCCCCACGAGAGCTCCAGCAGCCCCGGGAGAGGGGCCGGGGTCAGGAAATGCCGAGCAGGGCCCTGTGGAGCCTCGAAGCTCCGATGGCACGGCCGCTGAGGAGGGGGCGGGTGGTGGGACAGGGGAGACAGAGGACTGGCAGCCCCCTCCCACGGTACCCTGAGGTGGGTCCGCGGTGCCGCGGGGCTGTCCTGAGGACAGGGTGCGAGTTCATCCTACAGCAGCTCCCTTCGGGCACCGGGCAGGACCCCGGCACTGCGGACCTGGCCTGGGAAGGGGTGCTGAGCTGCCCCCAAGCGCGCCCCGGCCGCCCTCCCTGTTCCCGTCACCCTCCGTCACTGCCCCAGAAAATTCCCTCCTGCTCTCCCTCCCCCGAAACACCTCCACGGGACACCACCCTGCAGGCGCTCCCCGGCCCGGCCAAGCTCTCAGCCCCAGCCCCAGCCTCTCCCAGCACACGACTCCCCCGCCACCCTCCCCCGACACCGAGTCCCGCACTCTGCCAGTAAAACCAGTCCCTGCTCCCGCTCCCTCCCCAGGGGCCCCGGCAGCCGCTCCTCCCCAGCCGACGCCGGTCTCGGGTGCTCCCTGCGGGCGCAGAGCTGCGGGCTGTCCCGCGGGGCTCCCGTGGGTGGCGGTGGGTGCGCGGGGGCTCCCGTGGGTGCTCACCCCGGTGCCAGCGCGTTCCCTGGCGCAGCCGGGAGCGAAAGCCGCGGAGCAGCGGCCGCGGCTGCCAGGGGAGAGACCGTGGCCCCAGGGAGGGCGGCAGGTGCCAACACCTCTGCCAGGAATCTCTCTGCCTTCGTCGGCAGAGTCGGTTACTCAAAGTTTCCGATGGGGCTGACGCCTTCTGACGAAAGGGAAGCGGAGCCCTTCCCCTGCCGCTCGCCCACCGCCTCCCCCTGCCCGGGGAGGGCCGGGGGGCAGCACCGCGGCCCTTTGCTCCCCCAGGCTTGCAGGCTTCCACAGGTGCGGGTGGCAGCGCCCGGATTCCATCTGCACCGCGGTGCCGGTGGCACGTTTGCCTCTGGGAGCGTGTGGGGACCTGCCTGGGGCTGTCGGGATGCTGGAGCCACACCGGCGGGGGTGTCCGCGGCCCCCTCAGCTCCGGAACACGCAGGGACCTGCCTGGGGCTCTCCAGACACCGGAGGCACACCGGCGCTGCCGCCACCCGCGTCACGGCAGGGCTGAGCGCAGCCGGTGCCAAGGGCAGCGCAGCCGGTGCCGTCCAGCCCGGCTTGGCTCGGCCAGGAGGGGGCTGCGGGGCCAGCCGCGGCTTTCCCGGGCCCGGGAGCAGAGCCGGTGGGAGGTGCTGCCAGCCCCGCGGGTGTTTTGCGTGAGCCTGGCACAGGGATCCCCGCGTGGGCAGCCGGGGTGAGCCCTGCGAGCCGGGGAAGCTCCTGGCTGCCAGGACAGAACAACTGTCCCGGCTCTCAGCCAGCAGCTGGACCCCTCGCCCCATCCCGCAGAGCCCCCCTGTCCCCCAGGCAGACACCCCCGCGTCCCCCTGCCCTCTCCGGTCCTTCCCGGGGCCTCCCGGCTCTTGGCGCCGGAGCGGGGCGCGATCCCGATCCTGCGAACACAAACAGCATTGCCTGGGCAGATCCGAGCCGCGCTGACATCAGCGGGCGGAGGGAGCCGGCTCCTGCGGGACCTTTCCCCGGGCCGGGCAGCGAGCCCAGAGCGCGGCCGGGACAGAGGAGCCCGCCTGAGGAAAAGCTGCTGGCGGGGCCGAGGGGCACGCAGCGAGCTGGAGGGACACAGAATCACAGAATCACAGAATTTCTAGGTTGGAAGAGGCCTTTAAGATCATCGAGTCCAACCCATGTTCTAACACCTCAACTAGACCATGGCACCAAGTGCCACATCCAGTCTTTTTTTAAACACATTCAGGGATGGTGACTCCACCACCTCCCTGGGCAGATGATTCCGGTATTTGACCACTCTTTCTGTGAAAAGCTTCCTCCTTAAGTCTAGCCTGTATCTCCCTTGGCACAGCTTGAGGCTGTGTCCTCTTGTTCTGTCTGTTGTTGCCCTCAGAAAGAGACTGACCCCCAGCTCAGCACAGCCACCCTTCAGGAAGCTGAAGAGAGTGACAAGGTCACCTCTGAGCCTCCTTTTCTCCAGGCTAAACTACCCCAGCTCCCACGTGGGGACGTGGGGACGAAGCTCGACGCGTGGGGACGCAGCCGGGCGCGCGCAGCCCCCTCAGTGAGGCGGCTGCTGGGGTGGGCACGGCCCGGGCACATCACCCCCGGCACCTTCAGGGCGCTTTTGGCTCCCAGCACACCTTTACACGGGTGGAGATGGGTCTGTGAGTCACAGGCGATGAAGCAGAGCTGCTCCGTGCTCGAAGCGAGCTCCGCGGGAGGCTCAGCGTGGCGCAGAACCCGGGGGCTCGGCGTGGTGGGCACCTCGAGGCAGCCCTGCCCTGGCTGCGTCCATCCCGGTGGGCAGCGCTGCCACCCCCCTGCCCGGCTGCAGCAGCTGGGGCAGGAGCTGCTCCTCGGTCCCCCGCTGTAAGAGCCTGAACGAGAGATGCGCGGCTCTTCCAAACGCAGTTTGTTACACCCAAGGTGTTACGGCAGTCCAGGGCCGTGGGCGACAGAGCCCGCACGCAGGCAGGCCTGAGACCCCTACTTGAGGTTACAAATCCATTATATACTTTTCTTTATACAGCAGAACCAATCTATACCTTCACTTTTATCTATAGCCTATCATAATTTTATAATTACCATATTCATGTCACGATTCTCCAATCAGTAAAAGTTAGACATCACAGTTTAAGCTAGAAGTTGTTTTTCAGTTTTCTTGCAGTGGGAAATTCTGAGACCTTTTTTCTACCTGCAACATCTGCAGACTTGTTTGCCTGTGCTATCTTTTTGCTTGGTAAAAACATCTTCTTGTTTGAGGTGGGTTTATCCTTCGCTCTAAGCCATAAAAACCCCTTCCAACTAACACACCCTTTGCGATCCTACAGCTGTCAGCTGCAGCTGCAGGCAGGCCTGGGGACCCTGAGTTTAGGTTACAAATGCATTATATACTTTTCTTTGCTGAGCATCTTAATACAGCAGAACCAATCTATACCTTCACTTTTATCTATAGCCTATCATAATTTTATAATTACCATATTCATGTCACGATTCTCCAATCAGTAAAAGTTAGACATCACAGTTTAAGCTAGAAGTTGTTTTTCAGTTTTCTTGCAGTGGGAAATTCTGAGACCTTTTTTCTACTTGCAACATCTGCAGACTCGTTTGCCTGTGCTATCTTTCTGCTTGGTAACAGAAGGAGAAAGAGATAGAAAATAGAAAAGAGAGTGACAGAGAGACAGAATAAAGAAAAAGAAATAAAATATAGAATAAAGAAAAATAAAGAAAATATAGAATTAAATATAGAATAAAGAAAAAGTAAAGAAAATATAGAATAAAATATAGAATAAAGAAAAATAAATAAAATATAGAAGAAAATATAGAATAAAGAAAAAGAAATAAAATATAGAAGAAAATATAGAATAAAGAAAACTAAAGAAAATATAGAATAGAAAAGAAAGAAAATATAGAATAAAGAGAAAGAAAATATAGAATAAAGAAAAAGAAATAAAATACAGAATTTAATATAGAATAAAGAAAAAGAAAGAAAATATAGCATAAAATATAGAATTTTTAAAAATCACCATCCGTGGACCCCAGCGTTGCTGTGCCGATCCCCTCCCCGGGTGGTCTCGGTGGGGAAGGTCCCCCTGAAAGCGCGAGGGGGTTAATACCCTCAGGACCCCCCCCCGGGGAGTGCCATCGTCTCTCACAGCCCACTCCGGCTGTGCCACTGCGGCGCAAGGCTTCAGGAGCGACTCTGGGGGGCACTTCGGGGCTCTTTGATGGATGAAGGCGCCCCTCAGCTGCCTCAGGTGACAGCGCACCGAAACTGCCTGCTCCCCCCGGGCTGGGGGGATCTGTGCCAACCTGCTCCCGGCAAAGGGCTCTGCGAGCCAGAGACCATTCTCGGCACGGCTGCCGGGCTTGGCTCGCGTTCTTTTCCTTGTTTACTGGTTTACTTCTCCCCCGAGCAATGGCTTTCCCTTTATCTAATCTCAGCAGCTCCCAAAGTCGGGAATTCCTGGGGCGGGGTGGGCTTCCAGAGCAGGACTTTACAGAGCAGGAGTTTGGGGCACCAGCTGCTCCAGTCTCTGGCACAAGCGCATCCCGCGGCTTTGCCAGCAGGAGGGCAGGTTTGGACCAGGTGCAATCTCATCCTGGAGGTGGCCTGCTGGCTGAGATGGAGCCTCTGCCTATTTTATTTCTTTTTCTCGGGCCGGGTCTCATAAGCTCTCAAAAGAAATATAACACACCCAAGGATAGCTCAGCTATTACTTTGGGGGCATAAAATAGGCAGGATGACTTTGGCTGCGGTGTTAGAAACAAAAAAGGTTTAATAAAAGGCAAAATAACAAACAGAAAAACTCGAGCCAGGTGCAGAGGTCTGCTCCTGGTAAAAAGACTTCACAAAAGCCTTTTGCTCTTTTGTTCTGTTCTTTTCTACCTGGTGGGTCAGGTGGGATTTTTTGGCTTCTATCCAATTAGATGTCCTTTAGTTTTTGGCAAAGTTCCTGAGGTGGCTTTTCACCTAATCGTTGAGAGAAACTTCTGGGCTTCTTTCCTTTTTTTGGGGGACAAAGGACAGCTTTGTCACTCTGTCATTAGGGGGCACATTCCTACATCTGCCCTCCTGGCGTTGCTTGGGCAGGGTGAGAAGGGGGGACAGTGGAAGGACGGGGGGGTTCGTGCAGCAGCAGTGTGGGAGCACACGGACCTGCACGCCAGCACCCCCAGAGTCACAGAATCGTGGAAGGGATTGGCTGGAGAGGGACCCCAAAACCCATCCAGTCCCACCCTGTGGCATGAGCAGGGACACCTCACACAGGACCTGGCTGCTCCAAGCCCATCCAGCCTCGCCTGGAAAACTTCCAGGGATCCAGGGGCAGCCACAGCTTCTCTGGGCACCCTGTGCCGGGGTCTCCCCATCCTCACAGCAAAGGATTTCTTCCCAAAATCCCATCCATCCCTGCCCTAGGGAGCCACTTGCTCTTGCCTGTCCCTCCAGCCCCTTGTCACACGTCCTTCCCAGCTCTCCTGGAGCCCCTGGAAGGAGCTCTGAGCTCTCCCTGGATCCTTCTCCTCTCCAGGTGAGCACCCCCAGCTCTCCCAGCCTGGCTCCAGAGGGGCTCCAGCCCTGGAGCAGCTCCAGGATCTCCTCTCCTCCAGGTGCTGCTGCTGTGTCCCCAGGGCTGGGGCAGCCCTGCAGGTGGGCTCTCACCTGGGCACAGGGGCAGAATCCCCCCCTCCTTTCCTGCTGGGGGATCAGCACAGGGGTTTTAGGTGGCCAGGGCATGTGGAGTTCTCACCCACAGACTCCTTGAGTTTGGCCAGATCCCTCAGGATGGCGCACCACGTTTGGACATGCTCAGATTTTGGCTGTCACTTCCTCCTGCCTGAGGGTATTTGTGTTTCTGATTTCCCTGTATTTAACACGCAAACCATGAAGAAGTTGATTTCTCACTGAGCTTTCCCTCTCTCCCTTCTCTCTGCAGAGTCCTGCAAGTTTTGGAAGGCGTGCAGCAGCAGGATGGAGAGCAAGCCAGCAGTGAATGGCCAGGCTGTTCCCGGCTCTCCCGGGAAAGACGTTTCAGGGACAAACCACTTGTGCCAGGACGTGATGCCGTGCAAACAGCAAAAAGCAGCTGGCAGGGACGCGGGGCCGGATGCTCCCGGGGAGCCCTCGGAGACAGCTGGCAGCATTGCAGGCGTCTACGTAGAGGCTTCAAAGAGCATAATGAGCTTTTATGAGGCCACCAGAGAGCACCTGCTGAGCCTGGATTCGGCCCTCTGCCTCCTCGAGGCGCAGGCAGCCACGGGCTCCATCTCCGACCCGCTGAGGAGCCGCCGTGTCCCCGTGGCAGAAGCCGTGCGGATGGGGCTGGTGGGGCTGGAGCTGAAGGAGAGGCTGCTCTCGGCTGACAGAGCTGCTACTGGCTTCGTGGACCCCTACACAGAGGAGAAAATCTGCCTCTACCAGGCCATCCAGAAGGAGCTGGTGGGGAGGGAGCAGGGCATTCGCCTGCTCCAAGCCCAGGTGGCGACTGGAGGCGTCATCGACCCGGCCACCGGCGGGCGGCTCCCGGCAGCTGTGGCCTGTGAGAGGGGATGTTTGGATGAAGAGATGAGCCAGCTCGTCTCTGACCCCAGCAGTGAGGACAGCAAGGTGTTCCTTGACCCCAGCACGATGGAGAAGGTCGCTTACTCCGAGCTGAGGAAGAGGTGTGTTGTGGATCCCGCCTCAGGCTTCCTCCTCTTGCCACTGCAAATCACATTCCCGGGGCTGGGAGGGAGGGTGAGCAGCAGGGACCTGATGGACTCTGGCATCATCAGCACTGACGTGTTCCGAGGCCTCGAGGAGGGAAGGATCTCTGCCCAGGAGGTGGCGGAGAATGACATTGTTCAGCACTTCCTGCGTGGGACGAGGAGCGTGGCTGGAGTTGTCCTGCCCTCCGGGGAGCAGAAAAGCCTTTACCAGGCACTGAGGGAGCATCTCCTGGTGCCTGGTGCTGCTCTCATGCTCCTGCAAGTCCAGGCCTCCACCGGCAGCCTGACAGACCCCCTAAAGAACAAAAGCTACTCCGTGGATGAGGCTGTCAGGGCTGGTCTCATTGGCCCAGAGCTTTACGAGAAGCTGTCGTCAGCTGAGAAAGCCATCACTGGGTACAGGGACCCCTCCACCGGAGAAATGCTCTCCCTGTTCCAAGCCATCAGGAAGCGCTTTGTCCCCAGGGATCACGGCCTTTGCCTTCTGGAGGCTCAGCTGGCCACGGGGGGTGTCATCGCCCCAGGCAGGCACCTCCGTGTCCCCATGGAGACAGCCTGCGAGTGGGACTGCCTGGACGAGGCCACCAGGCAGCTCCTGTCCAGCCCCCCTGATGACATGAAGGGGTTCTTCGACCCTGGCTCCAAGGAGAAGCTGAGCTACGCAGAGCTGCTCCAGCGCTGCCTCACCGACCCCAGCTCGGGGCTCCTGCTGCTGCCGCTCGCTGGGGACGGCAGCGGAGGCTCCCCGGGGACACTCGGCTTCTTTGACCACAGGACCCAGACAGCTCTGGAAAACACACAGGTGCCCGTCGCTGTGGGGAAATTCAAGGGCAAGTCAGTGTCTCTGTGGAAACTGCTCTTCTCTGACTACATGCAGGGTGAGCAAAGAGCTGCGCTGGCCAAGCAGTTCCTGGCAGGAACGCTCTCCCTGCAAGGACTGGGAGAGGCCATCAGAGCCGCCGTTGAGGAGAAGGCTGCCACCGCTAATGTCACCTTCAAGGGCCTGAGAGAGCAGGTGACGGCTGACCAGCTCCTGAGCTCAGAAATCATCAACAAGGACTTGTTCAAGAAACTCAAGGAGGGAGAAACATCGGCCAAGGAAGTGGTCAGCATGGACACCGTCAGGAAGTACCTGCAGGGCACGGGAAGCATCGGAGGGCTGCTGCTCCCAGACTCCCAGGAGAAGATCAGCATCTACCAGGCAAAGAGGAAGGGACTCCTCAGGCCGGGAACGTCTCTGATTCTCCTGGAGGCACAGGCAGCCACGGGGTTTGTCATCGACCCAGCTGCCAACAAGAGGTACTCCGTGGATGAGGCTTTACGAGCAAACGTCATCGGCCCGGACGTTTACGACAAGCTGCTGGCTGCGGAGAAATCTGTCACTGGCTACCGAGATCCATACTCAGGGGATAAGATCTCCCTCTTCCAGGCCATGCAGAAGGAGCTGATCGTCAGGGACCACGGCATCCGCCTGCTGGAGGCCCAGATCGCCACCGGCGGCATCATCGACCCCGTCAACAGCCACCGCATCCCTGTGGAGGTGGCCTACAAGCGTGGCTACTTCGACAAGAAGATTAATTTAATCCTCTCCGACCCCAGTGATGACACCAAGGGCTTCTTTGACCCCAACACCCACGAGAACCTGACGTACCTGCAGCTGAAGGAGAAATGCATCACCGAGCCCTCCACCGGGCTCTGCCTCCTCCCTCTGAACAGCAGGAAGAGGCAGTTCATCGACGAGGCCACCAGGCAGGTGTTCAGGAGCTCCTGGCTGCCCGTCAGGTTTGGGCGCTTGCGGGGGGAGAAGGTCTCCGTGTGGGACCTGCTGAACTCCGAGTACTTCAGCGAGGGGAGGCGCCGGGAGATTTTCAACCACTTCCAGCTGAGGAAGCTCAGCCTGGAGCAAATCCGGCTCATGCTGGAGGAGGAAATGAAGAAATGGGCCCCCATCAAGTTCCCGGCCATGAGAGGCAATGTCAGCGCTTATCACCTGATGGAAACTGGTGTCATCGACAGGGCCCTGTTTGAGCAGGTGCTGGAGGGCTCCGTCACCCCAGAACAAGTCCTGCACATGGACTCTGTCAAGAAGTACCTCTATGGCTCGGGCAGCATCGGGGGGATTGTGCTCCAGCCATCCAACCAGAGAATGAGCATTTATGAGGCCATGAAGCAGAACATCGTGGTGCCAGGAGTGGCCCTGCCCCTGCTGGAGGCCCAGGCTGCCACGGGCTTCATTATTGACCCCGTGAACAACCAGAAGCTCTGCGTGGATGAGGCTGTCAAGGAGGGAGTCATTGGGCCAGATGTCCACGAGAAGCTGCAGCAGGCGGAAGGGGCCGTGACGGGCTATAAAGACCCTTTCACGGGCAAGAAGATCCCCCTTTTCCAGGCGATGAAGAAGGGCCTGATCGCGGATAAGCAGGCCATGCAGCTCATGGAGGTGCAGATGGCCACGGGAGGCATCATCGACCCAACGTGTGGCCACCACATCCCCCTGGAGTCGGCCCAGCAGCGAGGCTGCCTGGATGAGGACACCAGCAAGGCTCTTTCCAAGCCCAGCGATGACCACAGAGTCTTCTGCCTCCCGGACAGCAAGGAGAGCGTGACCTATGCCGAGCTCATCCAGCACTGCCAGAAGGACGACGTCTCCGGCTTCCACTTGCTGCCTCTGGCACAGTCAGCTGCTCCTGCCTACACCGACGAGCAAATCCAACAGATTTTCAAGGAAACCATGGTGAAGGAAAAAGGAGTCTCCCTCTGGGAGCTCGTGCACTCTGGGTATTTCACCGAGGAGCAGAGGAGGGACTTCATAGAGAGGTTCCGGTCAGAGGAGCTGTCGCTGGAGCAGCTGGTGGCTCTGGTGCTCAGGCTGGTGGGGGAGATGGAGATGAAAGCCAGGACCCAGATCTCCCTGGAAGGCCTGAGGGGCAGTGTCCCTGTGGTCTGGCTGCTGGACACGGGCATCATTTCTGAGAAGACGTTTGAAGAACTGGCTCAGGGTGTAAGAACTCCCGAAGAAGTGGCTGCAATGGAGAGCGTAAAGAGGTACTTGAAGGGCACAGGCAGCATTGCTGGGGTCTTCATAGAGGCATCCAAACAGAAGATGAGCTTCTACGATGCCATGAAAAACAATCTCCTCCTCCCTGGGGCTGCTCTGAGGCTGCTCGAGGCTCAGGCAGCCACAGGATACCTGACTGACCCTGCCACAAACCGGAGGCTCAGCGTGAGGGACGCCGTGAGAGCGGCTGTTGTTGGAGAGGAGCTTACTGAGAAACTCCTTCTGGCTGAGAGGGCTGTGACGGGCTACACAGACCCCTACACCGGGAGCTCCATCTCCCTGTGCCAAGCACTCAGGAAGGAGCTCATCCCCCTGGCAGAGGCTGTGCCCTTGCTGGAGGCCCAGCTGGCCACGGGAGGGGTGGTTGATCCCATCCACCACCTCCACCTGCCACTCCAGGCTGCCTGCAGGTACGGCTTCTATGACGAGGACCTGAACCAAACCCTCTCCCAGCTGGATGACAGCACCAAGACCTTTTTTGACCCAAACACCAAGGAGAATGTGACCTACCGGCAGCTGAAGGACCGATGCATTCGTGAGGCCGATTCGGGCCTGTGGCTCCTCCCTCTCTCAGAAAATGCGATGTTCTGTGTGGATGAGCAGACCATGAAAGTCCTGAAATCTGTGACTGTTTGTGTCAACGTGGGGCGATTCAAAGGACAGACCGTGTCTGTCTGGGACCTCCTCAACTCCGAATACTTCTCAGACAGCCAGAGAAGAGAGCTGGTGCAAAAGTACAAAGATGAGAAGGCTGAAGTGCTGCAAGAAATCACAACAGTTATCACCACAATCATCCAAGAGACTGAGGCACAGGGCAAGAAGTTCGCATTCAAGGGCCTGAGGAAAAGAGTGTCAGCCAGTGACCTCTTCCAGTCCCAGCTGATCGACAAAAAAACCCTGGATGAGCTCAACCAGGGGAAGAAAACAGTCAAAGAAGTGACTGAAATGGAGTCTGTCCGCAGGTACCTGGAGGGCAGTAATTTCATAGCAGGGGTCCTTATCCAGCCAAGCAATGAGAAGATGAGCATCTACCAGGCCATGTGGAAGGGTATCCTGAGGCCAGGGACCGCCCTGGTGCTGCTGGAGGCACAGGCAGCCACCGGCTACATCATCGACCCTGAGAAAAACAAGAAGTTTTCGGTGGAGGAAGCGTTAGAGGTGGGTCTGATTGGAGGGGAGATTTTTGAAAAGCTGCTCTGTGCTGAGCGGGCCGTGACGGGCTACACTGACCCCTACACCAAAGCACCAATGTCCCTGTTTGAAGCCATGAACCAAGGGTTGATTGTGAAGAGCCACGGCATCCGCCTGCTCGAGGCCCAGATCGCCACCGGCGGCATCATCGACCCCGTGCACAGCCACCGTGTCCCCGTGGAGGTGGCCTACAAGCGTGGTTACTTCAACGAGGAGATGAACCAGATCCTCTCCGACCCCAGTGATGACACCAAGGGCTTCTTCGACCCCAACACCCATGAGAACCTGACATATATGCAGCTCCTGGAAAGATGTGTCCAAGACCCGGACACGGGACTGTACATGCTGCAAGTTGTAAAGGAGGGAGGAAAGTACTTCTACATTGATGAATCCACAAAGCAGGCTTTGCGTTCAAAGCCCCTTCAAGTGAAAGTTGGAAAGTTTAAGGACCAAGCAGTTTCTGTATGGGAAGTCCTCTGCTCTCACTACATCTCAGAGCAGAAAAGGAAAGAGCTGGTGATGCAGTACAAAAGCAAAACCCTAGCGCTGGAAGAGCTGATATCCCTCATCTTAAAAATCATCGAGGACACAGAGCGAAGAGGAGAAGCCCTCAAGGTTAAAGGACTGCGGGGAGAGGTGTCGGTGTCAGAATTGTTCAACTCTGAGATAATTGACAAGAAAACTCTGGATCAGCTGCAGGACGGCAGTCTCACAGTTGCCAGCCTCACAAAGAGGGACACCATCCAGAGGTACCTGGACGGCACTGGGTGCATTGCTGGGGTTCTCCTCCCGCTGAGGAAAGAGGTGATGAGCATCTACCAGGCGCTGAAGAAAGGCCTCCTCACAGAGCAATGTGCCCTGGGGCTGCTGGAGGCACAGGCGGCCACCGGGTTCCTCCTTGACCCCCGGAACCACCAGAAGCTCTCTGTGGACGAGGCCGTGTCCTCTGGGCTGGTGGGCAGCGAGCTGCGTGAGCAGCTGCTGTCGGCAGAGAAAGCCGTGACGGGATACACGGATCCTCAAACGGGAGGTAAAATATCTCTCTTCCAGGCTGTAAGACAGAAGATAATAGTCAGGGATCAGGGCATCCGCCTGCTCGAGGCCCAGCTCGCCACTGGTGGCATCATCGACCCCTGGCATGGCCACCGCCTGCCCGTGGAGGTGGCCTACAAGCGTGGGCACCTGGATGAGGACATGTTCCTCCTGCTTTCAGATCCAGATCACGGGAGCAAAGGCTTTATAGACCCAAACACTCACGAGAAGATCAGTTACAGCCAGCTGCTGCAGAGGTGTGCCAAAGACAGGGAGAGCGGCTTGTACCTGCTGCAGGTCCTGGAAAAGGAAGGCGACTATTTCTATATTGATGAGCAAACCAAAAACGCCCTGTTGTGCACAAAGGTCCAGGTGCCTGTGGGAAAATACAAGGGACAAGTGTTATCGCTGTGGGAGCTTCTCTGCTCCGAGTACATCACAGAGGAGAAAAGAAAAGAACTGGTGAAAAAGTACAAAGTGGAATCCCAACACATTGTGCAAGGAATCATTGAGACAATACTAAAGATAATTAGGGAAAAAGAAGAAGACAGAAGTGATGTCTGGTTCCAGGGAATCCGACAGCAAATTACAGCATCAGAACTGCTCAGTGCACAAATAATTACAGAGGAAACAATACAAAAACTCCAAGAAGGAAAAGAGACGGCACAAGAAATAGCAAAAATGGACAGTGTGAGGAGGTACCTTGAGGGAACTGGAAGCATCGCCGGCGTGCTGGTGCCCTCCAAAGCCGAGCCAGGCAAGAAGGAGAAGATGAGCATCTACCAGGCCATGTGGAAGGGCATCCTGAGGCAGGGCACAGCGCTGGTGCTGCTGGAGGCACAGGCAGCCACTGGTTTCATCGTTGATCCAGTGAAGAACCAGAAGCTCTCTGTGGACGAGGCTGTGTCCTCTGGGCTGGTGGGCAGTGAACTGAAAAACAAACTTTTAAGCGCCGAGAGAGCTGTGACAGGCTACACCCATCCCTATACGGGACAAAAGATGTCCTTATTCCAGGCCATGAAGAAGGAGCTGATCGTCAGGGACCACGGCATCCGCCTGCTGGAGGCCCAGATCGCCAGCGGCGGCGTCATCGACCCCGTGCACAGCCACCGTGTCCCCGTGGAGGTGGCCTACAAGCGTGGCTACTTTGACCAGGAGATGAACCAGATCCTTTCCGACCCCGGCGACGACACCAAGGGTTTCTTTGACCCCAACACCCACGAGAACCAATTGACGTCCTTGTGGAAATCGTCACCAGGGCTGAGGCCCAGGGCCATGGTGCCAACGGGGCCCCCAAATCCACAGAACTCACCCAGAACGGCAGTGCCTCAAACTCCCAGAAGGAACAGGAGCAGAATCAGGAGCAAGAGCAAGAGCAGGAGCTGGAGCGGTCCCTCAAGTCCCACACGGTGGAGGTGTCGGCAGGCGGCTTCCACGGCAGGAAGGTGTCCCTGTGGGAGCTGCTGTTCTCCAAGTTCGTGTCAGAGGCCAAGCGTCAGGAGCTGCTGGGGCGGTTGCGGGCCGGGAGCCTGGCGCTGGCCGAGCTGGCCACGCTGCTCACCCTCCTGGTGGAGGAGGCGGCGCAGCGCAGCAGCAGCGTGAAATTCACGGGCCTCAGGAGGCAGGTGAGCGTACAGAACCCATCCCGAACGGCAGTGCCTCAAACACCCAGAAGGCAGAGGAAGAGAAGCAGGAGAAGGAGCGGGAGCAGGAGCGGGAGCTGGAGCTGTCTCTCAAGTCCCACACAGTGGAGGTGTCGGCAGGCGTCTTCCACGGCAGGAAAGTGTCCCTGTGGGAGCTGCTGTTCTCCAAGTTCGTGTCAGAGGCCAAGCGTCAGGAGCTGCTGGGGCGGTTGCGGGCCGGGAGCCTGGCGCTGGCCGAGCTGGCCACGCTGCTCACCCTCCTGGTGGAGGAGGCGGCGCAGCGCAGCAGCAGCGTGAAATTCACGGGCCTCAGGAGGCAGGTGAGCGCCTCGGACCTGCTGGACTCGGGCATCATCGACACGGGCACGCTGGCCGACCTGGTGCAGGGCGCCAGGACGGTGCAGGAGGTGACGCAAATGGCCTCGGTCAAGCGCTACCTGGACGGCACGGGCGTCATCGCCGGCGTGCTGGTGCCCTCCAAGGCTGACCCAAGCAAGATGGAGAAGATGAGCATCTACCAGGCCATGTGGAAGGGCATCCTGAGGCAGGGCACGGCGCTGGTGCTGCTGGAGGCCCAGGCGGCCACCGGCTTCCTGGTGGACCCCGTCAAGAACCAGAAGCTCTCTGTGGACCAGGCTGTGTCCTCTGGGCTGGTGGGCAGCGAGCTGCACGAGAAGCTGCTGTCGGCGGAGCGGGCCGTGACGGGCTACTCTGACCCCTACACGGGCGACAAGATCTCCCTGTTCCAGGCCATGAAGAAGGAGCTGATCGTCAGGGACCACGGCATCCGCCTGCTGGAGGCCCAGATCGCCACCGGCGGCATCATCGACCCCGTGCACAGCCACCGTGTGCCCGTGGAGGTGGCCTACGAGCGTGGCTACTTTGACCAGGAGATGAACCAGATCCTCTCCGACCCCGGAGACGACACCAAGGGCTTCTTTGACCCCAACACCCACGAGAACCTGACGTACCTGCAGCTGCTGCGCCGCTGCGTCCCCGACCCGGACACAGGGCTTTATTTCCTTAACATTTTTAGAAAATAATTCCAAAGCCTTTTTATTGTTTTCCTTGTTTGTGCCTTGGGGAACAATGTTGCTATTGTGAATTATTCTTTTGCTTCTGGTGTTTGTCTTTATTTTTCTACATATTTTTTTACCATTTATGATCCCAGTGAGGGAGTTTCCTTCATGATCTCTTTTCTTTACCACCACCCACCCACATCAGGTGCAGCTTTGAAGTGCCTCCCCCGGAGCAGTGTCGTTGCATTGCATTGTTCTTCTTTTCTTGGTCGCCTTTCAGGAACAGAGGAGGCAGCCTTGCTTATGTGAGGTCATTTCAGTGAAGTGTTTTATCCTATTTTTCCCCCACACAGGTTTAACTGCAGGTCTTTGTTCCGTATGGGTGCTGCTGTGAGTGGTATTTTTATTCTCTGCCTGTATTTTCCTGCATATGCTGGCTGTTTTCCCCAGAAGATTTGCAGGATGATATTCAGGTTGCAGGTTTTCAAGCCAGGAAAGTGTCAAGAGCAGATTTCTGCGTGGGCAGGATGTCAGGCTTGTGTTGGGTGTCACTGGTGTTGGACACATCATCCGCGTTTGTTCTCCATGCCCCAGCTTGTCCTGCCTTTCCGGGGGTGTCTGGAGTACAAACAGCCCCAGCCCAGAGTGGTTTGGTCTCTCGCTGTGCTTTCCCTCCCTCTCTGAAGCCTCCGTGGGGATGGATCCTCACAGGAGCTGGGAGTGGACGTGGCTGTGCTGTACTTTTAGTCTGTCCATCCGCAGGGGAGCCTCTGTTCCCTCCTGCTCCTTTTTGCCCTCCCGTGTCCTCAGCTGACTCAGCCACATGCCACAGGAGAGGAACAGCCCTGGAGCCACTCTTCCGTGCAGTTCAGGGATGAATAACTCTACTGCTGTTTAATGGAAGGAAATTCACCCTCCTTAAATGCGCTGCCTTGGGGTGTTTGCCTTAATTAACACGGTAATGTCCTGGAAAATGGATTTTGGCCACAAGCTTGTACTGCTGATACCTGGGAACAAGCGTAGAGGAGCCGTGGGGCCCAGAGCATTGCAGGGGCTTGGAAAAGGAGGGCACAAATTCATGGGAGAGAAGTCACAGAACCAGGGAATGGCTTGGGTGGGAAGGGGGCTTCTTGTCCCACCCCCTGCCATGGCAGGAACACCTTCCACTGTCCCAGGTTGCTCCAAGCCCCATCCAGCCTGGCTTTGGACACTTCCAGGGATCCAGGGGCAGCCACAGCTGCTCTGGGCACCCTCACAGGAAACAATTCCTCCTAAAATCTCACCTACACCTACGTTCTTCCAGATTGAAGCCATTCCCTGATGCTGTGGAGTCAGGGATGGAAAGAAAGTCTCCAGTCTCCAGGTAGATCAGAAGGCTCAAGAAGAATCTTTATTAGCAAGGAGCAGTGAGTTTTATAGTCTCACTCGCTAAGGGGGACTGGATTGGTCTCAAAGTAGAAAACACCTTATTGGTGACTATGAATAACACGCTGCAGAGAACCATAACCATAAACAATGCTTACAGAAAGACAGATAATAATTGCTTGAATTCTTTTGTCTAAGATTCCCAGGCTCAGCCTGGGAGAAATTCTTTCTGTTCTTTCTTCGACTGAACTGAGAATATCCACAATTCCCCCTTGTCCTGTCCCTCCAGGCCTTTATCCCAAGTCCTTCAGCTTTTTATAGCCCCCTTTAGCTACTGGAAATCCACAATAACGTCTCCCAGGAGTTTTCTCATCCTGGAAATCCAATTCTCCCTTCCACAGAGGCAACGGGGGGTGCGGGGTCCCTGGGCTGTGTCTGTGCTGTCCCGCAGTGCCGGCGCCAGCGCGGTGCCAGCGCGGTGTCCCCGCGGCTGCTGCACTGGGACACGGTTTGGGACACTCCCAAGGGCAGGGCACGAGCCACCCCGGGCTCTGGCAGCCCCCGGAGCAGGCAGTGCTGAGATGAAGCCTGCAGGTTAAATTAATTAAATTTAATGCATTAATTAATGCAGCCCTGCCTGCCTATGGAGCCCTGGGGCTTGTCCTGTGTGCCACAGTGGCACGTCCCTCCCCGCAGAATCGTTTGGGTTGGGAGGGCTCTGTGAGACCTTGGAATCCAGCTGCGCACCCACAGGAAGGAAAAGAAAGAGAGAAAGAGATAAAAAAAAGAGAAAGAATGAATGAAAGAAAAAGAGAAAGAAAAGAGAGAGAGAAAGAGAGAGAGAAGGAGAGAAAAGAGAGAAAAGAGAGAAAGACAGAAAGAGATAAAAAAAGAATGAATGAAAGAAAAACAGAAAGAAAAGAAAGAGGAGAGAGAAAGAGAGAAAGAAAGAGAGAAAGAGAGAGAGGAAAGAAAGAAAGAAAGAAAGAAAGAAAGAAAGAAAGAAAGAAAGAAAGAAAGAAAGAAAGAAAGAAAGAAAGAAAGAAAGAAAAAAAGAAAGAAAGGAAGAAAGAAAGAAAGAAAGAAAGAAAGAAAGAAAGAAAGAAAGAAAGAAAGAAAGAAAGAAAGAAAGAAAGAAAGAAAGAAAGAAAGAAAGAAAGAAAGAAAGAAAGAAAGAAAGAAAGAAAGAAAGAAAGAAAGAAAGAAAGAAAGAAAGAAAGAAAGAAAGAAAGAAAGAAAGAAAGAAAGAAAGAAAGAAAGAAAGAAAGAAAGAAAGAAAGAAAGAAAGAAAGAAAGAAAGAAAGAAAGAAAGAAAGAAAGAAAGAAAGAAAGAAAGAAAGAAAGAAAGAAAGAAAGAAAGAAAGAAAGAAAGAAAGAAAGAAAGAAAGAAAGAAAGAAAGAAAGAAAGAAAGAAAGAAAGAAAGAAAGAAAGAAAGAAAGAAAGAAAGAAAGAAAGAAAGAAAGAAAGAAAGAAAGAAAGAAAGAAAGAAAGAAAGAAAGAAAGAAAGAAAGAAAGAAAGAAAGAAAGAAAGAAAGAAAGAAAGAAAGAAAGAAAGAAAGAAAGAAAGAAAGAAAGAAAGAAAGAAAGAAAGAAAGAAAGAAAGAAAGAAAGAAAGAAAGAAAGAAAGGTAATGGAGAGAAAAGGTACCACCACCGTTTCCCATCTTTCAGGGGTGGGAGCCCACAAAACAAGAATCCAGAGGGCCACTTCTAACTCGGGTCCCCACATGTGACAACCACACATTTATTGAACTCTTCCAGGGGTGGGGACTCCGTCCCTGCCCTGGGCAGCTGCACAGCCCCTTCCAGGAGGGATTTTCACAATATCCCTCCTAAACCTTGCCTGGCCCAGCCTGAGGCCATTTCCCCTTGTCCTGTCCCTGGGGGCACAGCCTGACCCCCCGGCTGTCCCCTCCTGTCAGGAGCTATGCAGAACCACAAGGTCCCCCCTGAGCCTCCTTTCCTCCAGGCTGAGCCCCTTCCCAGCCCCCTCAGCACTCCTGGTTCTCCAGAGCTTCCCTTCCTCCAGGCTGAGCCCCTTCCCAGCCCCCTCAGCCTCTCCAGCCCCCTTTCCCAGCTCCGTTCCCGTCTCTGGACACACAGGCAGCAGTGGGGCTGGGGACAGGAGGGGCTGGAGCTCTGCCCCGAGCAGAGACAGCCCAGAGGGGACCTGTGCACCGAAGGGAGCTCTCAAACCAGGCTCTGCTCCGTGGTGGCAGCCACCAGGACACGAGGCAATAGGCAGGAACTGATGCCCAGCCAGCTCCACCTGAACATGAGGCAGAGCGTTTTTCCTGTGCAGGGAACATAACCCAGGGAGGGTGTGGGGTGTCCCTCCCCAGAGATATTCCAGAGCCCTGTGGACACAATCCTATGCCACGTGCGCTGTGGTGACCCTTCCTGAGGACCCCCACAATGGCTCCCTCCAGCCTGGCCCGCCCTGGGGGGTTCTGTGAGTCTGGGATTTCATAACCCCGCCGTACCCAGTCCATCCCCCAGGGGCGTTTGAGGATCAGCTGCTGGCCAAGCTGAAAGTGGAAAACACAAGAACCAAAGGCTGTGCTGAGGCACAGGAAGGGGCTCAGCTCTGCCCCTCCCTGCAGCCCAAAGCTGACCTGCTGGGGAAGCCCTGGCTCCCTCTTGGCCGGGGTGAACATGGAATACCCTGTGCCCCAGCTCTCCACAGCACAGCCGACCCCACGTTCCAGAGCACCTCCTTCATTCCTGGGAACGGGGAAGAGATTCCTGCCTGGCAGGGTGGGCAGGCCCTGGCACAGGGTGCCCAGAGCAGCTGTGGCTGCCCCTGGATCCCTGGAAGTGCACAAGGCCAGGCTGGATGGGGCTTGGAGCAACCTGGGACAGTGGAAGATGTCCCTGCCCACGGCACTGGAGGTTGGAATGATCGTTAAATTCCCTTCCCACCCAAACCATCCCATGATTCCGTGACTCCTGAGCTCCTGGCAGAGGCACGTCTGCCTGTGCTCTGTGCGCAGCCCTCGTGGGCACATTTTGGGACTGCTTGGCCCAGCACCACGAGCTGGCACGGGTCTGCAGGTCCCCAGAGGCCACTGCCCACATCTGCTGTGGCCGCAGTGGCCACGAGTGACCTCCTGAAGGTGTTGGTGGCCCCGTGGGCTGAGCAGGAGGCACAAAGGTGAATGTTGGAACCCAGGACATCCCCCTGGGTGCCCCGCATGGCTCCAGCCCCGTGGAGCAAATTACCAACCTTGTATGAAGAGTTACAAGTCACAAAAGAGAATGATAATTAATTTATCACAGGGTGAAAAGTAGAATTTTGGTGATTTTTAGTATAGCAGTTTACGAGGCAAGACGGAGGGATTGGGGCGTTGCCTTGTCCTTCTTCTTTCTTCTTCCTAGCCTCCATCTTCTGTGTGCTGTTGGCACTTTTGGGTTGGTTTAGAGTAGAAACAGACTGTCTAACATAGGTGATAGGTACGGGAAAATTATTGTAAATAAAGTACACGCAGTTCTTAGTATAAAATGACAACATTTTATACCGGGGCGGTCAGAATACCATGAACCAACCTGCTGGGCAGATCTCTGCGGGTCAGAAAAAGAATGTTGTAGATAAGAGACAATAAACAGCCTTGGAACCAGAGCTGAAGAATTCCAGCTCTTTATCTGATCGCCCGGCTGGG